GATTTTCTTGTTAGTCATCCTTGTGAGATACAAATTACATATAGTAAAATGCACCCATTTGAAGTGTACATTTCAGTGATGAGATGAGATATATATACCTGGGGAACCCAACCCCAATCAAGATATACAACATTTCCATCACCCTAAAAGGTTTTCTTGTGCCTCATGCCAGCCAACCCCACCCCACACCAGGTCCCAGGCAACTCCTGATCTTTTTGTCACTGTAGATTAGATTTCTTCCCCCCGGGAGTTTCACACCACCACGCGTCTGTCAGCTTGTCCTACTGTGGTGGCTTGTGGGTTACTGTGATACTAGAAGCTTTGCCGCCATATTTCAAATACCAGTGGGGTCACCCATGGTGGAGAGGTTTCAGTGGAGCTTCCAGACTAAGACAGACTAGGAAGAAGGACCTGGTAGTCTACTTCTGAAAAAATTGGCCAGTGAAAACCTTACAGATTGCAGTGGAACATGGTCTAATACAGTGCCAGAAGATGAGCCCCTCAGGTTGGAAGGCACCCAAAATATGACTAGGTAAGAGCTGCCTCTTCAAAGTAGAGTTGACCTTAAGGATGTGGGTGGAGTAAAGCTTTCGGGACCTTCATTTGCTGATGAGGTACAACTCAGAATGAGAAGAAACAGCTGCAGACATCCATTAGTTACTGTCGTGGATTGAGTTGTGTCCCCTAAAAATATTTGTCAGCTTGGCTGGGTCATGATTCCCAGTATTGTATGATTGCGTTATGTGATTTCCTTATGTGTTGTAAACTCTATCACTATGATGAGATTATATGTGATCTCCTTATGTGTTGTAAATTCTATCACTGTGATGAGGTTATACTGATGAAGTTGACAAGATTAGCATCTTAATGCAATCTCTTTTGAGATATGAAAGAGAGAAGCGAGCAGAGACACATAGAAACCTCACACCACCAAGAAAGCAGTGCTGGGAGCGGAGCATGGCCTTTGGACCTGAGGTTCCTGCGCTGAGATGTTCCCAGACCAAAGGAAGACTGATACATCACAAGGACCTTCCTCCAGAGATGACAGTGAGAGAAAGCTTTTTCCTAGAGCTGACGCCCTGAATTTGGACTTGTAGCCTACTGGACTGTGAGAGAATAAACTTCCCTTTGCTAAAGCCATCCACTTGTGGTATTTCTGTTAGAGCAGCACTAGATGACTAGGACAATTACCAACTTCTACTGTCTGAAATTGATCAAACATGCAATTAAGATGCATTGATAATTACTGGTGATTGGAATGCGAAAGTTGGAAATAAAGAAAAAGGATCGGTAGTTGCAAAATATGGCCTTGGTGATAGAAACAACGCCGGAGATCACATGATAGAATTTTACAAGACCAACGACTTCTTCATTGCAAATACCTTTTTTCAACAATATAAACGGCGACTATACAGGTGGACCTCACTGGATGGAATACACAGGAATCAAATCGACTACATCTGTGGAAATGATGGAAAAGCTCAGTTGGCCAGGGGCCAACTTTGGAACAGACCATCAGTTGCTCATATGCAAGTTCAAGATGAAGCTGAAGATAATTAAAACAAGTCCATGAGAGCCAAAGTATGACCTTGAATATATCCCACCTGAGTTTGGAGACCATCTCAAGAATAGATTCATGCATTGAACACTAATGACCGAAGACTAGACAAGTTGTGGGATGACATCAAGGACATCATACATGAAGAAAGCAACAGGTAATTAAAAAGATAGGAAAGAAAGACCAAAATGGATGTCAGAAGAGACTCTGAAACTTGCTCTTGAATGTAGAATAGCTAAAGCAAATAGAAGAAATAATGAAGTAGAAGAGCTGAACAGAAGATTTCAAAGGGCGGCTCGAGAAAACAAAGTTAAGTATTATAATGAAATGGGCATAGAGCTGGAGTTAGAAGACCAAAAGGGAAGAGCACACTCGGCATTTCTCAAGCCGAAAGAACTGAAAAAAACATTCAAGCCTCGAGTTGCGATATTGAAGGATTCTATGGGCAAAAAATTGAACAACACAGGAAGCATCAAAAGAAGATGGAAGGAATATACAGAGTCACTGTACCAAAAATTGGTCAGCATTCAACCATTTCAGAAGGTGGCATATGATCAAGAACTGATAGTACTGAAGGAAGAAGTCCAAGCCGCACTGAAGGCATTGGCGAAAAACAAGGCTGCGGGAATTGATGGAATACCAAATGAGATGTTTCAACAAACAGATGCTGCACTAGAGGCACTAGTTGTCTATGCCCAGAAATTTGGAAGACAGCTACTTGGCCAACCGACTGGAAAAGATCCATATTTGTGTCCATTCCAAAGAAAGGTGATCCAACAGAATGCGGAAATTATCGAACAATATCATTAATATCACACGCAAGTAAAATTATGCTGAAGATCATTCAAAAACGTTTGCAGCAGTACATTGACAGAGAACTGTCAGAAAGTCAAGCCAGGTTCAGAAGAGGACGTGGAACCAGGGATATCATTGCTGATGTCAGGTGGATCGTGGCTGAAAGTAGAGAATGCCAGCGAGATATTTACCTGTGTTTTATTGTCTATGCAAAGGCATTCAATTGTGTGGATCATAGCAAATTATGGATAACATTGCAGAGAATGGGAATTCCAAAACACTTAATTGTGCTCATGCAGAACCTGTACATAGACCAAGAGGCAGGCGTTCAGACATAACAAGGAGATTCTGCATGGTTTAAAGTCAGGAAAGGTGTGCATCAGGGTTGTATCTTTTCACCATGCTTATTCAGTCTGTATGCTAAGCAAATAATTCAAGAAACTGGACTATATGAAGAAGTATGTGGCATCAGGATTGGAGGAAGACTCATCAAAAACCTGCGTTATGCAGATGACACAACCTTGCTTGCTGAAAGTGAAGAGGACTTAAAGCACTTACTGATGAAGGTCAAAGACCACAGCCTTCAGTATGGATTACAGCTCAACATAAAGAAAACAAAAATCCTCACAACTGGACCAATAAGCAACATGATAAATGAAGAAACGATTGAAGTTGTCAAGGATGTCCTTTTTCTTGGATCCACAATCAATGCCCATGGAAGCAACAGTCAGGAAATCAAACGACATATTGCATTGGGCACATCTGCTGCGAAAGACCTCTTTAACATGTTGAAAAGCAAAGGTGTCACCTTGCAGACTAAGGTGCACCTGACCCAAGCCATGGTATTTTCAGTTGCCTCATATGCATGTGAAAACTGGACAATGAATGAGGAAAACTAAAGAAGAATCGATGCCTTTGAATTATGGTGCTGGCGAAGAATATTGAATATACCATGCACTGCCAGAAAAACTAATAAGTCTGTCTTGGAAGAAGTATAGCCAGAGTGCTCCTTGGAAGTGAGGATGGCAAAACTTCATCTCACATACTTTAGACATGTTGTCAGGAGGGACCAGTCCCTGGAGAAGGACATCATGTTTGGGAGGGTAAGAGGTCAGCGAAAAAAGAGGAAGACCCTCAACGAGATGGATTAACACAGTGGCTCCAACAATGGGCTCAAGCATAGCAACGATTGTGAGGATGGTGCAGGACTGGGCAGTGTTTTGTTCTGTTGTACATTGGATCGGTATGAGTCAGAAGTGTGTCTGGCTTCTTTCACTTAGCATGATGTGTTTGGGATTCACCTGTGTTGCTGTGCCTATCAGTGATATGTTCCTTTTTACTACTGAGTAGTTAGAGGAGGTGATACTTAGGCTGAATGTTGGAGGATGAATAGGAGTGAGCCAGATAACCAAAGAGAGGAAGGGCATTCCAGCAGAGGGAACAGCATGAGTAAAAGCACAGAGGGCCAGGGACAGGGACTGTGGGGAGTTGGAGGTGGTGGTGGCTTGTTGACTCTATGTTTTTTTTTCCTCCCTCTCGAGCCTCTCTCCTGCTGCCCGCACCCTGTCTAGCCAGTGAGGGCTGGGTTTGGTTTTCATACTCAAGACCATTTCCTTCTGGCCAGATAGGCCAAGACCAGAACAGGGCCTGAGGCTCTCATACCAGGTCACTGGGTTGAGTGTATGTACTGGGACCACGGTGAATCCGTGCATGCTTGTGGGCTCTGGGGTTCCCTTGGGCTCTGCTGGGTTTGTTTTCCTCTAAGTTACCAGGTAAAACTCCTTAGGAAACATCTTGAGCTTGTCTAAGGGGAAAGATGCATTGCCCATTCCCACAGCTGGGAAAGACAAGTATAGTGGCAGCTGGGGCCTTGTGCTGGGGCTTTTTCCTTGGGAGCCTGCAGGGGCAGGGCCAGGAGCCTGAGGTGACACTTGCTCTGGGATTCAGCGTTAGCGTGAGGTCACGTGTTGACACCATACCTGTCCTGCCCCCACTTAGCCCAGCTGCTGTGCTCCACCCCCCTCCTGGGGGTGAGCCTGTCATTGTGGTGACAAGTGCCAGAGCTAATTCTCCAACTGGGCTGGAGTGTGTCCCCTGAGGCCTAGAGGTTTGGAGGCCTGAACTGAAGTAGAAGGAGGTGGCCCAAGTGGTGGGGGAGGAGCTGCTGGTAGAGGCAACAACTTTCACCCACTCATCCTCAATTCTGTGTCCCACATCCACACTGACTCTGGGCACCCCTCCACTCACATATCCCCCATCTTTGCTGGCCCAGGCCACCCCTTTACCCACCTGTGTCATCCTGACCACTACTCATGTCTCAGATGTCCCTTGTCTTCTCCAAAGGAAGAGGAGCCATCACTTCCAAAAGTGATTTTAATTTTATCGTGTGCTTTGTTTGAGGACGCATTCAAACTCGGTGAATTTGTAGGGCTGGGCTCTGAGGCCTCCAGGGGCTAATGGGATTTGGGGAAACTGAGTCAAGAACCATGGTTCGGTCCTGACTTGGCTCTCTTCGCCAAACTAAGTCCAACTTAGGCACTAGGGGCTTTGGGGTACGACTCTGGGTTGCCCTTGAAGGGAGGGGAGGGTCCTGGGGCTTGGCGGGAGGTGGAGGGCTTGACTCAGTCTGCTGCCTGACCTCCCGCAGGTGACCCATGGGCTGAGGGCCTATGATGGCTTGTCTGTACCTGAGGACGCAGAGAGTGTCACGGCAGGCCGGGGTGGCTGGAGCTATTCGGACCTTTCTGACGACGAGGACTTGCTGGCTGACAGTGCTTCCGGAGGTGAGGTTTCCAGGGGCTGGGAGTGGAGGGCTGAGGGGTGGGGTTGTGTTATTCCCTGGAGTGCAGACTGGTGCTTAGAGGGACACACTGAAGCTTGCTCAAGGTGGCCCCTTGCTATGGGCTAAGAGCTGTGCATGTCCTCACCCCTGGTCCCAGTGACCCTGGCGTCCTTGCCTTATAACCTGTGTGACCCTGGGCCAGTGATTGCACTCTGCCGCTGCAGCCTCCTTCTCATAGCACAGAACTCTCAGGACTGGCCCAGGAAGGTTGTTGGCGGTACATAGTACAGGATGATGGCTCCACCAGTCTTCTCTGCCTGAAGGACCCTGTGTGGTGCAAATGGTTTGCCCTGGACTACTAACCTAAAGGTTGGCAGTTCGAACCCACCCAGTGGCACCGTTGAACAAAGGCCTGACTATCTGCTTCTGTAAAGGTTACAGCCAAGAAAACCCTATGGAGCAGTTCTACTCTGTAACACATTGGGTCATCATGAGTCAGAATCAGTTCAACAGTAATAGGGTGTTTTTTTGGTTCTACTCTGCTTCCATAAGGAACCATGGTGGCACAGTGGTTAAGCGCTTAGCTGCTAACCGAAATGTCAGTGATTCAAACCCACCAGCCCTGAGAGAGAAAGATATGGCAGCCTGCTCCCTTAAAGATTACAGCCTTGGAAACTCTTATGAGGCAGTTCTACTCTGTCCTGTAGCGTGGCTGTGAGTCGAAATCAACTGGACGGCAGAGGGTTTGGTTTTGGTTTACTCTGCCTCCTCCTTGTCCTCGCCTTGAGGCCTGACCTGACCCCTTCACTGCAGTCATCCAGATAGATAATTGTGTCCCTGGAGTTTGGGTCCTTGGTCCACACTGTCTCTGATGGAGGGCTTCAAGCTGATTTTTACAGGCCAGCCCTCCCCGGGCATGGGGGAAGGTAACATACTGTGGATTCATTACCCTTCCCCACTATGTGCCAGGTGCCTAGAACTGTGCCTGACATCCAGTAGGTGCTCAACAAATATTGTTGTTGCTGAATATGTCTCCTCTCTTTTGCTTGCAGATGACCTAGGCAGTGGGGACATCGGCAGTGGGGACTTCCAGATGGGTAAGTTGCTGAGGCTCCCCCTTCACCCCATAAAGCCCCAGCAGGTCTCCCAGCCACGGAAGCCCCATCGCCTGGGCTGAGGGCCTCAGAGACTCCTGGGGCCTGCCCTGGAGGGCAAGCTCCATGGGGTGTTCTCTGACTTGCTGAGTGACAGCTGTGTGGAACCAGTGGCAGGTCCCTACAACATTGGGGATGGCCAGGCTTCTGCACTTGCCTTTGCCACAGGCCCAGGGCAGGGGCCAGGAAATGCCCAGTTCTGATGGGGACTGAAAGCCAGCTGGCCAGCATTCAGAGCTAAAATTCTCACCTCCCAGGGCAGCTCAGTTGTGAAATCCTTCCCCAGAGCCCTCCTTGGGGGTGGCTGCTATAGAGCTGGGGGCACCAGGGCAAGGGTGGGAAGAACAGAGGGGCTGTGTGGAATAGGGGGTTCGGGCAGGCTGACAGAGTGGAATCAGCCCCACCCGGACTTGGAAGGGACTCCTGCCTGATAATGGGTCATCTGCTGAGAGGCCAAGAGTTCTGAGTTGAAGGATGACAGCTGGGCTTTGTGGCAGGAAGGGAGTCAGGTGCCCTCTCTGCTGGCACCTGAACTGTGCAGCCAGCACCGGGATGGGGCTTTAGTCCCTGCTTCCTCTCACCCTGCAATCTAGGGTAGAGAAGAAACTACCCCGTGGCAAGGCCCAGCAGCTCCATATGGTTCCTGCTGCTCTCTGTGGGAGCCAGCGCCTGGGGCACTGAGTCATCAAGGTCAAGGATGGAGGAGGGATCAGCTCAGACTGACCATTGGGCAGCCTCACTCCATCCAGTGCTGCTCAAACTGCAGGTCTTGGGCGAGTCTGGCCTGGGCCTTTCTAGGGTTGAGGGTCACCCCCCTTCAGCTGGCATATCAGGGGTATCCAAATGGCAGCTAGTGGCATCCCAGCTTGGCCAGTGCAGACAGGAGGGTTAGGACCTGGGTGGCCTGGTCCTGACTTTGACCTCCCAGCACCTGGGACTGGGACTCTGCCTGAAGCTTCTCCACATGCAGTCTCTGCAGGGCTACAGGATGCCTGAGAGATCGGGGAGGGGTACAGGAGTGGGAGCATCCCAACAGCCCCTACAACCACCCTGCTCCCCAGAATGGCCTCTGCCGACAGCCCCATGCACTCACGCCACTCCCCAGAGTGGCCTCTGCCGACGGCCCTATGTACTCACCCCACACCCCAGAGTGGCCTCTGGCAGTGTTTGCCAGGAGCTGCCTGTTGCCAAGACATGCCTGCCTGCTGAGGCCACAGTCCTCTGGGAAACATCTGTGACCCCTGCATGGGGCTCTTGCTCTAAGCAGTCCCTGCCACCCACCTCCCCTCCCTGAGAAGCAGTTGTGAGGGCAGGAGAGGCCAGAGGTGGGGGAAGGAGTGGGGCTGGGGAGTAGCAGCTGAGGAGGGCCCAACACCTTTCCTTGTGAGTGGGGGCCCATCTGTGGGAGGAGGTGGGGCCTAGACTCTCCAGGCTCAAACCCTGGTACCGCCCACTGCCCTTGGGGGTGGGTCCAGGGCTGGATTGAATCTCAGCTGGAGGCAGCAGGTGTGTCTCCTGGATTCCCAGAGTCTCAGAGTGCCTGCTTCAGCCTGGCCCAAGGACGGTGCCCTCCAAGCAAGGCCACTCTGCCTATGACGGGGCCATGCCCGGGCCGTGCCCCTCACCTCAGACCCCAGAGTCTAGCCTCTGAGATTACTCTCCTCTCTCTTCCTTCCCCACTGTCTTCCTGCAGGCAGGGCTCTGGCTGGCCTAGCCCTGCCACAGCCCCTGTCCCCAGCCCCACCTGTGTGCCAGTACCCTCCCTGACAGCCTCTGGCTCTGCCTGCCCTCCTTGGGACCCCTTCCCACCTCCCCTCACCCAGTTTTTTTTCACCTTCTGACCTGTCTCTTTTTCCCACTTTTGTCTGTCCTGCTGTGACATCTGTCTCCATCTCCACCCCTGCCCCGAGCTATCTCTGTCCTCTTGGTGTCTCTGTTTCTGTTTGGCTCTCCGTCTCTGCCTCCATCTCTGCCCCTTATCCCTCCCTCCTCTCTGCCTTTGTCTCACCTTTTCTCTCTCCGCCTTTCTGTGGGTTTCTGTATCTGTCTCTCTGTGTCCCTCATTTCTACCCTCCCTCCCTCTGTCTCTGTTTCTTCCTCCGTCTCTCTCCGTCTCCATGTCTCTGTCTCTGATTCTCTCTGTCTCCCTCTGTCTCTCTCCTTCTCCATGTCTCTGTCTCTGATTCTGTCTGTCTCCCTCCGTCTCTCTCCGTCTCCATGTCTCCGTCTCTGATTCTGTCTGTCTCCCTCCGTCTCTCTCCGTCTCCATGTCTCTGTCTCTGATTCTGTCTCCCTCCGTCTCTCTCTGTCTCCATGTCTCTGTCTCTGATTCTCTCTGTCTCCCTCCGACTCTCTCCATCTCCATGTCTCTGTCTCTGATTCTCTCTGTCTCCCTCCGTCTCTCTCCGTCTCCATGTCTGTCTCTGATTCTGTCTCCCTCCGTCTCTCTCTGTCTCCATGTCTCTGTCTCTGATTCTCTCTGTCTCCCTCCGACTCTCTCCGTCTCCATGTCTCTGTCTCTGATTCTCTCTGTCTCCCTCCGTCTCTCTCCATCTCCATGTCTCTGTCTCTGATTCTGTCTCCCTCTCTCTGCCTTATTCTCTCTGTCTCCCTCCCTATGCCTAATTCCGTCTCCTTGCCCGCCTGTCTTGCTCTGTGCTGCTCCCTCTGCAGGCTCTGGGCCGTCCCTGGGCCGCCCTCCTGTGGCTGGCATGATGGTCTCCAAGCCTGATGAGGAGGCCCCTCTCAGTAAGTGACCGAGGCCCACCCTGGCCCGCTGGGGGCCTCCATCTCCCTCTGCCTCCCTCCCACCCTCTCGCGCAGTTCTTCCTTCTCTCTCCTTCCTCCCTATTCTCTCCTTCAACCTCAGAGACACCGCCCTGCAGAGTCCAGCCACTGCCCCTCCCCAGCTGGTCCCCTCTCTTTCCCCTACCCAGCACACAGCTAGGCCCCCTCTGGGCCCAGGGATCTAAACCCAGTGGACTGGGACCCTGGGCTCCTCCCCACTGGGGTGCTAGCTGGGCAGGGATGGGCACAGCAGCCCCCTAGGAAGCAAGACTGTAGAGTCTGGAGGCACCTTATATCTACCTCAGGACAGGCTGACCCTGGGCCTGTTCAAGGGGCCTAGAGGGACCCAGGGCTGGAATTCAGGGGCCTGGGTGTGAGGAGCTCTTTTGAGCAGGGAGTGGGCAGTGGGAGTTGGTGGAGCAGCATGTCCCTGGGCTAGGGGTAGTCAACTGTATACCCCACCACCACCCTGGGTGCAGGGCAGCTGTGGCCCCCCACCCCCCAGCTTCTGGCTCTAAGTGAGCTCTCCTGATGGGGTCATAACAAGGGCCTGGTGGGAGAAGGCGGGTAGGACAGATACCCAGAGAGCACCCTCGACTCACTCCCTCACAGCCACCCTGGTCCCCTTAGCCCTAGGGGGCTGGCTTCTGGAGTGGATTCTTGGAGCAGGCATAGCCTCACCTTCTGCCCCAACCCTCGGGCACCCGTCATAGGAGGCAGCACAGGATAAAGGAGACAGGGTGCTTGCCCTGACCTGCCCCTGGGCTGGGAGAAGGAAGGGGGTGGGGTCCTGCTAGAGGGTCCGTGCCCTTCCCAAGCCCTAGTAGAAAGGGGCTTTGTGGAGCCCAGACCCCTCCCCCTGGGAGCGGGCACATTCCTGGGCAGAGGCCCGGCCTCCTTGTCCATGCAGGCCATGGGGCTGAGGCCAGGGGCCGGGGTGGGTGACTGTCAATGGGCCTCTGTGCTGGCTCACAAGGGGCCTCTGTGGCCAAGCTCACGGCCCCCACACTCAGGCCTGCAGAGCCCCGCCCACCCGGGCACCCAGGAGCCCACGCCAGCATGGTCCCTGTGGATCAGAGCAGGCAGCATGCCTCAAAAGCACCTCTGCTGCCACCTGGGAAAGTAGGAGTCCACTCCTCCATGCTGCATGGCCTGCCCCATCCTGATCCTGCAGGGCTTTCTTCCGCTGAGCCTCACAGGGAAAGGGTCCTGGCTCTGCTGGGGAGGGGGGCAGGTGCATGCCGATGGGCCTGATGGACAGAAAGTGGAGTGGAAGGAGGACAGGCCCGGGGGTCAGGCACACCTGATGTTTCTCCCTGCTGTGGTCATCTGTCACCTCTTTGAGCCCAGTACTGCCTCAGGGATTTTGCACTTGCCGTTCCACTGCCTGGAATGCTCTTCTCCCAGAAACCTTTGTGTGGCATGGCTCACGCTCTTCCTTCAAACATGCACTTCACAGGGAGGCCTTCCCTGGCCACCCTGTAGAAAACAGCAGCCCACCCCACCCAGCATGCCCTCCTTGGCTTTTTTTCCATAGTGCCATATAGTCCTTGCTCATTTGTTTTATTTTCTTCCTCCCCCACTAGAAGGTGATCCCCACGGGGACTGTGACTTTCATTTGTTTAATTCCCTGCTGTACCCCTGCCCCTGGAACACTGCCTAGCATATAGTAGGTCCTCACTATAGATTTGTGAAAGGAATGAATGCCTCTCTTGATGGGAGGAAATAAAACCAGACCCGTTCCTTATGTGTGTCACAAAGACCAGGTAATAATAATAGCAAATCCATGTAGCCCCTACTATGCGCCAGGCACTGTTCTAAGCACTTTACATTTATTAGCCTATTTAATCCTCACAACAGCGTCTGGGATAGGTGCTGTTATTATCCTCATTTTACAGTTGAGGAAAGGGAGACTCAGAGAGGTTAAGTAACTTGCCCAAGGGCTATTCGTGGCAATTTTGCTCCAGAGTCTGGGCTTTTAACCACTAAGCTGTGCCGCCACTCATGTAATAATAGCTCATATTATTTTGTACCGACTATGTGTCAGGCTTGGAGCCCTGGTGGCTCGGTACTTAAGAGTTCTCTGCTAACCAAAAGGTCAGCAGTTCGAATCCACCAGCTGCCCCTTGAAAACCCTATGGGGGTAGTTCTCCTCTGTCCTATAGGGTCACTATGAGTTGGAATCCACTTGATGGCAATGAGTTTGGTTTTTTTTTTTTTTTAATGTGTCAGGCTCAGTTGTAAGAACTTTGTACTATATTAAATACATTTGTAACTCATATTAACTTATTTATAACTCATACCTTAATTCATAAATATTATGAGATTTAATGCGTTAAAAATATCTTGCACATAATAGGTGCTCAAGAAACGATTCTGTGTGTGCGTACACACCAGTCTGTGTACTTCATAACTGTATGGTATAAATTGATTTGGCTATAATTTATTCAGCACATACTATGTGCCAGCTTCTGTTCTAAGTGCTTTATTGTTGTTGTGTGCCATCGAGTCAATTCTGACTCATAGCAACCCTATATGACAGAGTAGAACTGCCCCGTAGGGTTTCCTAGGCTGTAATCTTTATGACAATAGATTGCCAGGTCCTTTCTCCAGCAGGGCCACTAGTGGGTTTGAACGACTGACCTTTCGGTTAGCAGCCGAGCGTTTAACCAGTGCATCACCACAGCTCCTTATATGTAAGCACTTTATGTATATTATATATCTAAAAACATATACATGTACATATATACACACACACTCATCTGCAACTGCTATTAATTCATTTATAACTTGTATATGAACTCATGACCTTTATGAGATTTAATGTATATGAAATGTCTTGTATGTAGTAGATGCCTAAGAAACGATTGTTGTATGTGTGTGTTCACACCAGTCTGGTGTGATTTCATTCAGCCATCACTTATTAAGCACCTAGTATGTGCCAGGAATGGAGTCCTGGTGGCGTAGTGGTTAAGCGCTTATCTGATAACCAAAAGGTTAGCAGTTCTAATCCACCAGCTGCCTCTTGGAAACCCTATGGGGCAGTTTTACTCTGTTCTCTAGGGTCACTGTGAGTCAGAATTGACTCGATGGCAACAGGCGTGGTTTTGTTTGGGTTTTTTTTTTTTCCTTGTATTATGTGCCAGGAGGAGCCCTAGTGGCGCAGTGGTTAAGCACTCGGCTGCTAACCGAAAGGTCGACAGTTCAAATACACCAGCCGCTCCTTGGAAACCCTGTGGGGCAGTTCTGCTGTGTCCTATAGGGTTGCTATGAGTCGGAGTCAACTCGACGGCAATGGTTATATGCCAGGCACGACACAGGCACTGGGGATAGAGGGGGAATGAGGTCCAAGGTGCCCACCCTCATCAAGCTTACAGTCTGGTGGTGGAGACTGACCAAAAACAAGCAAAAAAGGCAACAGCTTCTGATTCTCTAGTTCTTTGTGCACAGGAAGATGACTCACAGAAGCCCAGTGGGTAAATACAGTTAATATCCCCATTTTACTCAAGGGAAAACAGAGGCTCCAGGAGGTGGAGTCAGCTGCCTGAGGCGTGGCTGACCTCAGAACCCTTGAATTTTCCCATGATGCTCCATGGCCCAAGTATAACCAGACAGAATCAATGTAGTGGAAGGTGCGCTAATGGCTGTGGGAGCCCATAGGAGGGCTGGGCTGGAAGAAGGCAGTTCAGGCAGTCTTCTTAGAGGAGGTGATGGCTGAGCTGAGCCCAAGGGATGAGTAGGAGCTGGCCAGGAAGAATGGGAAGCATATCCCAGGCACACAGGAGTAGTCCCCATGCCAGGGCAGCCTCCTCTAAAGACCGCCCCTGCCTGCCCAGCCTTCCTCTGAGCCACTGGGGTCTCTTTCTGCGCTATCACCTTGTTTCTGGATCAGGACATTTTCCCTGTTGGTGGAAGCCCCTCATTCAAGGGCAGGGCCTTGGCACTGACGCCGAGCAGACCTTCCAGACCCACAGTGGCAGGTGCTCACCATGGACAGTGTGGGGCCTGGCTGTGAACACACAGATATCAGCCTGTGCAGAGACCTCAGAGACCATCCCGCCATCCCCACCTATTGGTCCAGCTGCCTGAGGCCATCAGCTGCCAGGCTGGGCCCCTCACGGTGACACCTCGTTTCCGCAGTTTATTTCCGGGCTCTGGTCAATTTCACTCACTCCTTCGACTACAGCCCCCAGCTGGAGGATGCGGGCTCCGAGGAGTTCCGAGAGGTGTCTGAGGCTGTAGTAGACACGGTGAGATGAAGGGGCCTTGGGGAGCTCCCTGGGTGTGGCAGGGCAGGACTGGGGCTGGGGTGACGGGGTCTGGAGGCTGATGGTGCTGTGTGCTGCCGTTTCCCTCCCCAGCTGGAGTCAGAGTACTTGAAGATCCCTGGAGACCAGGTTGTCAGTGTGGTGTTCATCAAGTGAGAAGGGTCCCCGTGGGGCTGGTGGGTCCTGGGGGGCAGCCTGCAGGGGAGCGGCGCTCACACTAGCAGGGGAGAGGCTTAATGTGATGAATCTCTATTGGTGGGAATTCAGGAATCCGTAGGGGGTAATTTGGACCTTAAATTACCCTGCTTAGGGTACAGGCCACCCAGAAACAGGGAGGTGTCAGGAGCTCAGGGATGAGCATGGGACAGGGACTACTGGAGTTTCTGAGACCTCAGGCATCTTCTCACCTTCTCCCCTGCCCTGTCCCCATTCCTAGGGACCTGGATGGCTGGGTCTTTGTGGAGCTGGATGTGGGCTCGGAAGGGAATGCAGATGGGGCCCAGATTCAAGACGTGCTGCACTCGGTCATCTCCAGCGGCTCCATTGCCTCCTACATCACCTCTCCCCAGGGCTTCCAGTTCCGACGCCTGGGCACAGGTGAGCCTATCCTTGAGTCACCTCCTCCAGTTCTTGGACTCATGTGGGCCTCCTTTCAGTGTCCCAACCATGAGCTCTCCTAGTGTAGGCTTGCACACCACCAGGGACAGAGAGCTCACTACTTCCAGAGTTTCCCCCGTCAATCTTTTTGCAACCTTGGCTTGGGTAGAGCATGGTCTCTTTCCTCTGATACGTACACATTAGACCCAGATTCTGCCCAGTAGGTATATAGCCCTGTATACATTAAGAAAAAAACCTGTTACCGTCAAGTCAATTCCTACTCATAGTTGGACCCTATGGGACAGAGTAGAACTGCCCCGTAGAGTTTCCAAGGAGTGTCTAGTGGATTCGAACTGCCGACCTTTCGGTTAGCAGCCGTAGCACTTAACCACTATGCCACCAGGGTTTCCCTCTATACATTATGAACAGATAATTGTTCCTGTCTTCGTATGGCACTTTTGGGCCCAAAACACATTTATATTAAATAATAACCAGCTGTTGTTGATTGAGCATGGACTATATGCTAGGTGCTGTGCTAAGGCCCTTATATCCAGCCTCCCATTTAGTCTTCACAACAATTCCTTTGAAGTAGATATTATTGTTGTTAAGTGTTGTTGAGCTGATTTTCGACTCATAGCGACCCCATGTGACAGAGTAGAACTGCCCCATGGGATTTTCTAGGCTGTAATCTTTACAGGAACAGATTGCCAGATCTTGTCTCCTATGTAGCCACTGGGTGGATTCGAACCACCAATCTTTCAGTTAGCAGCTGAGCACTTAACCAGTGTGCCACCAGGACTCCTTGAAGTAGATATTATTCCTCCCATTTTACAGATAAGGGAATTGAGGCTTAGAAAGGAAAGGTGGCTGGTCCAAATCCACATAAGCAGATATTGGAAAAGCCACAATTTAAACCAAACCTGGAGTCTGTGCCAGCCCTGCCAGACCTGCGAGGAAAGCAGGGCTGATCAGCCCACACTTTACAGATGAAAAACTGAGGCTTAGAGAGAATAGGAAGCTAGTCCAAGGTCCCACAGCTGTTAGGTGCAGAGATTGGCCTTTGTACTCTTGGCTGGCCCAGGTTTTTTTTTCATTGCGCCTCTCTTCCGGTTTCTGACACCCTGAGTCTTTTCTTCTCTAGTCCTAACAGTCCCAGTTCCCCTAACTGTTTCTCACAGGCTGTAGTTCTCAGCCCTGTCCCCATCCCAATCCCCTCTCTCTGGGAAGGCCTCAACATGTCACTGTCCGTGACTCAGTGGAACCCAGAACTGAACAAACTCCATCCCTATCTCATGGTGTAGCCTCCTCAGAAAAAAATATTGAAACCATCACCTCCCTTGTTCTGCGCACTAAACCTCAGTTAATCTAACCAAAGATCAAGTTTGCTCCTTTGGCATCGCCAGGGCCACTTCTAAAGGCTGCTGGGGGTCCAGCCCCCTCTTCCCCCACTTTTTCATGAGTCTTCTTGAGTAAGAGAGATCCCCCAAGAGGGATGAGTCTGACCCAGACCTGTAGCCCACAGCTCCCAGATCCCAAGTGGGCAGCTGCTGACCACACCTTCCTTTCCAGCACAGACACCCCCACCCCCCCAGGCCGCTGTGGCGGCTGCAGTGACACCAGGTGAGAGTGTAAACCTGGCCCAGACCAGACCCAGCTGGGGAACTAGAGAAGTTAATGGCTGGAGGGGAAAGAAGGTTGAGGGCAAGATGGCTGGGCACAGCCCACAGGCCGCCCCTTCTCCCTTTCTCGCTGGGCCAGGATGTGGCCTGCATGTGTGTGGTGTGGTTGCATGTGTGTGGCATGTTCACTGTGTATGGGGTCTCCGTAAGGGATGGGTGAGGCCACTGCCCTGTGTCCGTGACCCATGTGTGCTGTGGATGTATCTCTACCATGTGCTCCTTGCTCTTGCTGTGTCTGCCGGAAACTAAGTGACCTGGCACAGGGCACCACTGCCTGCTCCAGACATGCGGTGCCCTTGCCCTCCCTCTGCCCTTCCCCAAGCTCCCACCTGCCACCTCTGACTCCCTCCAACTCCTACAGTGCCCCAGTCTACCAGGGCCTGCACTGAGACTGAGTTTGCCTGCCATAGCCACAATGAGTGTGTGGCCCTGGAGTATCGCTGTGACCGGCGGCCTGACTGCAGGGATATGTCTGATGAGCTCAACTGTGGTGAGGGGCTGCCTGGGGACACAAGTGGCCTGCAGGCTCCAGGGGAGGGTCAGGGGTATGCCTGAGTCTCAGAGTCAGTCTGGGGGCTGCGAGGGCTGGGTGCAGGAGAGGGGCCTTGGGAAGATGGGCAGAGGGACATGGGAAAGATGATAATAGGGTCAGGGCTGGGGGCACTGGATGAGGTGGGGAGTGGTCTTGGGGGTATAGGGAAGGCCTGGGAAGTGTGGAGGGCTAGGGGCGAGGAGCTGCCCCCTCCTGCCAGCTCAAAGCAGATTCTGTCCACAGAGGAGCTGGTTCCGAGCTCTGTGCTACCCGCTCTGGTGGAGACACCACCTCTGCCACCCAAGCCTGAGGCAGCCATTGTACAGCAGCTACCAGACAGCCCCGCTCTCTGGCCTCTGCTCCCTGATCAAGGCAAACCTGTGCCCTGTGGGCCTCATGAGGCCACATGCCACAGTGGGCACTGCATCCCCAAAGACTACCTCTGTGATGGGCAGGAGGACTGCAAGGATGGCAGCGATGAGCTGGACTGTGGTAAAGACTGGGCAGGTGGAGGTGGGGATTCCGGGGATGGAGGGAGCCAGACAGGGAAGGCACTAGCTGAACCCTGCTGGTCCACCCAGGCCCCACGCCACCCTGTGAGCCCAACGAGTTCCCCTGTGGAAACGGGCACTGTGCCTTCAAGCTGTGGCGCTGTGATGGTGACTTTGACTGCGAGGACCGCACCGATGAAGCCAACTGTCGTGAGTGCCGAGGGGCCTGCCCAGGCCTAGCTTGCCCCTGCCCTGTCCCTTCTCAGGCAGGTTTGTTTGCTTTCCCTGCATGAGTGGTGAAGGCCCTGCAGACAGACTTTAAGGTGTCTCTCTCTCTGACCTGTGCAGTGAGGGCTGTCGGTTCTCAGCTGGCCCTTGTAGCAAGCAGTGTGGCTTGACTGCTTGTAGCTAATGCCTCTTTATTTATTTTCTTCATTTTCATTACCATTACTTTTCTTTTTGGTCGTGATGCTTGTGTGTGGGTTAGATGAAAGGCCAAGATGGCCTGATATGCTGGAGTCCTTGGTGAGAGGCTCCTTGATGTATGTGTCAGCCAAAGCCTTACCCTTATGGGTCTACAGAGTTCTCATCTAGAATTGGCTCTGAGTTATTTGTTCATCCATATGCCTAGGTCTGCATCTACCCATCCAGTCATTCATCACTCTGACATCCTGCCTCCCTCACATTTATCTAGCCATCCAACCCATCATCCATCTGTTTACTCATCCATCTACCCAATATCCTACTTTCTTCCATCTTTCTGTTTGTCCAGTCATACATTCCTCCATCCATTGTCCATTTGCCAATTATTCGTCCATCCATCCAACATCTTCCCTTCCTCTCATCCTTCGATCCGCCCGTCCATCCATCCACCCATCCACCCATCCAAGCACCCATCCGTCCATTGTCTTATCTGCCCAGCTCTTTATCCATCTATCTGCCTAACATCCTTCCTCCTTTTCAGCCATCTATCCATCCATCCATACAGCCATCCACTTGTCTGTCCATTGCCCATCCACCTGTCAGTTAATGTTACGGCTGACAGTTGAATGGATGAGGGGTGGTAAAGATGCCTGAGACTGGAGAGTCAGAGACCATATCGGGGAGCATTCTGTGTGTCTGGTCCTATCAGGTGAAGCCTAGGGTTTGTTAGTCCAAGATCAAGGATAATCTCCACACCATTTCTCTCTGACCGTGGATCAGGTCTCTGAGTGTACATGTTGACATTCTCCTGTCAGCTGTCTCAGCTTCTCCTCTGTGCCTTCCCTCGTGCTCCCCACTCCCACAGTAAACATGGGAGAAGCAGCATCGTGGCGCAGACTGGCGGGTTTATGATGCCCTTCCTGTGGCTCTAAGCTTCCTGATTATCTGACAGCAATGACCCCTTGGGAGAAAGTAGTTGAGGGCTTTAGTTAAAAAGCCCGTCTCAGAGCCTTCTGCTGGGGGAATGTAAAAGGAAGGCCGAGTCCTGGTTGACAACACACAGAACAGAGAGCATGTGAAAGCTGCGTGGCCTTAGGCCTCTTCAGGGTTCCAGAAACAGAAGTCCCTGAGGTGGTATCAGCAGATGGTCCCAGCCTCTGCTCAGCTCCTTCTCTGTGGATGTATGGCCTCCATTCCTGCACCACTCTGCCCTCTCTGTCCCTGTCTGTGTGTCTCTCTTAAGCTTAGTCTCCTTGAGGAAGAACACTGGGTCACCATCTAGTAGATTCCCTGTTGGGCCCAGCCTGGTGCCAAGCCTCCTCTGGCCCCTGCCAGTCGGTAGGTGGCTGCCTCAGGTCAGGTGCCATCCCGGGGCTGGTTAGTGGGGCCTGGGTGGCAGGGCTTATGGTCCAGAGCATTGAGCCCCATGGGGGACTGGGATTTGCAGTCCCTTGCAAGGCCTTTTCAGTAGAGAACCTTGTTGAGTATTACCCAATGTCTAGAGATACTGGCCACTTTGGCTGTGCCAGAATGACAGAGCTTGTCTGCGTGTGCGAGACGGTGCTTCTGTGACTCTGACGGGCTGAGGGACACTGGCTGTGATGTGAGGGGACAGTTGTAATTCTGTTGTGGGGGACGCAGGTGGAGTGACTGATGGGGACAGGGTATCATGACGTACTGTTTGATAGCCAGCTCATGATGGTGTCATGCTTGGTGTGATGTTGTGGACAGTGTGTGGCAGCAGTAGCTGGGCCTGGTGAAGGCAGCTGTGTGTCATGTGAGATGAGTGGCCCTGGGGACATCTGGAGAGGGTGGACAAGGTGGGCTGTTGGGGGCAGGTAGGAAATGGATTAGTCTTCCCTGAGAGCAGTGCCCTAGTGCCCACACCCCCTGGCTCTGCCCTTCAGCTGCCAAGCACCCCGAGGACGTGTGTGGGCCCACGGAGTTCCGCTGTATCTCCACGAATACGTGTATCCCAGCCAGCTTCCACTGCGATGAGGAGAGCGACTGTCCCGACCGCAGCGACGAGTTTGGCTGCAGTGAGCAGGGAGCGGGGGGGGGGTGAGGGGGGCAAGATCTGGGCACTGGGCCTGGGCTGGGTTCCAGTTCCTCTCCACAGCCTACCCTTCTCCAGCCTAGCTCCTCTGGGTCATCCCCAACTCCTCTTCCCTGGGCCCCTCACACCCCTCACTCCTGCTCTGGCCTCCCCAGTGCCCCCCCAGGTGGTGACCCTTCCCCAGGAGTTGATCCAGGCTTCCCGGGGCCAGACAGTGACCTTCACCTGCGTGGCCATTGGCATGCCCACCCCCATCATCAACTGGAGGCTCAACTGGGGCCACATCCCCTCGCACCCCAGGTGCAGCTCTGGGCCCGGGCAGGGGTGGAGGTGAGGGGAGGCAGGGCCAGTGGCCCAGTCCTGACCCCCTCCTCTGTCTTGGTACCCACCCAGGGTGACAGTGACCAGTGAGGGTGGCCGCGGCACGCTGACCATTCGTGACGTGAAGGAGGGAGACCAGGGTGCCTACACCTGCGAGGCCATGAATTCCCGTGGCATGGTGCTCGGCGTTCCCGACGGGGTCCTGGAGCTCATCCCGCAACGAGGTGCGGGCTAGGGGGCAGGTGGGTGCTGGTGTGGGGTGGGGCAGGGCTGCCTGCCGGCTAAGCTCACTCCCATACCCATGCCTCCCAACAGGCCCCTGCCCTGATGGGCACTTCTACCTGGAGGACAGTGCTTCCTGCTTGCCCTGCTTCTGCTTTGGCGTCACCAATATGTGCCAGAGCAGCCGCCGCTTCCGGGACCACATCCGATTGCGCTTTGACCAGCCTGATGACTTCAAAGGTATGTGGGCATGAGGGTGCTGGGTGGATGGGAGGCAGACACCAGACCCTGGAGGGCTTAGATGGCAGATATGGGAGAGCAGCATACGCTGGACAGATGAGGTCCAGGTTAGCAGAGTGACACAGGGTTGCTGAGCTCTGTAAGCAAAGCAGTGCAGGGGAAAACAAATGCTTTTAGGAAAAACCAAATCCACACTTGATATTTGCCTACTTCAGGTTATGAAGTTCATGGACTCTGGAGCCTGATTCCAATCCTGCCTCTGACACTTACAGCCTGTGTGTCCTTGGTCAGGTTACTATCTTGTGTCTCAGTTTGGTCATTTATAAAACGGGGATAAAATAATAACTGCCTCCTAGGTTGTTCTAGGAATCTGGGTGGCACAAGCATTTTGCATTCAGCTGCTAACTGAAAGGTTGGCAGTTTGAAAGTGCCCATTTGTGCCGTGGGAGAAAGGCCTGGCAATCTTCTTCTGTAAAGATGACAGCCAAGAAAACCTTATGTAGCAGTTCTACTCTAACACATGGTGTCACCAATAGTCGGAGGCAGACTCAACAGCAGCTAAAAACAACAGCAAGGTTGTTATGAGGCCTTAAGGAGTTAATATATGCAAGCCACTCAGAATAGTGCTTGGCCCAGGTAAGGGTCCAGTAAGTGTCACTGATGTCATCATCCTCATCAGACTGAGAGGTGCCAGGATCCCCAGAGCACAAGAGCACAGGCTTTGGCATCTTAGCCCAGGCTGACTTCCAGCTACACCACTTCCTGCCTGTGTGACTTTGGGCAAGTCTCTTGGCCTCTCTGGGCCTGTTTTCCCAAACATAAAGGCAGGCAGTTGGACTCAATTCTCTCTCTCTCTGGGAGACAGAGTGGCAGGACAGCTAAGCCATGGGCTCAGACATCAGGCAGACTTGGATTCCAGTCCTAGCTCTGTCATTTAACACCTGACATCAGGCAGCCCCTCATCTGGCTGAGCTTCATTTCCTTCATCACAGAGGGTTAAATGCATATAGAGGGCTTAGCTCCACATACAGTAAGTACTCAATAAATGTTGCCTATTATTGGCCCTTTGCTAGTTGAAGAACCTCAGAGTTACTGGCATTAAACAAGTTTGCTCCCAAAGTTGTCCCCCAGTTTATTTAGAATAATAATGGTCATGGCCACCATCTGTTGAGTACTCATGTCTGCACCGTGGGCTTGACGTGCCCAGTCCGTGAATTGCCAATGATCCTTGCAAGGCTGGGGCTATTTCTGCTGTTCTACAGATGAGAGCGCTGAGGCTCGGAGAGGTTGTAGGCTGTCCCTGGGATCACACAGCTATTTAGAGGAGAGCTAGAAGCTGGACCTATCTGATTGGAATTGTGGATGGTCAGGGTGAGCGGGGATTCCAGGGAGAGCAGGTGGCCTGTGCATGGTTGGTGACCAGGAGGGAGGGGACCTGAAAACATCCACAGAAAGGAGGAAGGCAGGCCTAGGGAGGTGTAGCCTGGACTTGGATGCTGCCATGGTCGTTCTGCAGAAGAGAGGCCAGACTCCTTCTCTGTGATCGCAGTGGGCTACATTCAGAACCAAGGGAGAAGTTACTGTCAGACAGATGGAGACTCAGTGTAAGCAAGAACTAAGAGTCTAAACCGCCCAGATCTGGGGACAGAGCTGAAGATAAATGTGGAACAAAATTCTGACCCACAAAAAAAGACCAGACTTACTGGTCCGACAGAGACTGGAGAAACCCCGAGAGTATGGCCCGTCGACACACTTTTAACTCAGTACCGAAGTCACTCCTGAGGTTCACCCTTCAGCCAAAGAATAGACGGGCCCATAAAACAAAAGGAGACTAAATGGGCACATCAGCCCAGGGGCAAAGACAAGAGGGCAGGAGGGGACAGGAAAGCTGGTAACGGGGAACCCAAGGTCGAGAAGGGGAGAGTATTGACATGTCATGGGGTTGGCAACCAATCTCACAGAACAATATGTGTATTAAATGTTTAATGAGAAACTAGTGTGCCCTGTAAACCTTCATCTAGGGCACAATAAAAAAAAAAAAATGAGGAGGTTAGATTACCAGGTGGTCTCTAATAGCTCATCGTTCTAGGATAAACTTAAATTGAGATAGATATTAAAGTGTATGTAAATCCAACTGTCAATAACACTAGGATTGGAATTCTGTTTTCTTACCCCCGACCCAGCCCTGGAATCAACCACCAGTTGTTGTTGAGTCAGTTCTGACTCATGGCGACCTTGTGTGTCAGAGTAGAACTGTGCTCCGTACGGTTTTCAATGGCTGATTTTTTGGAAGTAGATCACCAGGCCTTTCTTCCGAGGTGCCTCTGGGTAGACTCAAACCCCCAACCCTTCATTAGCAGCCAAGTGCATTAACTGTTTATACCACTCAAGGACTTTAATTCATCATGTGTTCTTCATGTAATTAGCTTAAAAGTGTTTGGAGTAAGATGAGGAATGAGTGAGGAATCCTTTTCTATTATCCAACTTGCTGCTTTCCAAGACATGAATTACTGTTATGTTGATGGGAAAGATATTGCCTCTGTCCTTACGGCTTCTTGGGCTCAGAAATTCACTAGAATTAAGTCTCGAGAAAGACAATACCCCATGCTTTGTATATTGTCATTCATGGAAGTAATATAATCATTGAAAAATAATCATCTTGGGGGAAAAAAAAATGCCCAGAGCTAGGAGGGACTCCTTTGCAGATAATGAGCTCCCATCCCTTACAACTTGCCATCCAGTGTGGTAGCCACTAGGCACGTGTGGCTGTTTAAATTAATTTCATTCCTTAGCTGAACTTGCCACATTTTAAGTGCTCAGTAGCCACCTGTGGCTAATAGCTATCATACTGAGTAACACAAGCTGAGAACATTTCCATCATCGCAGAAAGCTCTCTTAGATGCTGCTGCCTTAGAGATCTTGAAGGATGCAGTAGAGGGAATTCCTCTGTGTGTGTGTGTGTGTGTGTGTGTATCACATATGCACGGGTGTCTGTGTGTAAGAGAGACTTGGACTAGATGACCATCATAACAGCAGCAACAATAATAGCTAAACATTTTTGAGCACTTCCTTTGTTTTAAACTCTCTTTTAAGCATTTAGTATTAATTTGCTCATTTGATCTTCATAATAATCCCCTGAGACAGGCCACTGTTACCCCCATTTTACAGATAGGGAAACTGAGACATTTGCATTCGCACAGCTGAAGAGCAGTTGAGCCAGGACCTGGTCCAGCACTGTGGCTGAAGCCCCACCCGCTTCAGGCCCATGTAGCTCTCTTTTGCCCCCTGAGGGCTGTTCCAAGATCTATTCGCAAACAAAAGGCTCTGAGAAGTCCTGCTGCAAAGAATCCCTTTGACCCTGTGTTTCCCAAATGGTTCCCAGCCTCCATTCCACAGCATTGGCTTTCCCCAGAGCTTGTTGGAGGAAATACCACTTCAAAACTTCAGTAGGAAAAAGACTGCTTTTTCTTGACTTTGAGAGAGACACCCAAAATTTTTCTTAAATAGAGTTTCTCCCAGAACTTTCCCATCTTTTTCGTGGTGCGTATCTGGGACAGGCACAGGGCCCAGCCCTTGGTCAGGGTCTCTGGCAGTGTTTGGGGGTCCTGACATGCAGTGCTACGGGCCTTGCCCGTCCCTCTGCCACCCACAGGCGTGAACGTGACGATGCCCGCGCAGCCCGGCATGCCGCCCCTTTCCTCCACCCAGCTGCAGATTGACGTCGCGCTGCAGGAGTTCCAGCTGGTCGACCTGTCTCGCCGCTTCCTTGTCCATGACTCCTTCTGGGCTCTGCCCAAGCAGTTCCTGGGCAACAAGGTGAGGGGCCAGGCCGCCGCCCCAGGAGGGGAACAGGCTGAGCCTCTCATTATATGCCCAGAGCCTGCAGACTCTGCTCCCTCTGAAGCTGTTGAGCAGCAGGACAGACTCAGCTCTAAAGGAAGGTGTTGTCCCAGCACAGCCCTCTGTGGGCAGCAGCTCATTCATTCAGGGCAGGGTCTCTGCCAGCAACTATCGGGTTGGGAGGAATGATGACTCAGTCTTTGGGAAGAGCTCGGCATCACCTCCTCCTGGAAGCCCTCCCTGACCACTCCCTCACAACTGGGCTGCGTTTGGTGCCCTCTTGTGACCTCCCCGGGCACCTTTTGCGCAGCATTATCATACTCCTCTTGTCTCAGTCAGGGTTCTCTAGAGAAGCAGAAACAGTGAGAGGGTGATTTACTTTAAGGGTTTGGCTCACACAATTGTAGGGGGTAGAATGTCCAAAATCTGTAGGTCAGGCCACAGGAAGAGTGCAGAGTTGAGAGAGTGTGAATTCTGCCAAAGTATCTACTTATTGTCTGGAGGCAGAACACACCCTAAGGAACTCCTCTTTCAACTGATTGATGATAACATTCCATTAGGTTACACTGTAGAAAAGTGATTCGTTACATTGCGTTAGATCCCATTATGGAACAGCAACTAGTCTAGTGTTTGGCAAAACCACTGGGAACCATAGCCTAGCCAAGTTAACACAAAATTAACCATCACACCCGTCGTTGGACTGAACTCCCCAAAGGCAGAGCCTGAGTCTCACCCATCTCTGCATCCCTGTGCCCACCTTAGTGCCAGGTATACAGTGAGTATCAGTTGTGAGTGTGGGCAGGTAGAGGGTGAGGTAGCCACTCATGGTGGTCACAGTGAGCCTCAAGTGTGTCCACGGCTGACCTGCCCTGATCCACCTTGTCTCTCCAGGTGGACTCCTACGGTGGCTCCCTGCGCTACAAGGTGCGCTATGAGCTGGCACGTGGCACACTGGAGCCGGTGCAGAGGCCAGACGTGGTCCTCGTGGGTGCTGGATATCGCCTGCTCTCCCGGGGCCACACGCCCACCCAGCCTGGTGCTCTGAACCAGCGCCAGGTCCAGTTCTCTGAGGTGGGTGGTGCCTGAGCCATCAGGGCTGGGGGTGCAGGGAGGCTGCAGGTGGGGTGGACGCTGATGTGTGCCCCCCCTCTCCTTCATCCACACCCAGGAGCACTGGGTCCACGAGTCTGGCCGGCCAGTGCAGCGAGCAGAGATGCTGCAGGTGCTGCAGAACCTGGAGGCCGTGCTCATCCAGACAGTGTACAATGCCAAGATGGCCAGTGTGGGGCTGAGTGACATAATCATGGATACCACTGTCATGCACACCACCAGCCATGGCCGCGCCCACAGCGTGGAGGAGTGCAGGTGCCTGACCTGGCAGGGCTGGGGAACACAGAGACCCCAGCAAGGATAAGAGGGAAAGAGCAGGGCCTCATAGTTCCTGCAGCCACTCTTGGTCCTACCCCCTAGATGCCCTGTTGGCTATTCCGGCTTATCCTGTGAAAGCTGTGATGCCCACTTCACCCGGGTGCCTGGTGGGCCCTACCTGGGCACCTGCTCTGGCTGCAGCTGCAATGGCCACGCCAGCTCCTGTGACCCTGTGTATGGTCACTGCCTGGTGAGTAGTGCCAACTGGCATTTGGGCACTGGATAGTGACGGGGCAAGGGCAGCATGGGAGGGCAAACTAAACTTTTGTGCCCACAAGCTTAGCACAAGCCTCCAGAATGACTGTTATGGCTGCCAGATAAGCTATCATGATCTCTGGATGCATTAATAGAAGCACAGTGTCCAGAACAAGGGAGATGAACCCACTTTCTTTCCACTCCTGAAGGGTGCCATCTGAAGGACGGCCTGTGGGAGGTCAACCCTAAGAGGAAGGGGCCTAGAAGTCATACTTTATTTCTTAGCAATAGTGGAGGGAGCTGAGATTGTGGAGCTGACAGAAGAAAAGGCTCCAGGAGGGCAAAACTATTACCTCCAAATCCCAGAGCTGTCAGGTATAGAAAAAACAGGCTCCAAAGGGCAGAACTGGCCTGTGGGTGCGGATTGGGAGAGGGAGGCAGGTTTAGGTTAGTATAAAGTAGGCATGTGGGGACGTCTGTGGGACAGGATGCTGTGTGAGGTGGTGAGCTCCCTGTCATCACTAAGAAGATCTGTCTTGGAAGCTGTGGAGTAACTTTAGCATGATGGGGGAGGCTGAGCCAGATGGCCTCAGAGATGCACCCCAGAGCTTGTCATCTGGCCCAGCGTGGCCCCGGGGATGGAAGGGCTTGCTCTGTAGAACCTGAGCCGTTCCTTCCCCCTTCTTCCAGAATTGCCAGCACAACACAGAGGGGCCACAGTGCAACAAGTGCAAGGCCGGCTTCTTTGGGGATGCCACAAAGGCCACGGCCACTGCCTGCCGCCCCTGCCCCTGCCCGTACATCGACGCCTCCCGCAGGTCAGACTTGGCTCAGGGTGGGACAGCTACGGCAGAAAGTGCGGGCAGTTCAGTGAGTAGGGGACATACTCTCAGCAGGGATGTGGGAGGCCTGGGTTCAAATCCCAGCCTGGTCACTAAGTTGTTCCATGCCCCTTGGCCCCTCTGAGCCTCGGTTTCCTTTTCTGTACGATGGGCCCATCTGTCTTCCTAGGGTTGCTATGAGGCTACAGATCACGAACAGGTGGGCAGGGAGACAACATCATAGCATGCTATGTCTGTGTGGACAGCAATCAGTACACAGGGTGAGGGTGTAAGGCCTGGCCACCTGATACCCACAGGTTCTCAGACACCTGCTTCCTGGACACAGATGGCCAAGCCACATGCGATGCGTGTGCCCCAGGCTACACAGGCCGCCGCTGTGAGAGGTGAGGGAGAGCCGGCGGGGACAGGGGAAACAGGCTATACTGGGTGGGGGCATGGAAGTGCCACTGATGGTCCCCTGTTTCCCCCAGCTGTGCCCCCGGATACGAGGGCAACCCCATCCAGCCAGGCGGGAAGTGCAGGCCTGTCAGTGAGTATAGCAGCCACCATCCCCTGGCTACCCACCAGGCCCTCCCTTTCTGCCCCAGCCTCCAATCCTAGAGCCCAGCCCAGATCTTGTGATGTTTGGGGAGCTGCCCTGCTCTGTCCCTGTTTACCCAGACTGTGTCTGTCCAGTTCCCACCTGCCCTGCCAACACCCACTTTGTGCCCCCAGCCCAGCAGATTGTACGCTGTGATGAGCGAGGCAGCATGGGGACCTCTGGGGAGGCCTGCCGCTGTAAGGTACACCTGCCGTCCCCACCCCACCCCAGAAGCCTCTGGGACACAGAGGGAGGGAGGAGCTGCAAGGAGGAGGCTCCATCCTCTCTAGAGCTCCTTGGCTGGTGGGCAGTGCCTAGTCAGAAGCTGATGAGCCTGGCTGACTAGTCTTCCACCACGTGAGAGGCAGCCTGACATTGGGGAAGGAGCCCTGGTTGGGGTATCAGATGACCTGGGTTCAATTCCCAGATCCTTTGCCATCTGTTCTTTGTGTGACCGTTGTGTCTGCTCTGTACCTTTGTTTTCACCTTAGTCTAATCCTCGTATTGACACAATAATGTCAGTATTAGCATCCCCATTTGGCAAATGAGGAAATGGAGACTCAGAAGGGAGAATCAGGTGTCAATGAGGGAAAGATCTGGACAGTTTTTTTGAGTCAGGCAGTCCTGATCGTGAATCCTAGTGGATTAGCAAGTTGACTGACCTTGTGTAAGTCATTGCATATCCCTGAGCCTCAGTTTCTTCATCTGAAGCATGGAGATAACACATACTTTACGAAGTACTTAAGAGCATTCCATAAATAGTAGTGATTTCATAAATAGTATGAAACATTCCATAAATAGTAGCAATAATTATTTTTACCAAGTTGCTATATTTGAAATGTGAATTTATTTGAGTACCCTGGCAGCCAGAGAGAAAGGGAAAAACAGTTGGTCACATAAGCTCCCATTAATTGGGAATGGTGGTGAATGTTCAGATAGTGGTGATGCTTTAACCTTGAGCTCTTTTCGTGACTTACCCCCCGGGCCTTGAGTCTCCATCTAACGTGGGCAGATTAGTCTGGAAGCTCCAGGCAGCCCCTCCCATGGGCCATCCTGCAGCTCCCAGCTCTATGCCTGCAGAACAACGTGGTGGGCCGCCTATGCAATGAGTGTGTTGATGGCTCCTTCAACCTGAATGCCCGCAACCCCGATGGCTGCCTCAAGTGCTTCTGCATGGGCGTCAGCCGCCAGTGCACCAGCTCCTCCTGGAGCCGCGCCCAGGTACCTGTGCGAGGTGGGCTGGCAGGCAGGTGGGACCTCCAAGCTTAGGGCTGGGGATGCTGAGCACCAGGCCCAGGCTCTGGCCTCCATCCCAGTCTCCTTTCCTCCCAGGTGCATGGAGCCTCTGAGGAGCCCACCCAGTTCAGCCTGACCAACGCCGCAGGCACCCACACCACCAGTGATGGCATCTCGTCACCCACACCTGGGGAACTAGTCTTCGCCTCCTTCCACAGCCTCCTGTCTGAACCCTACTTCTGGAACCTCCCCTCACGCTTCCGGGGGGACAAGGTGGGCACCGGGTTGAGAGAGGAAAGGGAATTCCAGGCAGCAAGAATGGCATAGGCAAAGGCTTGGAAGGACTGTCCTGGTGCCTTTGGAGAAGACTAAGACATTGTGCATGAAGGAAGTGGCTGGAGTAGCGTCAGGGCCCGACTGTGGGTGTTCAGCTGAGTGTCCTGTCCACTCTGTGTTGCAGGTGACCTCCTACGGGGGAGAGCTTCGCTTCACAGTGACACAGCGGCCCCAGCCTGGTTCCATGCCACTGCATAGGCAGCCGCTGGTGGTGCTGCAGGGCAACAACATTGTCTTGGAGCATCACGTGTCCCAGCAGCCTAGCCCTGGCCAACCCAGCACCTTCACCGTGCCCTTCCGGGAGGTGAGCAACACTGTCCCAGGAGCCCTTCCTGTGTGTGGAGGGGTTGGCCCCTAGGCTCTTCTCCCTCAGGGTGTTGATACCCAGGGATGTCAGGGGTTGCAGCACATGTATCTTTCCCTGGGCAGCAAGCATGGCAGCGGCCTGACGGGCAGCCAGCCACTAGGGAGCACTTGCTGATGGCGCTGGCAGGCATCGACACCCTCTTGATCCAGGCATCCTACACCCAGCGGCCAGCTGAGAGCAGGTGCCTGGGGCTGGGGCTGGAGGACAGGAGGGGGCTTACGTCTGTGAGCCATCTACCAGCTCTGTCACTTATAGGCTTTGTGGCCTTTTTTGTACCTCGATATACCTATTTGTAAGATGGAGATAACAGTAGTGACACCCTCACCAGACTTGTCTTAGGTTGGGCTCTGTAGAATCAGAGCCTAAGGCAGGGATTGGGTGCACGTGATTCACAAGGAGAGCCTGTAAGGTGTAAGGGGGCGGGGGAGGGAAACAGGATGGAGAAGGGGCCCAGCAAGGATGTGGTTTCAGGGAAAGTCCAGGCCCAGCCTCATCCCACAGGCAGCTCCGGAGCATGAGTGACCCTGCAGAGTCGTCCTGCTTTAAGGCAAAGGCGACAGGCTTTTGTCCTCTGTTATCAGCCTGTCACTGGTCACCCTTGGGGAGTGGGTGGTAGGTATAACCCTCTGGGCAAGGAAGGGTAGACTGCCAGAGAAAGTTTCAGGTGTAAACTGCTAATCACAGCACTCTTAGCAGCTCAGGATAGGTACCCAGTCGGAGATCTGGATGGGGGCCCAACAGCCTCCACAATGAGGCTGTTGGAAGATGAATGAGATAGTTCGTGTAAAGGGCTCCAGGGGTGCCTGGCGCAGAGTAAGTGCTCATTCATGTGGCTCTTGTCATTCCCAGGATCTCTGGCATCAGCATGGACATAGCTGTGCCTGAGGACACCGGCCAGGACACTGCACTGGAAGTGGAGCAGTGTACCTGCCCACCTGGGTACCGTGGCCCATCCTGCCAGGTGAGCCCCCGCCCCCCTGTCCAGCCAGCTCCTCCTCCTTTAGCTCTCCCACCTCCCCAGGCCTCACCACAGCCCTGGCCACTCTGTGCCCCCTGCCCAGAACTGGCCCTGCTGGGGAAGCCCCTCCCATTGCCACCTTCCTATCCCCAGGACTGTGACACAGGCTACACACGCACACCCAGCGGCCTCTACCTGGGCACCTGTGAACGCTGCAGCTGCCATGGCCACACGGAGATCTGCGAACCTGAAACAGGTGCCTGCCAGGTGAGTCCTGCCCCCCTTCCTCTCCTCCCCAGGGGTCTGTGGCCTCAGCAGCCCAGCCTCAACCCATGCTCTGCCCTCCAGGGCTGCCAGCACCACACAGAGGGCCCTCAGTGCGAGCAGTGCCAGCCGGGATACTATGGGGATGCCCAGCGGGGGACACCGCAGGACTGCCAGCCGTGCCCATGCCATGGAGCCCCTGCTGCTGGCCAGTGCGTCCAGCCCCCAGCCTGTCCCTGCCCTCCCTGAAATGTCCACCATTCCTTCCAGACTCCCTTTCTCCCAGCCCCTCTGAGAAGCAGTAGTTAAGTCCTGGCCTCACCACTTCCTCCATGTGTCACCTTTGATAAGATATACTTCACTCTGGACCGACACTTCCTTGTCTGTGAAATGGGGGTAATGATATACCCACCTCAGGCTCTTGTATGAGAATTCAATGAGATGGTGCACATGGACCTCTTGGCATAGTGCCTGGCATGCACCTGGCACTCAGACACGTTAGTGCACATGCCCAGCTCTTCCTTTCCCTGCTTCCCTGGATCTGAAGGAAGAGAGAGAGGAGGAAGGACAGCTGACCTTCTGACTGGGAATTTGTGTTGTCTCTGCCCTACTCTCAGGGCTACGCACACTTGCTTTCTGGACACAGACGGCCACCCCACCTGTGATGCGTGCTCCCCAGGGCACAGTGGGCGCCACTGTGAGAGGTGAGGCGGGGTGGGGTATGGCATGCAGGAGGGGCTACCTCTGGGGTCCTCAGGCTGGGCCTGGCGCTCTGACCTCACACAGGCCCCCAGAAGACACTCAGTTCCCCTCCCAGGGAGCCTGAACCTTTAGCCTGGCATTCAGGGCCCTCAGAGATTCTGGCCTGCTGTTTACCTCCTACCCCCAGCATCCCCTGCCCCAGCCAGGCCAGAATCCTCCTGCAAAGCCCTTATTCTTGCTGAAGGTCCTAGGCTGGATGCATGGTCATGCTGACTCACTGGCTGTGTGGCCTTGGGCACATCTCTGGTCTTTTCTTGCCTGTTTTCCCATCTGTAAAATGGGTGAGTTGGGCTGATTGGTTTCTTCCAGCTCTGTGAGGTCACTGAGTTTCAACACGGGGTCCCCAGGATTCTGTGGTTCTGCCCTCCTTTCATCAAATGCTTTCTCTCTCCCCAGGTGTGCCCCAGGTTACTCTGGCAACCCCAGCCAGGGCCAGCCATGCCAAAGTGAGTAGGTTTGGGGAGGCCATTGGTGTTCGGGTACCCAGTCCCCCCAGGGGTGGAGCTACGACAGAGCCTTTGCCCTCCTTTGACTGGAGCAAGTGATTTTACCTTTGTCAGCCTCAGTTTCTTCATCTGTAAAATGGGGATAGTAATAGGACCCATCTTGGGGCTGTTGTGATAGTGTACGATGCCCAGCATGTGGTAGGTGCTCAGAATAAACACGCTTTTCTCAGTGGTGAGCTAGATGCCCAGAGTGTGGTGGGAATAGGGTGCTTGTGGAAGGTTTGGGACTCCAGCTGTGTCTTCCCTCCACCTCAGGAGATGGCCAGCTGCCACAGCCAATTGGCTGTGACTGTGACCCCCAGGGCAGCGTCAGCAGCCAGTGTGATGCTGCCGGCCAATGCCAGTGCAAGGTCAGTCTGAGCCCTGCCCTCCGGGAGGCCCTGGCCCACAGCCATTGAGGTTGCCAGGCCTTCCCTCTCACCACCCTCTCCCACCCTCCTTCTGAGGGCTTATCTCTGCCCCAATGCCTGGGGCCTGGTGGGAGTCAGGCAGCATCTGATGGGAACAGGGGTCTGGGCATGGGGTCGGCAGGGGCTCCCCAGAGCTGCTGGGTGTGGTTGGGAAGGCTAGCCTTAGAGGTTGCTGGGGTGTGGGAGACCCACCCGATCTCCCAGACTCTCTCTGTCTTTCCGTCCCTCCACCTAGGCCCATGTGGAAGGCCTCACCTGCAGCCATTGCCGGCCCCACTACTTCCACCTGAGTGCCAGCAACCCCAGTGGCTGCCTACCCTGCTTCTGCATGGGTGTCACTGAGCAGTGCGCCAGCTCCTCCTACACCCGCCACCTGGTGAGAGCCTGCTCCCTCAGGCATCTTCAGGGCAAGTCAGGACCTGGTCCCAGTGGCGTCCCCGTTGCCTATGTGGATGCCCGTCCCCTGCCCGCAAATTGCCCATCAAAGCACTGATCCCATTGACTCTCACCCCCACCCGAATCCCCTTCCCATGACCCTATTGTTGCTCATTGCAGCCCTGAGCCCAGAGCCTCCAGCCCTCACCTTAATGTCCTCCCTGTTCCCTCAGCAACCCCATTATCCATCCTAATGCCTTTCCTGGACCCCCACCCCCACTAAGGTGCCTGCCCAGTGCCCAGGCTGACACCCATCCCCCCTCTACTCCAGATCTCCACCGACTTTGCCCCTGGGGACTTCCAAGGCTTTGCCTTGGTGAACCCACAGCGCAACAGCCGCCTGACCGGCAGCTTCACTGTGGAGCCCGTGCCTGACGGAGCCCAGCTCTCTTTTGACAACTTTGCCCAGCTTGGCCACGAGTCCTTCTATTGGCAGCTGCCGGAGACGTTCCAGGGAGACAAGGTATGACACACAGCTTGGGATGGCAGACCCTCCCCCAGCGCCTCAGCACAGCTCCGTGCCAAGCCCCTGCCAAGCACTGGTGTCAGCTGGGACTCAGACCCCAGTTCACACTAGGGCAGTCTTAGCCAGCCATTAGGCTGGCATCTGCCGTCATGGTTAAGTCTGTGGCCTTTGGGGTCAGATAGACCTCAGTCTAAATCCCAGCTCTGCTGCTTACCAGCTGGACGCCTTTTGAGAAACCTCAGCTCTGGGGTGCCTGGGAGATAAACTAGAGAGCATGCCTGGACTATAGTAAGTGCTTAGCGCTAATGATGATTAGCTTTATTGTGGTCATTCAACAAACAAGGAGCAGTGGTTAAGCTCTCGGCTGCTAACCAAAAGATCGGCAGTTTAAACCCACCTAGTGACTGTGGGAGAAAGACCTGGCGATCTGTTCCGGTAAAGGTTACAGCCTAGAAAACCCTATGGGGCAGTTCTACTCTGTCACATGGGGTCACTATGAGTCGAAAGGGACTCCATGGCACCCAGTGACATTCAACAGTCAGGTCCTGGGTGAGGCCCTGGAAACACAGGATGAACATGACACAGTTTTGGTTTCATTCGTTTGCATACTCAGAATTCATTTGTCCACCCTATTGGCTCAGTGCTTGGTGTTGGATCATATTTATTGGGGGCTTGCTATGTGCCAGGCATTGTTCTAAGCACTTTTACATGTAATAACTCACAACCCTATAAGCTAGGTACTGCTTGTTGTTGTTAGCTACTGTCGAGTTGGCTCCGACTCACGGTGAGCCCCTGTACAGCAGAACAAAATGCTGCCCAGTCCTACACCATCTTTTTGATCATTGGTATGCTTAAGTCCATTGTTGCAGCCACTGTGTATTTGAGTGCTTTCCCACCTAGGGGGCTCATCTTCCAGCACTATGTTAGACAATAATCTGTTGTCATCCATAGGGTTTTAATTGGCTAATTTTCAGAAGTAGGTCACCAGGCCTTTCTTCCTAGTTTGTCTTAGTCTGGAAGCTCCACTGAAACCTGTCCACTGTGGCTATCTGGTATTTGAAATACTAGTGGCATAGCTTCCAGCATCATAGCAACACACAAGCCACCACAGTATAACAAACTGACAAACAGATGGTGGCAGGTACTGCCACTGCCCCATTTTATAAATGAGGAAACTATGGCAGAGAGAGGTTAGGTAACTTGCCTGAAGTCACACAGCTAGTAGGTAGCAATACTGGATTCAAGCACAGGTTAAAGGCTGCCCTTAAAATGCTACTCTAGTCAGAAACGAACCTGACTCTGCTACCCCAACCCATGGTCTAGTGGAATGTGGTGGTGATGGTGGTATTTGGGGGGCAGGGTCTTACAAACAGATCCCAGCACAGCCTGTCTGAATGTGTTCCCCCAATGATCAGGCCACCTAGTAGTACCCAGGGAAAGCAGACTTGGTCCAGGAGTCCCCTGCTGGTTGAGGCCTGTGTCCAGCAGATGTGTCCCCAGAGGCAGGGCCTCAGGGAGGTCGGGGACTCTTCCAAGGGAGAGATCTGGGGCTGCCCCATCCCTGTTCCTCAGACAGCCCTAAGTTTCCCAGCCTCCTACTCGGGCTGGCTGCCTCTTGGTCTCTTCTCCCTTCTCGGGTTCCTGCTTTCCTGTTCCCTGTCTGCCTCTCTGCTGCCTCCCTGGTGCCCTGACCCCGCAGTTCTCAGACCTTTCTCTCTGACTCCCTCTCCTGGGTCTCCCTGCACCCCACAGAGGGAGGTGTATTTTGCACGGATGCGCCGGGCTCACCAGGTAGGCCCATGCCAGGCGTGGTGTGAAGTTGCTGTGATGTGGGCATGGCATGTTTTTGGATGCCCCAAGCCTTGCGTGAGGGGATACCCAGTGCCTACAGTGATGCGTGTCTGCATGAGCCCAGACGGTGCCCGATGGCCCCCAGGGCAGACATTCCTGTGCCCAGTCCTGTGATGCCAGGAGTTAGAACCAGGAAGGCTGTGTGCCACACCTTGCCTCACCTGCTGTGTGGTCTGGTCCTGGTGCCATCTGTCTGTGGGCAGAGTGGTGATCGAGGTGGTAGGAAAACGAACTCAGTGCTTGCCCACCAGGTTACCCAAGCAGTGCCATTAACCCTCTTTGTGCACGTGCCTCCTGCAGCAGCCTGGAGTTAACCCTTGTGTGCCAGCCCAGAAACGGGAGCATGTATTTTGTCCTCAGTCAGTGTGGGCCTTTCTGGCTACCATGTCCGTGGGTGGAGGACACTGCCCATGGCTCTAGCCCTGGGGCGCTGGGAGGTCTGAGTTGGCCCACGCCCTCCCTCCCATCAGAACCGCACATCCTTCTCAGAGGAGCAGTTGCGGGCAGCTGTGGCAACTGGCAGGATCCCGGAGCCCCCAGAGGGCAGGGGCCAGGCCCACCGGGCATCCCAGGTAACTGAGGGCCTAGCCCTGGCAGGCTGTGTCTGGGGCCCAGGGAGAAGATCCGAAAGCTCAGTCAAAGCAGGAGCCATGGCTGACCACCAGCCCTCCTGGGCCTTTTGCCCCCGTGCCCATCCAGGCCCCAGCCTGACGCCCAGTCCCCTCTGTGATGCCCTTGGGAAACATTCCAGAGCCGTAATAGCTTAGGCTGGAGGCACAGGTATTGTGGAGAGTCAGATCCATGGAACCTCGACCTCTCCCACCACAAATGCCACTGGGGCAGCCTCCAGCTCCTCAGCCTGAGCTGGACAGAGCTACGTCCCTCTCTGGGTGGGCTTCTCCCCATCAGTCATGGCCCCTGGTCAGCCAGGCCCATCCCAGGACATCCCCACTAGGGTGATGAGGAGCAGAGGATAGTGGGTACAGGGCAGAGCATCAGGAATGGGCAGCTGTGAGTGGACAGCCTGGGGACAGGGCACTGACTGGGCCTACACAGAGCCTGGGAGAGGCAAGACCTCACATGCGTCCTTCCTGTCTCCTCCCTGCTCCCTCCATCTGCCCGCCCTTCCTCTCTGGTCCCCCAGGTGGACGAGGCCCAGAGGCGGATGGACGCTGAGATCTGGCAGCTCCTCTCCAGCCTTGCCGCCTCCCCTCCCCCGCCTCCCCAGCGGCTCACCCCCCAACCCAAGCCTGCAGCCGCCCTGCGAGCAGCTCCATCTTCCTCCTCCTCCTCCTCTTCTTCCTCCTCCTCCTCCTTAGCTTCTATGCCTTTCCCAGCAGGCTCTCAGGTATGTGCCCAGGCATCCACCAAGGCACCCCACCCACCATACTTTCCGAATCCAGTCATTTCTGAACCTGCTTCAAAGCTTCTGCCATTTCTGCACAAGACCTGTACTATTTGCTTCAACTGTTCCTTTAAATCAATCATAACCCAGTTCAATGATGCTAGTTATACATTTTAAAATACATGTCAAAATAGCCATTAAATTTGAAAACATTTACCGGTGTGCCATGTAAATCACCTTGAGTCCACAAGAAGGGCACACAGACGTTAGGAGAGGCCATCTGTGAGGAGACGCCACCCAGACCACGTCGAGGGAGAACAGTTGGGGTATCCAGGCCCAGAGAGGGAAGCAAGTTGTCCAAGAGTGGGGCTGAGACCTAAGCTGTCGGGGTTGGGGTGGAGGTGCTATCCCTCTGCTCTGCTGCTGGTATCCCTTCAGTCCGTGTCCACCCGTGTCAGGACCATCCCTGCCCTCTTGGCCCTCCACCTGCTCCCCTCAGCTCTCACCAACTGTCCTTCTGTCCTAGTTCTCTCTCTCCTATGAAGGCTTCTCTCTGCTTCCAGAAAGCCTCTATTATTGGCAGCTGCCCCGGGCCTTCCTGGGAGACAAGGTAACGTGGAGTTGCTCGGGGCACTGGGGTCATAGAATCCTAAAATACCAGTTTTTACATCAAAGCACTTTATGATGCAGATGGATAGATGGAGGTCTGGAGAGAAGGGACTTGCCCCAGGCTCCCATGATCAGATTGAGGTCGAGCTGAGACTGAGGTCATCTCTGTTTACCCTTCAGCTGGCCCCTGGCCCCTAGTAGAGGGGTTGTCTTGCCTGGGAGGATCTCTCCAGCACCTCTTCTTTGGGCTTTCTTTACCCAGTGCCCAGATTGCTGATCCAGCTCTAAGTAGTGCATTCATTCATTCACTTATTTCTCCAGGAAGCATTAATTAAGCACTTAGTGTGTGCTGTATTATGTATATGCAGAAGAGGCCCCGGCATCCCAGAGCTCGCAGTTATAGTCTGATTCTCATTCTGTTAGTTTGGGCAGTGTTTTTACTGTTAGCATTTGGCACTGGCTTTAGTGTTAATATTAGTATTGATATTGCCTCCATCTTGTTCCAAAAATGATTTTGAGTGCCACTTAAGAAAACCACATATAAATATGCAAGGAAATACCATTCAGAGAAATAGGCAAGACATTCAGGGCAAAGGTGAAAGACCTGCTCACGCCAAGGGTGGAGCTGGGAGTAACAATAAATTCCCAAGCCTTGAAGCCAAGTGCTTGGCCTGTGCACAGCGTAGTACTTCAGGTGTCCTGTCTTACTTAATCCTCACAATCTCCTGCAGAGTAGGTGTTATTTTTACTCCCACTTCTGCATGAGGAAGTTGGGCTCAGAGAGGTTAAGTGACTTGCCCAAGTGTACTCAGCCGAAAGAGCTGGAACTTGGACCCGGGTCTTCCAGACTAGAGGCAGTTCCTTTAGTCACTGTGCTGTACACACCTGCTCTTGCTAGAAAGTTGGCCTTTGACATGGTTGTGAGCTTGCTGGCATCCAGAGCAAACAGGAAACCAGTACTTTCATGGTTATTTGGCTATGTTTCATGAATTCCTCACTGCGCCCTGGGCTCATGGAAGACATCCCCAGGGCCCAGGTAGCCTGGCATGTAGTCAGTAGGCGTTTAATAAATGCTCAGCAACTGAATGAAAAAATGGGGTAGGCCTGGTGCAGTGGTGGTATTGACCTGAGCACTGCCCTGGTGGCAGAGGAGAGAGAGGAAAGCCCCGTGGAGCAGAGCTGGGGCCTTGGCTGTCCGCACGAAAGGCCCCTGAGGCAAGCCTGAGGACTCTTCGGTCCATCATGACCAACAGAAAACCCAAGCACAGCTGGTTTGTCTGCAACAAGAAATCTACTAGCTCATGGAACTGCAAAGTCCAAGGGTGTCTTGGTATCAGGCATGGCTGAATCCAGGGGCTTGTTAGGACTTTATCTCACTTGGCATTCTTCTCCTGCTTTCCATGCTATTAGCTTACAGTCTGGAGTAGAAAAGGAAGTTTCTGTGTCTTGGTAGAAATAGCAGAAGTGCCAGGATCAAGTCCTCTTGGAAGACGTGGTTCACAAGCCTATCCCTGATGGGGCTGGAGGGAGGGAGTGTGATATGCTGATAGGCCAGGCCTGGCTCATATCCCCACGTTGGAGCAGAAGGGGTGCAGGCCTCTCCAACCACATGGCCTGCATTTGGGGAAGAGTCATTCTTTAAAGGAAACCAGGAGTGCTGTTTGCAGAAAGCCGGGGAATGGATTGTGGACACAGTCCACCTGCCCAGAAGGGCGAGGCCTCCGGGGGCCACCACCAGCCGCAGCCCCATTACTGAGAACTTTGGAAGAGCCTCGCCATGCTGGTCGCTACCATTGCCCTTGTCTGATTTAGGGAAAATCCCTTAAAATGAAAAGGGACTTGTAGTTTGTTTCCTAGGACTGTCAGATAATAGGGATGGGGAACCCCAAAACAGAAAAGAGGCTGCTCAAGGTCACTACCACCGTGTTTGAGGCTGTGGGGGAACTGAGAGAGATGGCCTGTGTCCTAGGTAGCCACAGGCCTCTGCACACTGCCTCTATCGGGTGTGGCAGCACAGGTACAAAAAGGCCTTGAGGGGCTCCACCCCCTCATCTATATGGATACACACACCCTCTCCAGAGGAGGGCAGAGTAAGGCTGTGACTGCTGGCCTTGCCTCCTTGCAGGTGGCAGCGTATGGTGGGAAGCTTCGCTACACCCTGTCCTACACGGCTGGGCCTCAGGGTAGCCCGCTGTCTGACCCTGACGTCCAGATCACGGTGAGTGGTGGGCTCCAAGCTCAGTGGGCAGAGGGGAAGGTGGGAGCCAGGGGCCCCTTGGGGTTTCTGCCCCAGTCTAGGACTCGGTTGGCCTGGCACAGATGGGGGGTAGGCCCATGTCCCCCTCTGCCTGATTGGATGCTCCCTAGGCAGAGGCCCAGCTGCTAGAAAAAGGGAGCAGTGAGCATAGTCCTGACTCCTTTGGGCACATGAGCATGGGAGAGTGGAGAGATGGGAGGCTGGGTGTTAGGGGGAGGCTGGGGCTGGTGGGGCACAGTGGAGTTCCCCTCAGTTCCCCTCCCAATCCCACCTGTGTCTCCCCAGGGCAACAACATCATGCTGGTGGCCTCCCAGCCAACACTACAGGGCTCCGAGAAGAAGAGCTACGAGATCGTGTTCCGGGAGGTGAGAGGCCCTTGGCCATGCGGTATCTGACCCTACCCCCTGACCCTGATTTGGAGCCTGGCTTTGAGCCCCGCTATGCTTCTGCTTCTCAGAGCCCTGGTGGCACAGCGGTTAAGAGCTCGGCTGCTAACCGAAAAGGTCAACAGTTAGAATCCACCAGTTCTACTCTGCCCTGTAGGGTCGCTATGGGTCGGAATCGACTCAATGGCAGAGAGTTTGGTTTTACCCCTGCCTCTCACTGCCTCATCCTCACCTCCTGGTCCTCGGTCAGTGCCTGGAAGGCAGGAATGGGGGCAGGGGTGCTGCAGGAGCATCTCACAAAGTCCTACGCCCCTCACCCGTGTTTACTGTGCCCCACCCAGGAATTCTGGCACCGGCCTGATGGGCAACCAGCCACGCGTGAGCATCTCCTGATGGCGCTGGCTGACCTGGATGAGCTCCTGGTCCGGGCCACGTTCTCCTCAATGCCGCTGGCTGCCAGCATCAGCGCAGTCAGCCTGGAGGTCGCCCAGCCCGGGCCCTCGAATGGACCCCGAGCCCTGGAGGTGGAGGAGTGCCGCTGCCCCCCGGGCTACATCGGCTCCTCCTGCCAGGTGAGTGCATGGCAGCCCAGCCACCTGTGCTCTGTCTGGCACAGTGGGATCAGCAAGCTGACCAACTGGCGTATCCACGGCCCATGATTACTGTCAGAACTGAAAGGGCCGCCTGTGTTCGCATTATCTCACTTATTCTTCCTAACAGCCCTCAGCTACGTGTGATTAACCCCCTTTAACAAATAAGAAAATAGAGGTGCTGAGGGGTGAATGACTTACTCAAGGCCACACAGCTAACATGTGGCAGAAACTAATTTGAACGCAGGTCTGATGGATCCCAGAGCCAATATGTCCTTAACCACTGGGTAGTCTTGCCTCAGGTTCCAGGCTGCGTCTCCAGAGGATAAGACCTGCTTGTGTCCTTGGGGTGCCCACCAGAGTCAGGGAGGCGATACAGAGACTCAGCTGACTCTGGCCCAGAGTGGAGTGTGGAAATGCCTCTGGTGAACAGCGTGGGGCAGGTGACAGTCCAGACAGGAGGACGGAAGAAGCAAAGCTCAGGAGGAGGAACCTGTTGGGGAATAGCCTGCCGGGCAGCAGCTCACACCTGGAAAGCCAGGAGGACCCCACTTTGTACAGCCTTGAACATGACCTCAATCAGTAGGGAAAGGAAGCTGCTAAGGAAGTAGCACAATTTAAGCTGGGTTCCAGGAAAACTCATCTGACAGTAGTGAATTAGCTGGGTAGGACAGGGGAGAGACAGGAGGTGGGAGTCCTATTTGGAGGGAAGGGTGGTGGGGAGGGAACAGAGGACTGTCAGCCAGAGAGAAGGCATCTCCAGGGCTTAGCTGGAGACCATGAACTCCACAAGGGCAAAGCTCGAATCCCCAGGCTTGTAGCAGATGCCCAAGTAACAGCTGATGAGTGAATATGGAGAAGAAGGAATCATGGGAGGAGGGTGGGATGGCAGGGTGGGGCAGAGCTGAAATGCCAGGTAGGCATCAGGGCGGTCAGGTGTGGGGCCCAGCAAGCTCCCTGTCTCAGGACCCCCCAGTGGGCAATCCTCACCTATGCAGTTTGACATCCATGTACCTTTCCTGTGGCTATGAGAGTTTCAGGTCCAAATATATGAATTTCCCATCCCTCGAAGCTATAAAATGTAAAACATTCTGAAGGGCACCCCTGGGGGAAACAGAATCCCTGGTGTACGTTTTTGCCGCAAAGCAAAACAGATTTATCAACATCCCGTTGAGATGGTGGGTAAGGGAGGGAGAGATTTCAAAGAAGGGGTAGTGAGTGGAAATTGTTTTCAGAACCCATTATTACTCATTTAGAATATGCAAAAATATCCTTGGTTTTGTCTGCACTGCCTCTGGCTCTTAGTGAATGTAAACATAGTTGTCAGGGTCTTAGAAGGACTTCTTCCAAATCTAGGTCTTCTGAACCCTCTTTGTCCAATTAGGGTTAAGTTTTTCAGTACAGACCCTTCTTGCCAGAAGGTTTTTAAGAACAAAGGCCCGGGGATGGGGAAGGATTCCCCATTGAGGATGACATATTTTTTACCTAAACTCAGACAGGCCAGGCAAGATGGGGTGGACATTGCCCCAGCTCCAGGTCGGGCCTATTGCAAGGGCATATGAGGTAGAGGGGCACACGGGGAGCAGGGCTGGGCCCAGGGTTTCCTCTCCAGGAGCCAATGAATGGACTCCTGATTGAAATGCCCAGTCGATTCTCATGCCTGGTGTGGGGTGGGGATTCTGGGTCTACATGGAGACCAGCCTTCCTCTTTGCCTCCCAGGACTGCGCCCCAGGTTACACCCGCACTGGGAGTGGCCTCTACCTCGGCCACTGTGAGCTGTGTGAATGCAATGGCCACTCGGACCTGTGCCACCCGGAGACCGGGGCCTGCTCGGTGAGATGCAAACAGGGCCAAGGTGGGAGGACCAGCTTGGCTGGGAGTGGGGTGGGGGCCAGTGCTGGCTATGGGATAGGGAGGGAGGGCTCAGTAAGGTAGACCTAAGGCCGAGGTAAGGTCGGGGAGCGTGGCCTTGTGGGGATGAAGACTCTGGATCAGCAGGCCTGATCACCGAGGAGTGTGGGCATGGTGGGGTGGCCAGAGCTATGGAATAACATTCTTCTGATATAAAGAAAACTCTAGTGTCTGGTATTTCTCATCACCAGTGTGACACATATTTTCTATAGAGGAGTTAGATTACAGAGATAAACCAAAAAGAGAATAAAAGCCACCTGTAGTCACACCACCTGGAGATCATCACTGTCAACATCAGAGTGGAGAATTCCTGGTCTTCTGGGCACATATTTGCACACATTGATACACTTCACATTGTAAAAATAAACCTAGGGTCATCCTGCTTGGTCATCAACTTTTTTCACTTACTATTTCATGAACAGCTTCCCATATCATTAAGTCATTTTTATACCTGGACTTTTTCGAGTGGTATGTGCATAGTCCTGGGCACTTGCTCAGATGTGATTCAGGTGGTCACAGAGCCACCAGCTGACCTCGAGCAGCAAACCTGCTATGTTAGTAAAATAAACATGGCTGTTTTTGGAGGAGAATATAAAACCCACATATATTTTTATGATGAAGTAGGTATTTTCAAAGCTTTGCCCCCATATACCCAGGTGTATACCTTTACTCTCCACTGATAGAAAAATATAAGGAATACAATCAACACCATCCTTTTTGATAGCTATTTGGGTGGGTATACTTTTTAATTTATCCCGTTTCCTATTCATGAATGTTTAGGTTTGTTTCTAGCGTTTTGCTTTTATAAACACCACTGAGATGAACATCCTTGTAGTGAAATCTTTGTGTTCCTCCATGATTGTCTCTTCAATATAAATTGCCAAAAATGGAATTTCTAGATAAAGGAATTATAGAATAGTAAGGCTTCTGGCAAATTTTGCCAATGCCAGGTGGCTGACATCCTTGTGTCCTGCAGCAATGCCAGCACAACGCCGCTGGAGAGTTCTGCGAGCAGTGTGCGCCTGGCTACTATGGAGATGCCACGGCTGGGACGCCTGAGGACTGCCAGCCCTGTGCCTGCCCACTGGCCAACCCTGAAAACATGTGGGTGCCCTTGTCCAAGGCCCAAGGAAGAACTCTTACTGAGGGGTGGAGGGAACTGCTCTGGCTTTCAAGGCAGAAGTGGAAGGAGCAGGATGGGAAGGGGCTTCCATGGCCTGACCTTTGCTTCTCTCTGCCCTAGGTTCTCCCGCACCTGTGAGAGCCTGGGAGCTGGTGGGTACCGCTGCACGGCCTGCGAACCTGGCTACACTGGCCAGTACTGTGAGCAGTAAGTTTATAAATGAAGGGGGGTGTGTGTCATATAGTAGACTCCTAGGCAAGAGTCCTGGATGGTGTTGCCCAGGAAAGTCTCTATCAGGATCTTGTCCCTCCCCTGCCCAAAACTCTTCCAAGATTCCCCATTTCCCTCAGGATAAGCACAAGCTCCTTACGCAATCTTACCAGGCATCCCTGTAGCCCAGTCTTAGGTCTCATTCCCACTTCTGACACCCAACTCTGCACTTCAGCTGGGCTTAACTTCATGACTTAATGCTCAGGTCTTTGCATGTGCTATTCCGTCTACATGAAACATTGTTCATTCCTAAACCTCTCCTTCCTGGCTAACTCCTGCCTAGCCTTCAAGACTCAGCTTCATTCACTTATTCATCAGATTTTTATTGAGCATCTATCTGTGTGCCATGCAGTGGGCCACGCGTGGAGAGAAAGTGGTGAACAAAACAGATTCAGTCCCAGTCCCTTAGGGAGTCTACCACCTGCAATAGGAGAGAAGATAGAGAAAAAGTAATGATACAAATATATAATTACAAACCATGGTAAGTTTTCTGAAAGAAGAGTTAGCCTATTCTAAGGGAATATAGGAGGTCAGAAATCCCATCCTCTGGGAAGCCTCCCTGATTCTCAGGGCTGGATTTGTGGCCCTCTCTGTGCCCTCCCAGCCCCCATTCACTTCCCTCACTCTCATTTTATATAGAGTTTCTATGTTGGTTTCCCAATTCAATAGTGAGTTCCACAAAAGCAAGGACATCACTGTGTTCACTGTTGTATCTATGGCATTGGCATAGTGTGTGAAACTTAGTAGTTGCTTAATAAACATTTGTTGAATGAATTTTCCCATAGAGAATAAAAGCCCTACCTCCTAGGTTCCCCACCCTGCTGACATGTGTACACTCCCCTTCCCACAGCTCACCAAGGCCCTGTGTTGGGGTCTCTTTGGTCCCTGAGGTCCTTCCAGAACTCTGAGCCTGCAGGCTGAGTTTCCGGCCCCCACAAACCCACCATGAGGCACTGGGTCCCTTGGGACCTGACAAAGCTGTTCCTTATTCCATTTTACAGGTGTGCCCCAGGTTATGTGGGTAACCCCAATGTACAGGGGGGCCGGTGCGTGCCACAGGGTAAGTGAGACCATGGCCTAGGATGGGGGTGCTGGGCAAGGCAGGGAGCCTGAGGACTTCTAATGTTTGGGGGATATTAGCTCTGGGGATGGTGCCAAGGGTGGAGCACTCCGGGGACACCATTGGGAGGGCAGAGCTGTCAAAAGCAACGCCTCATGCTGTGGTCCTCCTGTCTGAATGGCCTCCCCTGTCCCCCGACAGCAGACCAAACCCCACTGGTGGTCCAGGTCCACCCTGCTCGGAGCATAGTGCCCCAAGGTGGCCCCCATTCCCTGCGGTGCCAGGTCAGCGGGAACCCACCCCACTACTTCTACTGGTCTCGTGAGGATGGGCGGCCTGTGCCTAGCAGCACCCAGCAGCGACATCAAGGTACCCATGGCCCCAGGCCCCACAGCCTCCAAGCTGCCTCACGGAGGGCTGGGGACTGTCCTTGAATGCAGGGATGGGAGGGAGAAGGGGTATGTCTGCTCTGACAGGCTACCATCCCCTCCCCACCAGGCTCTGAGCTCCACTTCCCCAGCATCCAGCCCTCGGATGCTGGGGTCTACATTTGCACCTGCCGGAATCACCATCATGCCAATACCAGCCGGGCAGAACTGCTGGTCACTGGTGAGTCCCTGGCCCCCTCCACTCCATCTGTCCCCAAGAGTACCTGTCCTGACCTGGGCTACAGACTGCAGAGCCAGGAGCTACTGCGCTTATCCACCAGGAGGGGATGGCGGCTGCCTGGACGAGGATAGTGGAGAGGAAGAGGGGTGATGGATTCAAGACCAGTGTTAGAGGCAGAATTGGCAGGACTTGCTTGTGGTCAGTAAGGAAGAGAGAAAAGTCCGGGGTCTGGATCCTAGCAGCTGGGTAGGTAGGGTTGCCATTTACTGAGATGAAGGAGGCTCCGAGAAGAGGTTATTTTCCAAAAGCAGAGCCCGAGACAAGGATTTGAGTGTAACTAATTTGTTTGGGAGGGGATCCTGGGAAAACCAATGAGGGAAATGAGACAGGAGGGAAGGCATCCAATAAACTGAGTTACCACTGTGGGCAGTTGTTGTTTAATCCAGCAGAGGAAACCCTGGGCACCAGTGTGACACGTGCACTTCGGAGTCACCCTGCCCTGGGGCCGAGGGAGCTGGGATGTGTGTACACTAGCTCCCATCAGTCATTGATGGAGGCCTATTCCAGAGCATCAGTTCCCGTGCACTTCTGTCCAACCACAGGAAGAGTGGGCTCCAGTGGTCTGAGAAGGCCCTCATGCGAAGAAATGCAGGGACTGGCAGCTCGAGGTCAGGCAGACGTGCATTGAAGTGACAGGGTGAGGGGACGTGGGCAAGGTGTCTTAGTTGCCTAGTGCTGCTATAACAGAAATACCACAAGGGGGTGGCTTTAAAAGAATAGAATTAATCTTCTCATAGTTCTGGCGGCTAAAAGTCCAAATCAGGGTCTCGACTGTGTCAATTCCTTCCTTGTAGGTAGCCCCAGGCATTCCTTGGTTCCTTGGCTTATAGACAGTCCTCACGTGGCATCTGTCCTCCCCCATGTGTGCATGTCTCTGTGTCCATTCACTCTTTTTATAATCCAGAAGTGATTAGATTTAGGATCCACCCTATACTGGTATAACCTCAGTTGATTGCATGATTATATTAGATTACACTGTGGAAGGTGATTCCATTATGTTTCATTAGATTAGATTCACAGGTATAGGAGTTAGGATTCCAACACATATTTTCAAGGGACACAGTTCAATCCATAACAGCAGGGCACCAGCAACACCTGTTACAAACAGATCATAGGGAACCATGAATTTGGTTTGGGGCTTATTAAAGTTTGAGATGTGTGGGAGAACATCTAAGTGGGTACATCTGTCAGACATTTGGATGTGAGTCTGGAACTCAGGAAAGATGCCAAGGCCAGAGAACTAAATTTGGGAGCTCCCGGCATAGGGATGGTGTTTAAAACCATAGTGCAGGGTGAGATCACCCAGGTAGAATGTGGCTGGAGGATAGGGCCCCAAGGAGCTCCAGCTTGGACACGTCTAGTTGAGGAGAAGGGGCGGAAAAAGAGACCAAGAGGGTGCAGCCAGTGAGAGGGGAAGAAACCAGGAAGTGTGGTGTCACAGAAGCCAAGACGGGAAAGTGTTTCCAGGAGGAAGTGGTCAGCCTAGCCAGATGCCACTGAGAAGTAAACCAACCAGATGTCGAGTCGACTCCTACTCATGGTGACCCCACATGTGTCAGAGTAGAACTAGGCTCCACAGGAGCTCCATAGAAAAATCGTGACTGATTTTTCACAGGTAGATCACCAGCCTTTCTTCTGAGGTGCCACTGGGTGGACTTGAACTTCCAACCTTTTGATTAGTAGCTGAGTGTGTTAACAGAGAAGTAAGATAAGAACAGAGAAATAACCCTTGGAGGTCATGCTTTAAGAAGAGTAGTTTTCTGTGAAGAGAAGGGGTAGAAACCAGATTGGAATAAGGCGAAGCATGGGTGGGAAGGCAAGAAGTGTAGGCTGTAAATGTAGACAACACTTAGAAGATCTTGGCTTTGAAGGGGTTCAAGAAATGAGGCAGTAGTTTGGTGGAAGTGTCAAGAAGTTTTTTAGAGATGGAAAATTCTAGAACATATTTGTCTGTGAAGTGTAATGAGTCTGTGGAGATAGAGGGGAGAGACTGATGTAGAAAGAGAGGGGACAGCTGCGGGAGGAAGTCCTTGGGAGGGGATCCAGCACTCAGAAGGAGGAGGGGTGGGGCTGGGGTGGGAGAAAGGTCACAGCTTCGGGGAATGAGAAGGTGGAAGACTTGGGAAGATGGGGAAATTCCTGACGAGTAGTTCCTATTTTCTCAACAAGTGTGAGATGTTTGTGAGTATAGAAACTCAAACCAGAGGGAGAAACCCAGTTGGAGTAAGGGGAAGTGTTATGTGTTAGGAGCCCACTTGAGGTCTGTGATCGTGAATTTGAGTCAGGTGAACTCACGATCTGATGTTCTCCAGCCACCTCCACTGGCTGCTTGGGTGCAGGACAGGAGAGGATGGGAGGTTAGGTTCAGCCAAGATGAGGGAGGAAAGGAGGAGCTGGGGGAATCTAAATTTGACCAGGAAGGAAGGAAGGCAGCCGCAGAGAGAGTGATGCGGAGAGAGAAAGTGACCATACGATAGGGACTTGACCAGCACCCAGCTCACCAGGGAGGCCTCCCATCCCCACAGAGGCGCCAAGCAAGCCCATCACAGTGACCGTGGAGGAGCAGCGGAGCCAGAGCGTGCGCCCCGGGTCTGACGTCACCTTCATCTGCACGGCCAAGAGCAAGGTGGGCAGGGCAGAGAGTGGGGACAAGAGGGAGTCTGTCTTCTGGGGTCTCTGAGCCCACCCATGATCCCAACCCTGTCCCCCTTGCCCTGCAGTCTCCAGCTTACACCCTGGTGTGGACCCGCCTGCACAATGGGAAACTGCCATCCCGAGCCATGGATTTCAACGGCATCCTGACCATCCGCAATGTGCAGCCGAGTGATGCGGGCACCTATGTGTGCACCGGCTCCAACATGTTCGCCATGGACCAGGGCACAGCCACGCTGCATGTGCAAGGTGCATCCCTCACCCGTGTACCTGATCCATCCAGCCCTAGCTGTCTCCCAGGCCCACCAGGACCAGGGCACCGTTTACTCACTCACTGGTAGTTTCTGAGCATTACAGTATGCCAGGTCCTGGTTTAGGCTCCAGAGAGGGAAGAGAAAGACAAACAGGATCTCTGCCCTCCTGAGGTATACGTTCTAGCTGTGGAGACAGTAAACATGGGAACACATGAATAAATAGGATCATTACACATGGTGATGAGTGCTAGAACAGGAATAAACAGAGTACTAAAAGAGAAATGACAGGGGGAGGGTGGGCTACTCTAGATGGGGTGGCCAGAGAGGGCCTTTCTGGAGAGGTGACATCTAAGCTGAGCTGAGGCCTGAAGGAAGAGAAGGTGTTCAGCCATGTAAAGAGCTGGCAGAGTGTTCCTAGCAGAGGGAGCAGCACATGCAAAGGCCCTGAGGCAGGAGCATGTTGGTGTGTTTCAGGAACATCGAGGCTAGCGTGGCTAGAGCTGAGGGAGGGAGAGTAGTAAGGAGCCTTGAGATGTGGGTAAAGGATATCCAGAGCACGCAGGATTTGGTGGACCATAGTAGAGAGTTTGGATTTTATTCTAACAGCAACGGGGAGCCATGGAAAGGTCTTAGGTGGAGTGACAAGATCCCCTTGATATTTTAAAAGCTCCCTCTGGCTGCTGTGTGGACAGACGGCCATGGGAGCAAGAGTGGAAGCCGAGAGAACAGCCAGTAGACTTGCCGTGGGTCAGACAACACTCCCTACCCTAACCATGTATTCTTTCTCCTCTCCTCTCAGCCTCAGGTGCCCCAGCCGCCCCTGTGGTCTCCATCCACCCACCGCAGCTCACAGTGCAGCCTGGGCAGCTGGCGGAGTTCCGCTGCAGCGCCACAGGGAACCCCACACCCACCCTGGAATGGACAGGTGAGGTTGTGGTGGCACTGACATTCAGAGCCCTAGCTCTTCTGGGTAGGGGAGGGCAGGGCAGGACTCCAGGCTGTGGGGTCTACAACTCCTGTTGGGAGGGAGCTAGGGCAGCCCCAGACCCAATGGGTGCTGACTCCACTTCTCCACATTAGGCGGCCCTGGTGGCCAGCTCCCTCAGAAGGCCCAAATCCATGGTGGCATCCTGCGCCTGCCAGCTGCGGAGCCCTCAGATCAGGCCCAGTACCTGTGCCGTGCCCATAGCAGCGCCGGGCAGCAAGTAGCCAGGGCCATGCTGCATGTGCACGGTGAGGCAGCCGGGCTGAGGGTGGGGGCTGGGAACTGGGTAGGTAGCCCAGGGGTTGTTCTCACAAGGCTTGTGTCTGCAGGCGGCAGTGGGCCGAGGGTCCAGGTGAGCCCAGAAAGGACCCATGTACACGAAGGCCGCACCGTCAGGCTGTACTGCAGGGCTGCGGGTGTGCCCAGTGCCACCATCACCTGGAGGAAGGAAGGGGGCAGTCTCCCCCCACAGGTGAGGAGATCAGGCCAGATCAGGCCCAGCAGCGTCCTCACACTCACCCCCCACCCTCCCACCTCCACTTCCTACCCTATCTGCTCGTCTGCTGGTTCCCTTCACTTCCAAGATGGCAACCTGCTCAGATGGTACATCCTAGGAGGTAGCAATTATCTGCCTCTTGGTTTGCTGCCTGCTCAGTCCTCCTTGGTGCTCTGTTGTTGTTGTTAGTTGTTGTCAGGTCGGCTCCCATTTACGATGACCTTATGTATAACAGAACAAAACATTGCCCAGTCCTGCACCATCTTCATGATTGTTGGCATGTTTGAGTCCTTTATTGCAGCTATTGTGTGGTGCCTTCCATCCTAGTGGGCTCATCTTCCAGCACTATATCAGACAATATTCTGTTGTGATCCATAGGGTTTTCACTGGCTAATTTTCAGAACTAGATCTACAGGCCTTTCTTCCTAGTCTGTGTAAGTCTGGAAACTCCACTGGAACCTGTCCACCATGGGTGACCCTGCCGGAATTTGAAATACTGATGGTATAGCTTCCAGCATCACAGTAACATGCAAGCCACCACAGTACGACAAACTTGCGGACAGGTGGTGGCTTGGTGCCCTGCTGTGCCCTGTCCTTGGCTCTGTGCCTGCCTCTACCTTCTATGCTCCCTCTTTCCGAGCCCTTGCCAAGCTGCCTTGCGTTCTCTGGTGGCTGACTCTTCTCGCCCATGGCAGGCCCGGTCAGAGCGCACAGACATCGCCACGCTGCTCATCCCAGCCATCACAACCGCCGACGCTGGCTTCTACGTCTGTGTGGCCACCAGCCCTGCAGGCACCGCCCAGGCCCGTATTCAGGTGGTCGTCCTTCCAGGTGAGAGGCCTCCAGGGCTGGGGAGCAGGGAGGGCCGGCCAAGGCTCCCCTGAGGCCAGCTTACACCGCTCTGGCTTCCTGCCTTAGGTGGCAGCTCACCACCAGTCAAGATTGAGTCCTCATCCCCTTCTGTGACTGAAGGGCAGACGCTTGACCTCAACTGTGTGGTGGCAGGGCAGGCCCATGCCCAGGTCACATGGTACAAGCGAGGGGGCAGCCTCCCTCCCCACGCCCAGGTATGAGGGTCCCTGAGCCCGGGGAGGGCGGTCTAGAGGTACAAGGCTCTGGCCAAGGTGATCTTGCCCGGGTGGAGGCTTCCCACTGCCCAGGGCACTCCCCTCAAGCGGGGCCAGGCCTCGTGACCTTCCGTCCCCACCTTCCATGTGGGGCAGCTCAGAGCGGCGCCAGTGAGTGTTTGATGAATGAATCACTGAGGCTCAGAGGGCATGGTGACTACGTCCCCTTCCCTGTCCTCAGACCTCTTCCCTTACCTGGCCCAGGTCCACGGCTCCCGGCTACGGCTCCCCCAGGTTTCACCAGCTGATTCTGGCGAATACGTATGCCGAATGGAAAACGAGTCGGGCCCCAAGGAGGCTTCCATCATTGTCTCTGTCCTCCACAGCGCCCATCCAGGCCCCAGTTACACCCAAGGTGAGGAGCCAGGCAGGGCTGGCAGGAGCCAAGCCCTAGGATCTCACCACTAATCCCAGGGAAGGTGCCTGCAGTCTCCAGGGGCATGGAGACAAGGGGGGCATTCTAGGCAGGTTTGACCCTCTACTCACTGCTCAGGGAGATGGGGAGGTAGGGCTGGGCATGGGGATTAGGTTGATCTGGCTTGCTTGGGGCCCCATGATGAGGGTGCTATTTTCAAAATTTGTCAGGAAGCAGCAGTACAGGGTTGAACACCGAGTTTACAGTCAGAATGACCTGGGTTCAAATCCTGGTGCTGCCCCTTATCAGCCTTGAACAAGCTTTGTAGGCCTTAGTTTCCTCATCTGTGAAATGGGGACAATTACCATGTACCTGCTAGGTTATGGTATGGTTTAAATGAGATGATGCTAATGTCAAGTGTTTCTTGAGCACAAGGGAGTTGTATTATTATCATCTGCAGCCTGGGGCCCAACCTGGGCACTAAACATCCTTGGTTCCCTGTGGGCTGAAGCAGACTAAGATCACATATCAGGAAGTCATGGGTAGGCAAATAGGCCTTGAGTCCAAGTTGGAGGTTAGAGAGCTGAGGAGGGGCCTGGCAGGGCATGCTGAGGGGTGGAAGAGCATCATCTCAGCCTCAGAAGGGTCTCACATCTGCCTCCCAAGCTTGGGTCATATCCCAGGACCTCTGCCCAGGGCTGTAGGACTGGGGCTCAGGAGCTTAGGCCTCTGAGCTCCTCTGTGCCCCAGCCCCCGGCAGAGCCCCAGCTCCAGGCAGTACCCAGCCCATCCGAATAGAATCCTCCTCCTCGCACGTGGCTGAAGGGCAGACGCTGGATCTGAACTGCGTGGTACCTGGGCAGGCCCACGCCCAGGTCACGTGGCACAAGCGTGGGGGCAGCCTCCCTGCCCGGCACCAGGTACAGCAGCACCCCTGGGCCAGCCTGCTGGAGGGGTTGGGTCGGGCCGGTCCGGCCCCCTCCCAACCCACCCTCATTGTACACAGGCCCACGGCTCACTGCTGCGGCTGCACCAGGTGTCCCCCGCCGACTCAGGCGAGTACGTGTGCCGTGTGGTCCTTGGCTCTGGGCCCCTGGAGACCTCTGTCCTGGTCACCATCAAGCCTTCCAGTTCCAGCTCTGGCTCCATCCCTGGTGAGTGACTCCCAACAACATGGAAAGCTGAAAGAGGCGGAGAGCCTTCCAGGGTAGTGAGGGCCAAATGACTCTGCCCCTTGGTGAACTGAGGGCAGGAGGCTGGGGTTGAACACTGAGTTGGGAATCAGACTAACCTAGGTTCACATCCTGGCTCTGCCCCTTATCAGTCTTGAACAAGTTATTTTATAACTTTCTGGGCCTTAGCTTCCATCCCCCATCTTCCCGTCACTCCTTTCTATGGCCCAGTCCCTCCTTGTTTCTACCCCTGCCTCCCCTTCCTCTTTCCCAGCCTCAGCTACCCTCATCTCTCTCACTTCCTTACTCATCTCCACCCTGACCCTCCCCTTGTGGTTGCTCAGCTGAGGACATCAAGCCCAGGCCACCAGACCCCCTGCACCATGGGCCTGGCCTCAGAAGATAAGGCTAAGCTGGCTCCAGGGTACATTCCCTGCCTTCTCATGGGGAAGCATCTGCCACCCTCACCCCTGTGCCCACAGCCCCAGGACCTGTCCCGCCTGTCAGGATCGAGTCCTCATCTCCCACAGTGGCCGAAGGGCAGACCCTGGATCTGAGCTGTGTGGTGGCAGGGCAGGCTCATGCCCCAGTCACATGGTTCAAGCGTGGGGGCAGCCTCCCCGCCCGACACCAGGTACATGGCACCAGGAGGGTGGGTGGGGCCTGACTAGGGCCAAGCCAGGGATGGGAGGTATCTGGATTATGGGGGTCCCAGTGGCCCCTGAGCTGAGGAGCTGCAGTTCTCAGCTCAGGGGAGCAGGGGTGCTGGGCTCTGGAAGCCCCCCTCTCACACCCCTGCCCACGGCTGCCCAGGTCCGCGGCTCCCGCCTGTACATCTTCCAGGCCTCCCCAGCTGATACGGGAGAGTACGTTTGCCGGGCCAGCAATGGTGTGGAGGCCTCTATCACAGTTACCGTAACAGGGACCCAAGGGGCCAACTTCGCCTACCGTGAGTGGGGCCACCAGGCCAAGCCAGGAGGGAGAACAGGGATGCATGAGAGCAGCTTCGGAGAACCAGAGTGACCATGACCATCTTATGCCCCTAGCCTCTGGAGGCGTCCAGCCCATCCGCATCGAGTCCTCCTCTTCACACGTGGCCGAGGGGCAGACCCTGGATCTGAACTGTGTGGTGCCTGGGCAGGCCCACGCCCAGGTCACATGGTACAAGCGTGGGGGCAGCCTGCCTATTCGGCACCAGGTATGGAGCTGAAGAATGGAAAGGCCAAGAGGAGAAGGGGGCCCCTGGGTAGTGGGAGGCTGGATGCCCCTCTGAGAACAGGGAGACCTTGGGCCCCGTTGCAGAGGCATATGTGCAGTGGTTGGAGCCTAGACTGGAGGACTGGCCAGCCTAGGTGTGCCACCACTCATTAGCTGTATGACCTTTGGCAAGCTACCTAACTTCTCTGTGCCATAGTTACAGCATCTGTAAAATGGGAATAATAGTATCTAACTTCCAGAGTTGTCCTGAGGGTTATGTAAATAAATATGTATACCAAGTGCTCAGAGCTCTGGCTCATAGAAGGTGATATGAGCTATTATTACCGTAATACCATTAGCTGTTATTATTCCCATATTTTATAGAATTTAGGATACCATTGATTGCAATATGTACCATTATTTTATGTACCTCTAAGAAAACAAAAGCTGCCGTTTATAATTGTAAGATGATTAATTAACTATGAGATGCATCTTGACTTCAGCGACATTAAAAGTGTCTCTCAGAATTGATGGAGTATGGTATTAGTGTTGGCACAAATTCCTATAGCTCCTCCTGCCCACCACCCCGCTCCTGGAACAAGATCTCCTTCCCCCACGCCCGAACAGGGCAAGGAAATAGATCTGCAGCTGATGGCCAGGCCTCGCTGAAGAGAGTGAGGCAGGGCTGCAGATTACACACATAAGGATCCTATGAGGGCTTCCTCTGACCTTGCCCCCCATTCTGGCCAGACACACGGCTCGCTGCTGAGATTGTACCAGGTGTCTCCTGCGGACTCCGGCGAATACGTGTGCCGCGTGGTGGGTGGCTCCGGGCCCCAGGAAGCCTCCGTCCTGGTCAGCATTGAGCCTGCAGGCTCTGTGCCGGGTGAGTGATGCTGGTGGGAGGGAGGGCTGGGAGCCTAGCCCAGGGCCCACCAATCCAGCAATGGCAGGATCAAGAGGACAAACCCCAGACTCCACCTCCCACAAGACTAGTAGTCCCTGCCTCCACTCACACCTATCTCCTCTCCCCTCCCAGCCAGGAACTAACCCTCTGTCCTCTGTCCCCAGCGCTCAGAGTCACCCCCCCAGTCCGGATCGAGTCATCTTCCTCACACGTGGCTGAAGGGCAGACCCTGGACCTGAACTGTCTCGTTTCTGGGCAGGCCCACGCCCAGGTCACATGGCACAAGCGTGGGGGCAGCCTTCCTGCCCGGCACCAGGTAGGAGGTGGGGGGCCAAGCAGGGCCTGAAGGACTCTCATAGCTGCAGCATAAAGGGCACAGGCTTTGATTCAGGCATAGTCGAGTTCAGATGCTGCTCTGCCACTTGACCTTAGGCCAGTCACTTGACTTCCCTGATCCTCAACTTCCTCAACTGTCAGATGGGCTCACACTGCCTACCTCACCTATCCCATAGCATGCCAAGAAATGTTGGTCTCCCACTTCTTCTCCCTGGTGCCAAATCGCAGTGGTCCACGGCATAAATAAGGTGGTAGGCTGAACTCATTTCTGAGGCCACACTGCCTGCTCAGCCCTGGGGCAGAAGAATAGAAGGGTCATGAATGGTGGTCCTCCCTGAAAGAGCTTCGATCATGTTCTAGCTGGCTGGACCGGGCTGGGAGGGGCCGGGGAAGGGGCCGGGAGCCTGGCCATGAGCCCCAGTGCCCAGTGTTTGAGCCTGCTTCCCTCTACTCTGCCCAGGTATTTGGCTCAAGGCTGCGGCTGTCCCACGTGACCCCCGCCGACTCCGGTGAGTATGTATGCCGTGTGGCCAGCAGCTCGGGCACCCAGGAAGCTTCAGTCCTAGTCACCATCCAGCAGCGCCTTGGCACCTCCCACTGTGAGTGTCTCAAGGTCATAGCAAACGGTGGGGGGCTGCTAGGGGCCTAGCTCCACCCTCAGCAGCTCCCACACCCTGCCTCCCATCTCGCCCTCCCAGCCCAGGGTGTGGTGTACCCTGTCCGCATCGAGTCCTCTTCAGCCTCCCTGGCCAATGGCCATACCCTGGACCTCAACTGCCTGGTGGCCAGCCAGGCCCCCCACACAATCACCTGGTATAAGCGTGGGGGCAGCCTACCCAGCCGGCACCAGGTATGGATCCAGCAGGCAGGGCACACTGGCACTGGAAGTCAGGAGGGGCCCTCAGAACCACATTCTGTGCTCATTCAGTCATTCAGCAGACATTGAGCATCCACTGGTGCTGAGGATACACAGAGAAGCCCACTGACCTCAGTTGGAGGCTGTAGTAAAGCAGAAGATTCTATAATTCACTCACTAAATTTCCCTGAGAGTCCATTCCATGCCAAGTCCTGTTCTGGGCACTGAGGACTCAGAATTGAATAAGGCCCAGTGTCTGCCCTTGGGGAGCCCTGGTCTGGAGAAGAGACAGATAAGCAAAATGACAGCACAGTATGTGTGATAGGAATAGGATAGGGAGAAGGAAGCACAGGACACTGTGCAAACATCAGGGAAGTTCTCAGCAGGCTTCCTGGGGAAGTGATGGATAGGAACAGTACAGAGGCTGGAGACACTCGCCCCCCAGTCCAGAGACAGGCCATGTGCTCTGCCTGAGCCTTAAGCATGTTGCGGAGGGAGTTGTGATGGAGACTGCGGGCCCCACTCAGCCCAGGCCCAGCCCTGGGAAGGAGGGCGGCTCCCAGGGTCCAGTGGGAAGCAGCAGCAGCGCCTGAGATGGAGGTGCTGCCCCATCCACTGACACCTGCTCTCCCTCAGATTGTGGGCTCCCGGCTACGGATCCCCCAGGTGACACCGGCAGACTCGGGTGAGTACGTGTGCCACGTCAGTAATGGTGCTGGCTCCCAGGAGACCTCACTCATCGTCACCATCCAGGGCAGCGGTTCATCCCACGGTGAGAGTGGAGAGGGCAGGGGGAGGCAGAGGGCTTCCTGGCACCGTCCCTGGTGTCTGACTTGGGCTGTGTCGCCCGTCCCCCTCTGTCCCCAGTGCCCAGTGTCTCCCCACCAATCAAGATCGAGTCCTCATCCCCCACCGTGGTAGAAGGGCAGACCTTAGATCTGAATTGCATCGTTGCTGGGCAGCCCCAGGCCACCATCACGTGGTACAAGCGTGGGGGCAGCCTCCCCGCCCGACACCAGGTACAGAGTAGAGACTTGGTAGTGGGGGTGGGACCCCTGCCTCCTGTAGTGGGCAGTGCAGGCAGCCCCATGGGCAGAGAGGCTGAAGCATTAGCCAGGAATCATGGGAGTCTCCCTCCTGCCCTGGGTCTGACTAGGGAAGCTGGGAGGAGATCTGAGCCGGTCGGTGATCCTGCAGCCCCTCGACTCTCTTTTCCCGCTAGACCCACGGCTCCCGCCTGCGGCTGCACCACATGTCTGTGGCTGACTCAGGCGAGTATGTGTGCCGGGCCAACAACAACATCGATGCCCAGGAGGCCTCCATCATGGTCTCGGTCACCCCCAGCACCAGCGTCCCCGCCGGTGAGTCTGATGAGGGCCCAGGAACGAGGCAGGAAGACCCTGATACCTGTGTTCCTGGGGCAGGAGGAGTTCGGGAGTCAGAATCCTCAGATCCAGTGGTGGCCCAGGCAGGGTCTCTGCAGAAGGATGTAGATTCAAATCCCAGCTACACCACTAAGGGACTCGAGCAAGTTCCTCTCCTCTCAGGCATACCAGTAATTCCAACTTCATAGAGCTGTACTGCCCAATGCAGTGGCCACAGGCCACATGTGGCAATTCAAATTCAGATATAAACTAGAAATTCAGTTCCTCCCATTTCAAGTACTCAGTAGCCCACATGGCTCGTGGCCAGCGTATTGGACAGTGCAGATGTAGGACATTTCTATCATTGCAGAAAGGTCTGTTGCACAGCACTGCTTAGGAATTTTGTGAGGATTAAATGAGTTAATAAGGAGCCCTAGTGGCACAATGGTTAAGCACTCAATTAGCTCGGCTGCTAACTGAAAGGTTTGCTTTTTGAACCTACTCGATAGCTCCTTGGGAGAAAGACCTGGCGATCTGCTCCCGTAAAGATTACAGCTTAGAAAAATCCTATGAGGTCAGTTCTGCTGTGTCACATTGGGTCACTATGAGTCAGAATTGACTCCATGGCACACAACAACACCAAATGAGTTAATGCACATAAAATGGTTAGGACAGTGCTTAGCACACTGTAAGAGTAAGTGCTTAATAAGTGCTTAGTATTATTATTGGAGTGCAGACAACACGCTTGGCTACTAACCAAAAGGTTGGAGGTTTGAGTCCACCCAGAGGTGCCTCAAAGTCCTGATGATCAGCTTCCAAAAAACCAGTCATTGAAAATCCTATGTCAAATTCTTATGGAATCCAGACTTTCTGGAGCCACTGAGGCTAGATGAACCCTGAAACTATTACCCTGAGATACTCTTTAAACCTTAAATCAAAAATACCCCTGAAGTTATCTTTAAACCTAACAATAGTTTAGCTTAATTAGTAAAGATATCTGCCTTGAGCATTGTGCTCTTTTAAGAACTATATGGGATCAAATTGACAATGGCACTGGAAACATTAGATAGGAAAGTTAGGAAGCAGTAAGGTTATGTTAATAGGGGAGGAACAATTCAGAAAAGGAGGATAAGAGTGATTGTACAACTTCAAGCATGTAATCAATGTCACTGAATTGTACATGTAGAAGTTGTTGAATTGGTGTTATGTTCTGCTGTGTATATTCTTGACAACAACCGAAAAAGTAAAATAAATTAAAAAGAAGACTCTATGGAGCATAGTTCTACTCTGACACACATTGGGTCACCATGAGTTAGAATCGACTGGACAGCAGTTTTTTGCTTGTTTTTACTATTATTATCCATGGGTTAGCGGTTTCTAAGGCTGGGAATCCCACCATCCCAGTTGTTCCCAAATCTGACTGTATCCAGAGCCCTGAGCTGCTGCTTCTGTGCCCCTAGCCCCTGGTGGTACCCAGCCCATCAGAATTGAGTCATCATCTTCACATGTGGCTGAGGGACAGACGCTGGATCTGAACTGTGTGGTCCCTGGACAGGCCCACGCCCAGGTTACCTGGCACAAGCGTGGAGGCAGCCTCCCCACTCACCATCAGGTACGTGGGGCAGCAGATGGTGAGAGGGCTGCTGGGTGGGTAGAGGGACTCTGTCTTGGGGCCTCGTCCTCCATCCTCTGCCCAGGAAGGAGGTCAGGGAGCCCCTTGGGGTACAGTGCCCCCGGGTCAGAGGTTAGACCCCATCCCAAGGCCCTTAGAGATTCCAGATCTTACTCTCCTTCTCTGTCTCTCCATCCTGTCCCTGGTCAGACCCACGGCTCACGGCTGCGGCTGCACCAGGTGTCCCCGGCTGACTCTGGCGAGTATGTGTGCCGTGTGGTGGGCAGCTCTGGCCCACTGGAGGCCTCGGTCCTGGTCACCATTGAGGCCTCTGGCTCTAGCGCTGTCCACGTCCCTGGTAAGTGTTCCTGCAGTGGGGCAGGGAGGCTGGAGAAGGGAGGGAAGGAGGGAGGCCAGAAGGCAGAGGTTGGGGGAAGGAAATGCTTTTTGACACTGATGACAACAGACTTCTCCCTCCTGCCCACCCCCACGGTCAGCCTGGCTGAGTCAGCTGGGAAGACCCAGGACCAATGGACCAGGCCAGGTCCATGGCCCATGGGCAGTACCTGCTCATCTCTGGGAGCACAGACTTTGGAGTCTGGCCTGTATGAGCTTGAGTCCAGTTCCTCTGCCCACACTGAGATTGTTGTGCAAGGGACCTCCCCTCCTTCCTCTCTGTGCTCCACTTCCCTCATCTGTGAAATGTGGATAGTTGAGCTCTTACAACAATTAAATGAGTATTCCAAAGCCTGGAACTGCACCTCTGGAGATATGCAAGGTTTAGATGGCACCCTGATAAACACCTTTTATTTTAATCATGGTATATTAGGAAAGATGGCACAGGACTGGGCATTGTTTCTTTCTGTTACACATAAGGTCCCCGTGAGTCAGAGCCAAGTTGGTGGCAACAACAATGTATTAGGAAAAAACATAGCAGCACATCAAGCCTGTCATGATTTCATGGAAAGCATTGCCTAGAATGAGGCTAAGTAGTTAAGGTTTTTTTTTATAATGAATCGACTGAAAGGGGAATGTAAAATAATTAATAGCACAGGGGACGCATGGAAAAGTCACAGCAGAACACGATTGCTAAGTAATAAGCGTGGTAAGCACTTGCTAAGTGCTGGATGCTGTTACATTTACACATATTAATTCATTTTGTCCTCACAACAATATTTTGAGGTAGGTGTGATTGTTCTCCATTTTACAGTTTAAAAAAATGAGACGCAGAGAGGTGAAATAACTTTCTAAAAGTCACACGACTCATAAATACCAGAGCCGGAATTTGAACCCAGGCAGACTGGCCCCAGAGTCTGTGCTCTTAGTCACATACAACTCAAGCTTGGGAAATATTGGCGGTCTGGCATGGTAGTCAGTGGCATGGGGAGACAGTGAGGAGGAGATGATGGGGCCATTGCCTGCACCCCCCAGGCTAGCCCAGGCACTCCAGGTCTTGGAGGAGGGACAGGAAGAGGAAGGTGGAGAACCGGGACCATCTCCCCAGGAGGTCTCTGCTCTGGACATCTGGGCGCCTAGCGATGGGACTGAGGGCGCAGGGTGGGAGTCCCAGCTCCCTGACCTCTCCCTGTGCCCTAGCCTCTGGCGGAGCCCCACCCATCCGCATCGAGACCTCCTCATCTCGAGTGGCCGAGGGGCAGACACTGGATCTGAACTGCGTGGTGCCAGGGCAGGCCCACGCCCAGGTCACGTGGCGCAAGCGTGGGGGCAGCCTCCCCACCCGGCACCAGGTATGGGGCTGGAGAAGGTAGGACGTGGGCCCCCACCCAGGCGGTCTGCCTGAATGCAGCCCAGGAGGGAAGGTGGCCCCAGCGACTGGTGCTTGGGGAGGATTGGGGCAGGAGTCAGGAGGTTGAGAGCAGGCTGGGCACACCAGGGCTATCACTCGTCCCATAGTGCCTGGGTGCAAACCAGAAAAGGGCACCTCTTACTTAGGACACTTGACTTCCTCCTACCAGAAAAAATGCTGTAATAATGTTGTACACTGTCTGTGGTGTCCAAGGTGCGCGGCTGGGAAGGATGGAACTTACCTAACTATACACAGCAGTCCTGGGACACGGGTACCAGCAGGCTTGGACATCTGAAGGCCTTGGCCAGCCTCTCAGGTCATCCCTCTCCACTCTCGCCCCCACCCTGGTCAGGTCCACGGCTCCCTGCTGAGGCTGAACCACGTGTCCCCAGCTGATTCTGGCGAGTACTCATGCCAAGTGACCACCAGCTCAGGCACCCTGGAGGCCTCCGTCCTGGTCACAATTGAGGCCTCCAGCCCAGGCCCCATTCCTGGTGAGTGACAAGGAGCAGTGGGCAGTGCTGAGACCCATATCTGGGGGCCCTTCCTGGCCTTGATCCTCCCTGCTTTCCTGGCAGGACTCTGACTCTGGGCTCCATGCTGGCCCTGCAGCCCCCACCCTGCCCCCCAGCCAGGGGGAGTTTCAGAACAGCATCTTGGCCCCCAGGGAAGGGGACCCTTTTTAGGTCAAAGGAGCTCAGCCATGTCAGCCACTCAAGCCACCATACCTCCAGGGTACCTGGTTGGCATTCAGTGCCATCTGCTTAAGTCCCTGCCACCCATCCCCAGGAACATTGCCTCTCTCACCTACCTCTGTGCCCACAGCCCCAGGACTGGCCCAGCCTATCTACATTGAAGCCTCCTCCTCGCACATGACCGAGGGACAGACGCTGGATCTGAACTGTGTGGTGCCCGGGCAGGCCCATGCCCAGGTCACGTGGCACAAGCGTGGGGGCAGCCTGCCTGCACGGCATCAGGTACAGGGGCCAGGATGGAGCGGCTTTCAGGGCAGGCAAAGTTTGACCTGTAGTTACCTTCTGCACCCCAAGCCTCTTGCAATACCCAGTCTACTTGGGGACCACAGGGGACACAATGCTTTGGGGGGAAGAATTCACCAGCCTGGGAGTTGAGGGACCTGGGGTTTTTTGGTTTTTGTTTTTAATTTTTTTTTTATCGTACTTTAGATGAAGGTTTACAGAACAAATAGTTTCTCATTAAACTGTCAGTACACGTATTGTTTTATCACATTGGTTAACAACCCCACAACATGTCAACACTCTCCTTTCTTGACCTTGGAGGACTTTTTTTTGTGAAAATATACATAGCCAAAGGTAACACCATTTCAAAAAATTTCTACATGTACAATTTAGTGACATCGATTACATTCTTCCAGTTGTGTTGCTCTTCTCACTATCCTTTTCCAAATTATTCCATCACCATTATCTTCAACTCACTGTCCCCTAGGCTTCCCATCAAACCTTTTGAGTTGCTGTTGTCAATTTGATCTCACATAGATAATTCTTTTTTTTTTTCTTTTGTTCTTTAAATGAAGGCTTACAGAACAAATAGTTTCTTATTAAGTAGTACATATATTGCCCTATGAAAATGGTTAACAACCCCACGACATGTCAACACTGTCCCTTCTCAACCTTGGGTTCCCTATCACTAGCTTTCCTGTTCCCTCCTACCTTATAGTCCTTGTCCCTGGACTCCTGTGCCTCATTAGTCCCATTTTGTTTTATGGGGCTGCCCAATCCCCGGCTGAACGGTGAACTTCGGGAGTGACTTCACCACTGAGCTGAAAAGGTGTCCGGGGGCCATACACTCGGGGTTTCTCGAGACCTGGGTTTTGCTCCTGGCTCTGCTACTAGACCACTTCCTGGTCCTCAGTTTCCTCCTGTGTAAAATGAGTAGGTTGGATTTCTAGGGGTCTGTGAATGAAGCTTCCTTGATAAGCATCAGGTGGAGCCCTGAACACCTGAGCCCATGGTAGGACCTGGTACTAGCAAAGCCAGGCTTAGGGACTTGCCCTGTCCCAATGCTTGGCCTGATGGCTGCCCCTTCATGCTTTGGCAGACCCACGGCTCCCGGCTGCGGCTCCACCACGTCTCCCCCGCTGATTCTGGCGAGTATGTCTGCCGCGTGATTGGCGGCTCAGGGCCTGAGCAGGAGGCCTCCTTCACAGTCACAGTCCTACCCAGTGCGGGATCCTCCTACCGTGAGTGTGGTGAATGCATGGTGGGACCAGGAGAAGAAGACCCTGGAGCCCAGGCAGAGCCTCCATTGGTCAAGCCGCCCCACCCTTGCTGAGCCCACCCCTCTCCCCCCATCCCCAGGCCTCAGAAGCCCAGTCATCTCCATTGACCCACCCAGCAGCACTGTGCAGCAGGGCCAGGATGCCAGCTTCAAGTGCCTCATCCATGATGGGGCAGCCCCCATTAGCCTTGAGTGGAAGACCCGGAACCAGGAGCTGGAGGGTGAGCTGGAGGGTGAGCTGGGCAGGGGGTTGGGGGAGGACTAGAGGCCAGTGTGAGGGTATGGTGCAGGCAGGGGACAGAAGGCTAAGGTGGCATCAGACTCATTGTGTGACCCTGGTTAGGCCTTCCCCTCTCTGGGCCTCAGTGTTCCCATCTGTATGGTGAAGGGGGTGGACCCAGGAGTCCCCAAGGACTCTCATCTGCAACCATCTGTGACTCTGAGAGTTCCTCACCCCTAGGGATCGGGGACATGGAGCAAAGGTACCCCAGGTGGCAGTGCCAAGGCATTAGAAGGAAGAACAACAGCCCAGGGCCAGGTCAACCCTCAATGACCATATCTTTCCCCCATGCCAACCCCACAGATAACGTCCACATCAGCCCCAACGGCTCCATCATCACCATCGTGGGCACCCGGCCCAGCAACCACGGGGCCTACCGCTGCGTGGCCTCCAACGCTTATGGCGTGGCCCAGAGTGTCGTGAACCTCAGTGTGCATGGTGAGGGGCGTCACCCCCATGGGATTCCAGCCCAGGTTCTAAGCTCAGACTTTCAGGTTTAAATTCTGACTCTGCCGCTGACTCCCCTGTCACCTTGGGCATTCTCCCTGTCTGAGCCTCAGTTTCCACATCAGTGCAATGGGGAGACTAGTGCCAGCCTGCAGTTACAGTGGTGGGGCCTGTGACAGTGAGTGACCAGTGGTGCCCTATGTGTCAGTGGTGGCTGTTCCTCTGTGCAGGGCCCCCGTCAGTGTCCGTGCTCCCCGAGGGCCCTGTGCGGGTGAAAGTCGGAAAGTCTGTCGCCCTGGAGTGTGTCAGTGCAGGGGAGCCCCACTCCTCGGCTCGTTGGACCCGCATCGGCAGCCCCCACAAGTTGGAGCAGCGGATGCACGGGCACGTGGACAGCCACACAGTGCTGCAGGTGAGGCATCGCTTTCCCAGTGACCAGAAGCCAGGGCATTTCCTCTCTGGGCCTGCGTCCTAATCCAGGGCCCAGCCTGGAATGGGTGCTTAGAGGAGAGAGTGATGGGTGGGCAGGTGGGTGATGAATGGATGGAGGGAGAAAGGAAGTGATGCAATATGTGGATGGGTATGTGGATTAGAGGATGGAGAGAAGAAAGAAGGTAAGTGGAAGAAAGGAGGAAAGAAGGAATTGATGGAAGGATGAATGGATGGATGGGTGGGTTGGTCAGTGGATGGATGGGAGGGTGAGTGGATGGATCAGTGAATAAGTAGCTGGATGGATGGACGGACGGGTGGGTGGGTGCGTCAGTAGATGGATGGGTGGGTCAGTGGATGGATGGGTGGACAAGTAGCTGGATGGATGGATGCATGGATGGGTGGGTAAGTGGATGGATAAGTAGATGAGTGGATGGGTGGATGGACAAGTAGCTGGATGGATAGCATTGACGGATGTCATGAACAACCAGGATGAGCCCCCAGGCAGCCAGTCAGATGGGAGGGCAAAAAACCAAGAGAATGGTAGACAGGAGAGATAAAACCAAGTGATAGCTGGAGGCTGATGGCAGGGTCTTTCCCTTAGCACCCACATAACGGAAGTCCTTGCTTGCTTCCAGATTTCATCAGCTAAACCATCTGATGCAGGCACCTACGTGTGCCTAGCTCAGAATGCACTGGGCACGGCCCAGAAGCGGGTGGAGGTGATTGTGGACATGGACACCATGGTCCCTGGGGCCCCCCAGGTCCAGGTGGAAGAAGTCGAGCTGACCGTGGAGGCAGGACACACGGCCACCCTGCGCTGCTCAGCCACAGGTGTGGACAGGGACTGGCACACAGGGCAGGCAGAGCCCTGGTGCCCTGGGACACGAGAGATCTGAAGATGCCAGCATGCTTGGGGAGGGGGCGTCACTGCTGGCATCTCCCAGCAGTGGCAGAGGTGCCCATTGAGTGCCCCCAGTGGAGCGACAGGATTACCCAGGACCTGCTCCTACCATCACCACCTACAGCTGGTCCCTGAGGCAACTCGGTGACCTCTGCCATTCTCCACTACACAGGCAGCCCTACCCCCACCATCCACTGGTCCAAGCTGCGCTCCCCGCTGCCGTGGCAGCACCGGCTGGAAGGCAACACACTGATCATCCCCCGGGTAGCCCAGCAGGACTCAGGCCAGTACATCTGCAATGCCACTAGCCCTGCTGGGCACGCGGAGGCCACCATCACCCTGCACGTGGATAGTAAGGCGTTTGTCCCACACTTTGGGCTCCTCTCTCTGCCCTGCATGGAGGCCTGAGCCCCTCATCAGGCTCCACCTACCCTGAAAAGAACCCCAGGAACCCCATCCACAGGGCCCCCTGCACCTCAGGCCCCAGAGCCTGCCCTTGCCTAAAACCCACAGCACCTCCTGGGACCTTTGCTTTCCGCATCCCTAGTCCTCTGGGCTCCCTCGTCCTTTGCCAGGTTGCCTGGATCCAGCTTCCTGCTCCTCCCTGACCTCTGTGCCTGCCCTACCCTCACTTCTTTCCTGCTCCTCTCAGGCCCACCGTATGCCACCACGGTCCCAGAGCACGCTTCAGTGCAGGCGGGGGAGACCGTGCAGCTGCAGTGCCTGGCCCACGGGACACCCCCGCTCACCTTCCAGTGGAGCAGGGTGGGTGGCAGCCTCCCTGGGAGGGCGGTCGCCAGGAACGAGCTGCTGCGCTTTGAGCCCACGGCCCCCGAGGACTCAGGCCGCTACCGCTGTGAGGTCACCAACAGAGTAGGCTCTGCAGAGGCCTTTGCCCAGCTAACTGTCCAAGGTGAGCATGCCAGCCTCACAGTGGCAGAAGGGGTCAGCTTCCCTGCAGGCCCATCACTGAGCCCTTCACTTACTCAGCCACAGGTGCTGGGAGGTCGGCACAGGGGTGGGAAGGCCTCCGTCTGTTACCCACCTGGAATGCCCCACCTGGAACACAGCGTTGAGTTCCACTGTGCTGTGCCAATGTGCCATTCCCCTGTTCTGTGAGGCCCAAGGCGGGCCTGCCTCCTCCAGGAAGACCCCCAAGTACTGTGCTTTCAGCTCCTCTAGCTCTCTTTGCTGCTTCCCTCCCTTAGCATTGATAAAGCACTGCCGGAGGCTGTTGTGTTTACGTAAAAACCCCCTCCTGCCTCACCTGCCAGACTGTGAGGATGCTCAGGGAGGGCCTGGGCCCAGTCATCTCAGCAGCCCAGGCCTGTCTGCCACAGGCCCCAGGACGGGCTGGGTCGATGCTTGATGGTGATGATGATGAATGTGACAAGGTGGTGCCCACCCCGACATACCCAAGGCTTCAGTGGATCTCCAAAGGATCTGGCATTTCCGTGGCCTCCCACGTCAGTGCCACAAAGCCTAACAAGGGCTGTCAGGCTCAGGATTCTAGAAGCAGAAAACCAATTAGCCCAGTGGTTAAGAGCCTGGGTTCTGGAGTCAGACAGGCCTGGGTTCAAAGCATAGCTTGATCACTTGCAAGCTATGTGACCTCAGCCAAGTCATTTAACGTCTTTGGGCCTCAGTTTCTTCATCTGGAAGGTGGAGAGCATAACAACAATTATGAGGATGGCACAGGACCAGGCAGTGTTTCGTTCTGTCTTACAGAGGGTCACTGAGTCGAACCTGACTCAATGGCACCTAACAAGGTGGAGAGAACAGTGCCCGCCACGTAGGCCGAGTTAAAAAGATATCCATATGTAAAGCCCATGGCACACAGTAGGCACTTAGTTGCTGGTGATAGCAAGCATTCATGCCCACCTTCCTGCCCACCCTGGCACATATAGGTGTTGTCACTGTGGCCAAGTCCCTGGAGCTGGAATAGCCTTTGCTGCCCTTCCTTAAAATGTCTGAGGCTTTCCAAGACTGACGCCTCCTGCTCTGTCTTGGGCTGCCTTCCCCTCCCAAAGGCCAGGGGCTTGTGGAAGCACAGAGCCCAGCCCTCCACAGGTGCTTAGATGTGTTTATTGAATGACTGACTGCCTGCATGAGCAAATGAATGAATCTGCCAATGAAGGGCCTTTCTTCCTGGTCAGAGAGCCTACGAGAAGAACATCCTTTGACTGTTGGGACAGGGGTTTCCTGGGTCCCTGGGGGCATCAGGGACAAGACGTGCACGCACATACACACCGAACCTTCTCTCTATCCCTGCAGGCTCTGTACCCGCCGGTTTTCTCCCCGACACTTCCGTCCCAGCAGGGTTCTCGCCCACCGTGCACGTGACGCCTCAGCTGGAGACCAAGAGCATTGGGTCCAGTGTGGAGTTCCATTGTGCTGTGCCCAGTGACCGGGGCACCCAGCTCCGCTGGTTCAAGGAAGGGGGTCAGCTGCCTCCTGGCCACAGCGTGCAGGATGGGGTACTGCGGTGAGTGGGGGTTGGGGCAGGATTGGGCTTGTCACCCCAGTCCAGGGCACACAGTAGGCCGAGTTAAAACACCTGATGTATGGGGTGGCATGAAGCAGTGTCCTTGGGCAAGTCATTTCACCTCCTTAAGCGTCAGTTTTCTCAGCTGTGCAGTGGGTTCTATGAGACTGAAATGATCTAAAGCACTTAGCACGGTAAACAGAGGCCCATATTCATGTTATTATTAGATGAAAGGAAACAGGCTCTGGCCCCAGACACATACAGACGATCTCACATGTAAGCCCTGCCACTTGATAACTGTGATCTTGAGCTCTAGACCACAAGGTCTTTGTCTATAAAGTGGGTGTAGTGATACCCACCCTGCCTACAGTAAACTGTGTGAAAGCCGGAACCCACGTAAGGCGGAAACCTGTCAGAGAAGGAAAATGCAAATATTTTCCACTAAAATGAGTGATGGAAAGGTGGTAAGACTGCACCCTGTCAAAGCAGGAAAACGCGTGCGACCTGGGAAAACAAGGCAGTCCGTCGAGTTCTGGCTCTCACAGGTTTCACTGTACTTAGTTACCTTGTGTGGTGACTGGGGGACTAGAAGGATGCCCTGTGTGTTGATCTGTGGCAGCTTTGAATTCTCCTGCCATTGCAAAGTGGTCTCATCAGTTGTTTTTACTCCCTGATGCCTTATTATTTTTTCTTTACAGAATCCAGAACTTGGACCAGAGCTGCCAAGGGACATACGTGTGCCAGGCCCATGGACCATGGGGACAGGCCCAAGCCAGTGCCCAGCTGGTTGTCCAAGGTAGGATGGTTTCCCTGCTGGCAGCAGGGGACAAAGGTGAAAAGGGAAGAAGGAGGTGCAGCAATCGGACGATGTTCCCCAGGAAGCCCCTTAAATGCATAAGAATAAAGAGAATTATTTAACTGCATCATCCTTGTGCCTAGCATAGAGTAAGGGACTTGATAAATTTATTGCAAGGGAGGAAGAAGAGAGATGAGTGGGTGGGCAGTCAGACAAGCCAACGAACAAATGAATAAGTGGATAAATGCACGAGTAAATGAATAAACAAAAGGAGCAAACGAGTATACTAATGAGTGAATGCACAAAAAAATGAAGGAAAAAATGGATGCCTAGGGCTCCAGGCAGTCAGCAGCCTCCCTTGGGCCAGGCCTGAGGCGGGCTGGCCTCATCTGTACCTCTGCCTCTCTGCTTCCCTAGCCCTGCCCTCAGTGCTCATCAATATCCGGACCTCCGTGCAGACCGTGGTGGTTGGCCACGCTGTGGAATTCGAGTGCCTGGCGCTGGGTGATCCTAAGCCCCAGGTAACCTGGAGCAAAGTCGGAGGGCGCCTACGGCCTGGCGTTGTGCAGAGTGGAGGTGTCATCAGGATCCCCCAGGTGGAGCTGGCCGACGCGGGACAGTACCGCTGCACCGCTACCAATGCCGCTGGCACCACCCAGTCCCACGTGCTGCTGCTCGTGCAAGGTGAAGGCCAGCAGGGATCCCTGTGGGGCAGGGGCCTTCTGGTGCCGCAGTCCCCTGCCTCCCTGCGTTACTCTTCTTTTCTACTCTGTTGAGGGATTTTCCATTTTGTGTATTTAAGGGGTAGGTTTTATAACGAGCAGTGGCAGCAGGGGATGAAAGTCAGCATTCCCCTGAGGCAGGCTGGACCTTACAGAGAGAGAACTATGCCTTGGGCCAAAATTGAGCTGGGGATGGGGCATCTAAAGGAAAAAGGATACCTAGTCCTCGACTGGGGTCTGGGTGGCGCAAGTGGTTTGCAATCAGCTGCTAACCTAAAGGTTCAGAGTTTGAACCCACCCAGTGGCTCTGTGGAAGAAAGGCCTAGCGATCAGATTACATCCAAGAAGACGTCATAGAGTGGTTCTATTTTGTAACACATGGGGTCGCCATGAGTCGGAATCAACTCGACAACAACAGGTTTTTTTAGTGCTTACCTACAGAAAGTTCCGGCCCTGACTGGGGTGAGCTGCAGTCCAGTCTGATGGCAGAGACATAACATAAACACGAACAGACGTCAAACAGAGTATAAAACAAGGACAAAAGATTCAGGGCAAAGAAACAAGTCTGTGTTTTCTTTAAAGGCGATTCCTTTTTACCTGAAACCCTATGCTTTACCCCCAAACCTACTCACCCATACTGTGCTAGAACCCCTTTCTCAGGTCCCCAAAAGACTGCACAGTTTTCTGCCTAGGTGTGGGGCCCACCTGGAAACTCCTCCCCTGTTAGCTCTTCCCCCTCCCCACCCCGAGAAGTAGTAGGAGTGTTGAGGTGGTCTCAGGCTATGGACTCGCGTGGACCTGTCCCTAAACCCTGACTCTGCCTGGTTCTATCTGTACAACCAGGAGTGAGCAGCCACTTCTCCCCCGCTTAACCACAATTTCTCATCTGTAAAATGAGGACATAGTACCTCTCTCTAAGAAATGAACAAGATTAAACAAGTCAAGGCATAGTGCTAGGCACATAAATGGTGGCTGTAATCATCTTGGTGATTTGTCTCCTTTCCCCCCAGCCTTGCCGCAGATCTCAACACCCCCAGAGGTCCGTGTGCCTGCTGGCTCTGCAGCTGTCTTCCCCTGCATGGCCTCTGGCTACCCCCCACCTGACATCACCTGGTCCAAGGTAAATGTGGGCAGGGGACCAGTGGGCATACCTGAGGGGCAGGGAACAGGTCTTAACTATCTCAGTCTCCCCAGGACCTGGCACAAGGCTAAGTGCTCAGTATTTGCTGAACGGAGCCCTGAAAGTGGCCCTGAGGCAGGGTTGGAGACTGACCCTTGGGAGGTATGGGCCAAGGCCAGGTCCAAGTGCTGTGTGTTTGCAGCTGGATGGCAACCTGCCACCCAACAGCCGTCTGGAGAACAACATGTTGATGCTGCCCTTGGTCCGACCCCAGGATGCAGGCACCTATGTCTGCACTGCCACCAACCGCCAGGGCAAGGTCAAAGCCTTTGCCCATCTGCAGGTGCCAGGTAAGATCCGCCCCATTGGAACTGGGCAGCACCCTCACTCCCAGATGGGCATCCCCTCTAACTACACCTTCTGCTGGCAGAGCGGGTGGTGCCCTACTTCACGCAGACCCCCCACTCCTTCCTGCCACTGCCCACCATCAAGGACGCCTACCGGAAGTTTGAGATCAAGATCACCTTCCGGCCCGACTCAGCTGATGGTGAGCAGGAAGGGAGCTGATTTGGGTGGCCTGGCCTGGAGTAGGGATATCTTGGGGTAGCCTGTTATCGTAGTCCAGGCCCTGGCAGCCCCAGTCCTGCCCACCTCCCTCAATACTCCCTGTCTAGGAGCCCTCAGGCCTGCCAGGCCTCTCAGTCAAGCCCCTCTCTTCAAGCCTCCTCTCTCCTCCATCCCTACACCCCTGTGGTATATCTTGAACTTCCCATGGTCCCATCTTCTGCTATTGGGGCGTCCATATCCAGCCTCTTGTCCCATCTTCCGACTGCCGTCTCTGTTGTTTCTCCCTCTATGTCTTTCATCGCTCACCCTCACCTCCTCTCTCTCTCTCTCTCTCTCTCTCTCATCCGTCTCCTCCCATCTCTTTCGGGTCTCTGCCTTTCACTGTCCAGGCCTCCTTCTCTACTCGGGTGAGTCTCTGCCTTCCTTTCCCACTTCAGGTAGACCTGGCTGTGTGAGTGAAGCAAGTTCCCCTTCTCTCTGGGCGCTCCCAGCAAGGCCCCTCTAATTGGGTCATCAACCCTGAGATAGTGAGAGGGCCCTGGCCGTGTGAGGTGTGCCAAAGGGTGGGACAGGAGGTTAGAGTGGAAAGGCTCAGGGGAGAGCTGGGGTCGTTCTCGGGGCTGGGGCCCACAGGGAGCCTTGTAGCAGGACAGGCAGCCCTAACCTAGCTGTGCCTGCCCAGGGATGCTGCTGTACAATGGGCAGAAGCGGACCCCAGGGAGCCCCACCAGCCTGGCCCACAGGCAGCCTGACTTCATCTCCTTCGGCCTCGTGGGCGGAAGGCCCGAGTTCCGGTGAGAACTTTGCCCTCCTCTTCACAGGGAAGGAGGGGCTGGGAGACAGGATGGCAGGGCTTTACCACCCTGGGCTGAGTGGTACAAAGGAGGTCCTAGAGCAAGGAGGAGATGGGATCTTTACCCTTGGCAATCATGCAGTCTGCTGGAGTGGGCACAATAAGTCAGTCAGATGGAGCAAGCAACCTCAGACGGTTGAAGCACTCGGGCAGAAGCACTCGGTGGTACTGACTGCCTGCTTGTGGGTGGGACTGCTGCAGGTCAGGAGTCATTCATTCATTCAGCAGCTATTTGCTGAACACCTACTGTGTGCCAGGCACTAATGCAGAGATCAACAAAACAGATCAAGCTCTGGCCTTTGTAGGAATGTATATTCTAGTAGGGAAAAACAAGCCATAAATAAAGAAAGGAAGCAACAAGGCAATTCCGGAGAGAGGAGTATTCTGAGAAAGTGAAGGCAGATGATGGTTGGGGTGCACTGGAACCAGGGGGGATTGGAGCCCCATGGGCTGCTCTGGAAGTGTTCCCAGAGAAACAAAGTGGGGAGAGAAGACCTGGGGGAGCGCCAAGGATGGGTTGAGCTGGGGTGGGTTGACAGAGTGGGAGGACAAGGCAGGGGCAAGGGTTGGAGCAGCCCCAGAGCCGGGACTACAGGAAATGGTGGTGTCCCTCCTCTGGCGCCCCTTCGCCCAGGTTAGGTCCCCTCCCCAGCCCTTCCTATGAACTCCATTTCCACCTTCTGCCATGACCCCACCCCATGGAGCAGGTTTGACGCAGGCTCTGGCATGGCCACCATCCGCCACCCCACGCCACTGGCCCTGGGCCAGTTCCACACCGTGACCCTGCTGCGCAGCCTCACCCAGGGCTCCCTGGTTGTGGGCAACCTGGCCCCAGTCAATGGGACCTCCCAGGTGAGACCCACACCTGACCCCCTATTCCCAGCCCTCACCCCTGCCCAGCCTCTGCCTGCTATTCCTCACTTCCTTACCTCCCTAGGGCAAGTTCCAGGGCCTGGACCTGAATGAGGAACTCTACCTGGGCGGATACCCGGATTACGGTGCCATCCCCAAGGCGGGGCTGAGCAGCGGCTTTGTAGGTGAGCCCCTTCCCCACTCGCAACTGGGGCCAAGCCTCGGCTGGCTGGTAGAGCCCATGGCAGCTCGGGAGGACGTTGTAGGGGTGGGCTGGGACTGGACGGGCTTCCTGGGACCCACCTAGCTCATCCTGCCTGCTCGCCCCCCAGGCTGTGTCCGGGAGCTGCGCATCCAGGGTGAGGAGATTGTCTTCCACGACCTCAACCTCACGGCACATGGCATCTCCCACTGCCCCACCTGCCGGGACCGGCCCTGCCAGGTGACCCTGCCATGCAGCCTAGCCACCCCATCCTCTGCCCTCGGCTGTAGCTGGCCTCTGTGGTCAGTAGGGGAGGGCTGGAATGTCCTTGGCCTGACTTCTGGGGGCCACTTTGCAGAATGGGGGCCAGTGCCATGACTCAGAGAGCAGCAGCTATGTGTGCCTCTGCCCGGCCGGCTTCACCGGGAGCCGCTGTGAGCACTCGCAGGCCCTGCACTGCCACCCAGGTATGTGCCCACACCACCCAATCACTGCACCCTGGATACTTACCTCTGCCCCATTGCTGTTCCTTCATAGCCGCCCCCACCTGCTGCTCTGCAGTATTAGCCATGTTACATCACTCTTAACTCAAGTAGTACTCCCGCCATGTACTCACCCTGCCCATCCCATGTACATGCACCTCCCCATCACTGTTACCCAGTTGCCCCTCTCTATCACTGTTACCCAAGTGCCCACCTCCATCACTGTTACCCAGGTGCCCACCTCCATCACTGTTACCCAAGTACTTCCTACTTCTCTTATTGCTGCCACTCAGGTACTCACTCTGCTCCGTCACTTGCTCCCTGGGTACCTACCACCTCCCCATCTTATTCCCCAGGTTCCCCCCCACTACCTGCTACCTAGGTACTCATTACTCTCCCAGTATTATCCAGGTACAGTCTTTTCAAGAACAGCACAGTCACTCATTCATACTGACCCCCCCCCCCACTCCACTACTACCGCCTCTACTCCCCCAACCCCGCTGTTAGCGCTGCCCAGCCTCCTCGGGCCCCACCCTCGCCGTAATCCATTTCTCCCTCCTCGCCGTCGGAGTTCCTGGTTGGTGCACACAGTGAAGCATTGGACTACTAGCTGAAAAGTTGGCAGTTCAAACCCACCCAGAGGCACCTCAGAAGACAGGCCTGGCGATCTGCTTCCAAAAGGTCACATAGCCTTGACAACTGTGTGGAGCGCAGTTCTACTCTGCACACATGGGCTTGCCATGAATCGGAATCTACTCGACAGCAACTAACAACCTCCTCAGCCAGCTCCTTATGCAGCCCTCCCAGGCTGGTGTGGCTGTAATTTAACACAGGCCCCTGGGACAGGATGGGTAGGGCCCTCCCTGGGGGGGCCCCACCCTCTCTAGAGTTCCCTCAGGGTCCCCATTGGCCCTTGTCTCCCCCAGAGGCCTGTGGGCCAGACGCCACCTGTGTGAACCGGCCTGACGGTCGAGGCTACAGCTGCCGCTGCCACCTGGGCCGCTCAGGGGTGAAGTGTGAAGAGGGTGAGTGGAGCCAGTCTAAAACTCCTAGGGACCCCAGTAGAGTGGGGAAACTGGGCGGGGGCACTCTTGGGCCATGATGGGTCATGTTGTTGTGTGCCGTCGAGCCCATTCCAACTCATAGTGACCCTATAGGACAGAGTAGGACTGCTCCGTAGGGTTTCCCAGGCTGTAACCTTGATGGGAGCAGATGGCCAGGTCTTTTGTCCTACAGAGCGGCTGGTCTGTTCAAACTGCCGACCTTTCAGTTGGCAGCCAAGCGCTTAACCGTTGCGATACCAGGGTTCCTATGATGGACCATATGGATGATAACATTTTTCCAGAACCAGAGGACCTTAAAGTAACTTGCCCATCCTGAATCCAATACTGGAGGGCCTCCAAAGGCGACCCCTATCTTGGAGATCTTCCTAGGCAGGTCTGCAGTGCCAGGGAGAATGGGCCTCCAGTGCTGCTATAGCTGTTGCCCAGTTGGTCCTGAAAACTGGAGAGGGGGGCAGGTAGGGGTCCAGGAGGGGCTCTGGCATCCCCACTGCCCCCAGCTGAGCTGTGGCTGCTGCAGGTGTGACAGTGACCACCCCCTCCATGTCGGGTACCGGCTCCTACCTGGCACTGCCCGCCCTCACCAACACACACCACGAGCTACGTCTGGACATTGAGTTCAAGCCGCTGATGCCGGACGGAATCTTGCTGTTCAGCGGGGGGAAGAGTGGGCCTGTGGAGGACTTCGTGTCCCTGGCGATGGTTGGCGGGCACCTGGAGTTCCGCTACGAGTTGGGCTCAGGTGAGCACTGGGCAGCAAATGGAGATGGGTCTGTAGATGCCAAGCTTTATGACCCCCTTGGCTCCCTTAAGGAGGCTCAGTGGAATAAATTCAGGAGTCAGACAAACCATTCCATCATATTTCTTCTCTGCGTGTGACTTTAGGCAAGCCCTCTCTGAGCCTCAGTTTCCTCATTTGGAAACCAGGAAGCTGTAGGAAGCTCCCTATTTGCTGAGTCCTTGTATGTGGTGGGGTGGGGCAAGAGGCCACTTGTGCACCTAGCCCTGCCTGGTGTCCTCCCCAGGGCTGGCTGTTCTGCGGAGCCCCGAGCCACTGGCCGTGGGCCGCTGGCACCGCGTGTCTGCAGAGCGCCTCAACAAGGACGGCAGCCTGCGGGTGAATGGTGGACGCCCCGTGCTGCGCTCCTCGCCGGGCAAGAGCCAGGGCCTCAACCTTAATACCCTCCTCTACCTGGGTGGTGTGGAGCCATCCGTGCAACTGCCTCGGGCCACCAATATTAGCACTCACTTCCACGGCTGCGTCGGGGAGGTGAGGACCAGCCTCCAGAAGACAAGTTGGGAAGAAGAGGGGGTGTAAACTGGGCCCCTCCGCCTGTAGCCAACCCAAGGCCCTGGGACCAGACCCTTCACCCCTCTGAGCCTCAGTGTTCTCATCTGTAAAACGGGGATAGTAACACCTCCTTTGTACTGAGAACTGACTGGACTAATGGATGCTCCTGGTACATAGTAGGCACCCAACTTACTTTCCTCCCTACCCAGCCCTAGAGAATCTCATGCTACCACTCAAGCTCCAGTTTGGGCTCCCAGCTCCCTCTGCTACACTCTCTCTGCTGGCACACCCCTGTGCCTCTGTCTCCTCTGCCCCCATTAGTCCCTCAGTGCGCCTGTGCCCACAGGTGTCGGTGAATGGAAAGCGGCTGGACCTCACCTACAGCTTCCTGGGCAGCCGGGGCATCGGACAGTGCTACGACAGCTCCCCATGTGAGCGCCAGCCATGCCAAAATGGCGCCACCTGCCTGCCTGCTGGCGAGTATGAATTCCAGTGCCTGTGTCAAGATGGCTTCAAAGGTGGGGGAGCCTGTCCCCAGCTTCAGGGGCGGGGGGCGGGGGTGGTCAGTGACAACTGCTGCCCATGACCACTCACTCTGCCCTGTCCAAAAGGAGACCTCTGTGAGCACGGGGAGAACCCCTGCCAGCTCCACGAGCCCTGTCTGCATGGGGGCACCTGCAAGGGTACCCGTTGCCTCTGTGCCCCCGGCTTTTTTGGCCTGCGCTGCCAAGAAGGTAAGCCAGTCCTAGCTTCTCTCCACCTCCCTGCTGGGCCCTGGGGCTAGACACAGTACCCACAGTTGTCTCTGCCTACCACCTAGAGTCTGCTCTTCCCCCGTAGGCTCTGGACATGGTACAGCCGAGCCTGACTGGCATCTTGAAGGAAGTGGGGGCAATGGTACGTACTTGCCACGGACAGCCAGAAAAGCTGGGCAGGCTTGTCTCCTCCTCTTCCAATGACCTACATCCTCATTTCTGGCCTCCAAGCAAGACAGGCTCATATAAGGGGCTCACTGGGCACAAACGGGCAGAATAAAAAGAAGAGCACAGCCACACAGAACTGGGTCCTGCCCCATACTTACGGCCTAAGTAAACTTGGGCAGTCCTTGAGCAACTCTGATCTCAGTTTCCTTTTCTATACTCATGCATTCAGTCAGCAAACATCTGCTGTGTGCCTAGCCTTGCTTTGGGACTAGGAAGTTTAAAACGAATAAGGCAGGACCCTTGCTCTCAAGGATTCCGCCATCTTTTTTAAAGTAAAGATAATAATAAAGAATGAATGCTTATTGAGCATTTACTATGTCCCGGGCACTGTGCAAACCACTTTATAGACACATAACTTCTTATTTATTACGAATCTAATAGGAGAGACAATGGTATGCTGGTTATAGACTTGAACTGTGGAATCAGCCTGCCTGGTTCAAATCCTAACCCTGCCACTTACTAGCTGTGTGATTTGGAGCAAGTCATTTTACCTCTCTGTGCCTCAGTGTTCTCATGTATGAAGTGGAGATAAGTAACATCCTTCCACGAGGCTTTTGATGAAATTTCGTCTGGGGGTAAAATGATGTAATATATTTAAAATGCCTAGAATAGTGTCTGGTATGGAGCAGGTACAGAATGTTAGTTTTGTTAGTATTATATCTAGTTCATAGGGTGGTTCTAAGGACTCAGCTAATGAAATGATGTTTCTAACTGGATATGAATCTCCCAGCACAGTGGCAGGCACATAGTAGGTGCTCGATAAATATAAGCTGTTAACATCATCATTGGGTGGAGGCTTGCAAAGTGTCCCCTTCCCTTGTAGCTGCCAGGCCTACAGTGGTGAGCAGATAGGGCTGGGGATGTGGATGCCACACACTGTATGGACATCAGAGCCAAAAGGCCCAGGTTGCGATCCAGGCTTCCCACTTAACTGGGAAAGTCCCTTCATCACTCTGAGCTTGTCTTCCCATCCGTCAAGTGGAGATAACACAAGGGTTCCTAAACTTTTGTGTGCCGCAGACCTAGGTGAGCAACTGTTTGCTCAGGACTAGGGGGTTTCTCTGAAGCCCTGGTGGTGCAGTGGTTAAAGTGCTCGGCTGCTAATCAAAAGGTTGGCAGTTCAAACCCACCAACTGCTCGGTGGGAGAAAGATGTGGCGGTCTGCTTCCGTAAAGATCACAGCCCTGGAAACCCTGTGGGGCAGCTCTAGTCCGTCCTAGAGTGTTGCCATGAGTCAGAATCGACTCGACTGGCAATGGGTTTTTTTTTGGAGGGTGTTTCTCTTGGAATGTGGGACTTTCAGTACTAAAACCAGGACAGAACCAGACAAACAGGGTGGTTGGTCACCCTCCATGGACCTCGTCAACTGCACAAAATAAAATACATCGTATTTCAAAGGAAACCAATGATACCCAAACAAGGTTATCAAAATACTTTTTTAAATTTGCTTTATAATATATGCACTTTTTTTTTATTGTGCTTTAGGTAAAAGTTTACAGCTCAAGTTAATTTCTCATACAAAAAATTATACACATATTGTTTTGTGACATTAGTTACAATCCCCACAATGTGACAGCATGCTCCCCCTTTCCACCCCTGGTTCCCGGCGTCCATTAAACCAGCTCCTGTCCCTTCCTGCCTTCTCATCCTGCTTCCGGACAGGAGGTGCTCGTTTGGTCTCGTGTATCTGACTGAACTAAGAAGCACACTCCTCACCTGTATTATTTTTTGTTCTGTAGTCCTGTGTAATGTTTGTCTGAAAAGTAGGCTCTGGGAATGGTTTCAGTTCTGGGTTAACAGAGCATCTGGGGACCATAGTTTCAGGGGTTCCTCCAATCTCTGTCAGACATTTAAGTCTGGTCTTTTTAAGTAATATATGCACTTCCTTATTGACACATTAAATAACAAGATCTAGTAGTGTTCTAATAGCTACCGTAATTTCGAATCAGTGATAAGTGTGTAAACAATGATTTGAAAGATCTGCAACTACTGTCATGTGCTAAGCAAATATGTGTGACTTCTCTTAGTGTCAAAGTCTCAGGTCCTGCTACTGTGACTGTGGTTTGTTGCCTACATCCATACTTGAAGGACCTGCTAACTTTCAGTGAGAAATGAGTGAAAATACAGATGTAATTTTTCCCCATCCAAGTTCACAAACCCAAATTAACCAAACCCATTGTTGTGGAGTCTATTCCACCTCATAGCGACCCTATAGAACACAGTAGAACTGCCCCACAGGGTTTCCAAGGCTGTAAGTCTTTATGGAAGCAGACTGCCACATCTTTCTCCCAAAGAGCAGATGATGGGTTTGAACTGTCGACCTTCTGGTCAGCAGCCAAGCACTTATCCACTGTGCTACCAGCACTTCTACTTCCAAGTTCACAGATCCCCTGAATTCTGTCCATGGCCAGTTGGTCTCCAGGGCTGCAGGTTCAGAGCCCCAGTAGTGATACATGTTGGCACGGAGGTGGGGATCAGGTGAGCTGAGGAGGGATGGGTTGCTCCTGCAGGTGAGCAGGTGTCTCACCATCCCTCCTTCTCCCTCAGACGCCCCTGGGCAGTACGGAGCCTATTTCCACGATGGCGGCTTCCTCGCCCTCCCTGGCCGCAGCTTCTCCAGAGGGTGAGCTGGGTGTTGGCAGAACTGGTGGGCCCAGGGAAGTGGGGAGGGCACCTGGGATGTGGACCTCTCTGCCCCTCACCTGCTGCTCCTCCTGCAGCCTGCCTGAAGCACCTGAGACCATCGAGCTGGAGGTGCGGACCAGCACGGCTAACGGCCTCCTGCTTTGGCAGGGCGTGGTGAGTGGGGGGCCTGGGGGCAGGAGGCCAGCCTCTTGGTAGCCAGAGCAGTGGGGAGAGAGGAAGGAGCTACAGCCTTGGGGGCCCCGGCTCTCTAGACTGGGAACCCCAGAGACCCCATGATTCCCTGGCAGGTGCTGGGAGAGACCAGCCAAGGCAAGGACTTCATCAGTCTCGGGCTTCAAGACGGGCAGCTCGTCTTCAGGTAGGTGGTTCTGGCACCCTAACTCATCTTCTCCCTCCCACCCCCGCAAGTGGCTTCCCCTCTGACCAGCCTCATGGGAACCTGCAGCTCCCAGCTATACACACACACACACACACACACACCCACCCACACACCCACACACGCACCGTCAGTCCTGCCCCAGCTCACACCTACTTGGACTCCTGTGACCTGTAGCTACCAGCTGGGCAGTGGGGAAGCACGCCTTGTCTCTGAGGACCCCATCAATGACGGCGAGTGGCACCGAGTGACAGCGCTGCGGTAAGGCGCCCAGCCAGGCACTAGGGAAAGGGTCCCAGAGTTGCAAAGTGGGACAGGATGCCCCCACTGTGGGCAGGGAGGCAGGCGCTGAGCTCTGAGGAGGCAGAACTTGAAGCCAGGGCAGGGAGAGAATACGCCAGCCAGAGCACAGACTTCCTGGGCGGGACAGAAGTCCAGGGGTGAGGTCAGGCAAGCACTGTAGCAGGGGGCATGCTAGGACGCCGTGCTTGTGGGGCCAGAGGTCTGCCCTAGTGGGAGGAGGAGAGAACTCAGGGGCAGGGGCAGACTTCTCAGCCTGAAGTCTGTAGCAAAGGGTGGAACTCTGTGCTGGGTAGGGGAAGGCGGGGAATGCGTAGGGAGGAACCTGACCCAGTTTCTCTGCAGAGAGGGCCAGAGAGGCTCCATCCAGGTCGATGGTGAGGAGCTGGTCAGCGGCCAGTCCCCAGGCCCTAACGTGGCGGTCAACACCAAGGGCAGCATCTACATCGGTACGTCTTGTGCTCAGGTCTTTGTGTGGGCCTGGGCCTGTGTGGTCCTTGGGAGGGAATGGGGCTCTTCCAGAGCTGGAGCCAACACAGCCTTCCTCCCTTCCTCGACTCCTGGATCCCAGGCCCAACAGCTGACAGCCACCCCCGCCCCCATTATCTTCCCACAGGCGGGGCCCCCAACGTGGCCACACTCACCGGGGGCAGGTTCTCGGCGGGCATCACAGGCTGTATCAAGAATCTGGTGCTGCACTCTGCCTGGCCTGGCGCCCCACCCCCACAGCCCCTGGACCTGCAGCACCGCGTCCAGGCAGGGGCCAACACGCGCCCCTGCCCCTTGTAGGCACCCGCCTGCCCCACACAGACTCCCGGGCAGCGCCCTAGCCCGACAATGTCGAGTATATTATTATTAATATTATTATTATGAATTTTTTTGTAAGAAACTGAGGCGATGCCACGCTTTGCTGCTACCGCCCTGGGCTGGACTGGAGGGTGGACACGCCACCCCCCACCCCACACACACACACACCTGGGCAAAGCCACAGGGCTGGTAGGCAGGGCAGGTTGGATGTGACCGGGTCTCAGAAGGCCTCCAGGAACTGGGGCCAGGCCTGGTGGCTGGGTGGACCCAGAACAGCCCCTGCTGCCCCTGCAGCTGGAACTCCCCAAGGCAGAGCTGGACCGCCATCTCTGCAGCCCTTGGGCAGCCTTCATTCCTATGAACGCCCTTCGGACACTCCAACCTCAGCTTACAGCCTGGTGCCTCACCAGCTACCTGAGCAAGAAGGCGCCAGCAACAGCCTTTGCATGCTCCCCCGGGTCGTGAAAGCTCTTGAGCACCAGCCATGGAGCAAAAGGCAGCTCACCCCTGGGCAGCAGCTCCCTACCCTCACCAGCCCATGTTCCAGCCCCTCCACCTCTTCCCAACCAGCCTCCCCTCCTCCCACCAAGCCCTCCTGGCCTGCCTTCCCCCCAACACCCAGTCCAGGGACCCTGCCCTCAGGGGCTGCAAGGGAAACCCCACCCCAACCCTTACCAGGAGCTGCCACCAGCCGAGCCCAGCACTGAGAGGGTCTCCCCCCCGACACCAGGCTACATCCCACCACCCATCTGGAGGTGAAGGCCCAGGGGACAGTGGGGGAAGGTGTTGGTGGTCGGGAGGAGTTAGTGCCTTGCAGGGTAGGAGGGGGCCAGAGCTCATGACTAGGGGGATGGAGGGGAGATGACAGCCTGGCCCCATCTGTGGAAGCCTGAGGGCCCAGCTGTGGGTAAGCGCCCTCCCACCAGCAGCCGCAGACCATGGGGTCAGGCCACCTGGCCTCCATGTCCTAGAAGGGACACTCCTGTGGTCTTTGTCTTGGTTTTTCTTAAATAAACGGTGCTATCCCTGCCAGGGCTATCTCCTGTGTCTTTGACTAGTGCTTGACATGGTGGAACCTGAGGGGGGGCTGGGTTGGGGCACAGCAGTGCAGGTAAGGTCTGGGAGGGAAGCAAGGCAGCTTCAGGCTAACGAGGCCCCCACTCTCTGACCTGGGCTTGGGGGTCCTGCCCTCCAGGTTACTCCTGTGGCCCTCACGGCAACCTTGTGAGGCAGGAATCATCCCATTTTCCAGAGAAACAGACTGAGTCTCAGAGGATTAAGTGACCCACTCAAGGGGGCTTCAGAGCTCAGGGACTGTTTGACCCCAGAGCCCACTCTGTTCTCCGACACCTGCAGCCTCTCTAGGGATGGCCTTCCTGACCCTGGACTGCTGGCTGGCTCGGCTGCTGCCCCCCGGGGACGACCTGGCCAGGACATGCATAGCAGATGGTACAGGCTGCACTGCAGCTGAGACAGAGTCCCCAGGCCCCAGCCCACCAGGCCAGCTGGCCAGGGGAGCAGCAGCACCAGAGGAGGCCCATGAGGAGGCCAGTGGAGGCCAGGAGCAGTGAGGAGGCCAGTGTCACCCTCCACAGCTGGAGCCCTGCAGAAGGAAAGAGGGCTTACTCAGGGGTCAGCCTGGGCCCACTGCTCCTGTCCCCATGCCCAGAGAGGGACACGTGATCTTGGCAGGAAGAGCAGAGCACGAGGGTAGCCAAGAGCCGTCTGTCTACCTTTTGATGCCGCATCCTGGAGAACAGGGTCCCGGCCTGCAGGGGTAGTCCTCTCAGCAGCAACCTGCAGGGAGCCTGCAGACCCGAGAGCTAAGGAGTCAGTCAGTGGCTGGGGGACATCGCCATCGGTACTCTGGACCTGGCTGGACATGGAGGTAGGACCTGCAGTGGGACATGACAGAGCTAACACTGAGAACTGCCCTTTCTGGAGCACGCCATGTCTTATTTAATCCTTATACCCCCTCTCTGAGGTTGTAGTTATTAATATCCCCATTTTACAGATAAGGGAAATAAGGCACACAGAGGTTAAGTCACTTCCAAGCTCACACAGCTGGAAGTGATAGGGGAGGACTTGAACTCCCACAGTCTAGCTCAGGGCCCAGGGTTTATGAACAGAGCTACTTCTCAAGATGCACACAAGCCACTGGGAGAAAGGGAAGGAGGATGTACACATGTACCAAGCACCGTGCTGTGTGCTGGGCCCAGTACCTATAATAGCACACATCAGTCTCTGATAACTCTGAAAGGTAAGCTCATTAACCCCATTTTACAGATAAACTGAGGCATGGAGAAGGTCATTCTTCCACTCCCTTGACTAGTATTTCTCGAGTGCCTACTATACCCCAGACATTGCTGTAGGGACTGGGGGATACAACAGTGAGCAAAATAGACAAAAATGTCTTCATGGGACTGCCATTTTAGCACAGGGAGACTGACAAGATAGAAAAATTAATATATCATGTCAAATGGCAGTTCATGGTATATTCAACAGTCTTTGCCAACACCACAGATCAAATGCATACTTCTCCTGTCTTGCTTTTTCATTATCCAACTTTGGCATGCATCTGGACAGCCAAAAGAATGAACAAATCAGCCTTAGAAGGCATACAACCAGAATGTTCCTTAGAAGGGAGAATGGCAAGACTTGGACTTGCTTACTTTGGACATGTCATCAGGAAAGACCAATTGCCGGAAAAGGACGTCATGGTTGATAGAGAGTCAGTGAAAATGAGGGAAACTCTCAATGAGATGGACTGACACAATGGCGACAATGTACTCAAACATACCAATGATCATAAAGATGGCGCAGGCCCGGGCAACGTTTCATTCTATTATACATAGGGTCAGCATGAGTTGGAGCTGACCACATGTCAAATGGAGATAGATGCTACGAAGAAAAATTAAGCGTGGAAAGGAAACAGTGAGGCTGGTTGGGCAGGGTTGCTATTTTTAAATAAAGGGGTCAGGAAAGAACTCAGAGAAGGGGATGGTTAAGCAGAGACCTGCAGGGGAAAAAGGGAGGCGCACGCAGATCTCTGAAGAAAAGCCTTCCAGACAGCAGAAATAGCCCATGCACAGACCAGGAGGCAGGACCTTGGCAGGAGGAACTGTGAGGGGGCCCTTGGAGTGGAGCCAAAGGAGCAAGAGGGCAGGTGGGAGGAGGCAAGGCCGGGGAGGCGACAGAGCCAGATGGTGCAGGGTCTGTGGGGCCCTGTGAGGCTTTGCTTTCGCTGAGTGAGATGGGGAGCCAGCAGAGGGGCTTTGAGCATGCGAGTGACATGATCCGAACCAATGTTTTAAAAGGCTCCCCTAGGCTCCCCACTCCTGACATGTGGGCTGTGCATGGTGACTTCCTTCCAAATTGTACAGTGGAAAGAGGGGATAGAGTAACTTTACAGTGAAGAAACCCGACAAACACTGCCTCAGTCAGGTGATCAAGGTCAACATCAACAGTCACAATCACGTCGATAGTATGTACCCTTGTATGTGATGAAAGTGGCACTTCACCTCTGTAGTCTTCCTCCCCAAAACCCATAACATCTGTTTTATAATGAGGGGAAACATCAGACAAAGTCCATTTGTGAGATAGCCTACGAAATACCTGACCAGGGCTCCTCAAAATTGTCAAGATCATCAGAAACAAAGAAAGACTGAGAAACTGCCACAGCCAAGAAGAGCCTAAAGAAAACATGCTGAGTAAATGTCACGATATCCTGGATGTGATCCTGGAACAGATAACGGACGTTGTTGTTTGTTAGGTACTATCAAGTTGGCTCTGACTCATAAAGACCCTGTGTACAACAGACCAAAACACTGCCCAGTCCTGCGCCATTCTCACCATCATTGTTATGCTTGAGCCCATTGTTACAGCCACTGTGTCAATCCATCTCATTGAGGGTCCTCCTCTTTTTCACTGACCCTCTAGTCTACCAAGCATAATGTCCTTCTCCAGGGACTGATCCCTCCTGATAACATGTCCAAAGTGTGTGAGACAAAGTCTTGCCATCCTCATTTCTAATGAGCATTCTGGCTGTACTTCTTCCAAGACAGATTTGTTTGTTTTTCTGGCAGTCCATGGTATATTCAATATTCTTCGCTAACACCATACTGCAAAGGCATCAATTCTTCTTCGTTCTTCCTTATTCATTGTCCAGATTTCACATGCATATGAGGTGATTGAAAACACCATGGCTTAGTCAGGCACACCTTAGTCCTTAAAGTGACATCTTTGCTTTTTAACACTTTACAGAGATCTTTTGCAGCATATTTACCCAATGCGATGCATCCTTTGATTTCTTGACTGCTGCTTCCATGGGTGTTCATTGTGGATACAAGTAAAATGAAATCCTTGACAACTTTAATATTTTCTCTGTTTATCCTGATGTTGCTTATTGGTCCAGTTGTGAAGATTTTTGTTTTCTTTATGTTGACGTGTAATCCATACTAAAGGCTGTGGTCTTTAATCTTTATCAGTAAATGCTTCAAGTCCTCTTCACTTTCAGCCAGCAAGGTTGTGTCATCTGCATATTGAAGGTTGTTAATGAGTCTTCCTCCAATTCTGATGCCTCGTTCTTCATATAGTCCAGCTTCTCGGATTATTTGCTCAGCGTATAGACTGAATAATTATGGTGAAAGGGTACATCTCTGACACACACCTTTCCTGACTTTAAACCATGCAGTATCCCCTTGTTCTGTTCTAACAAGTGCCTCTTGGTTTATGTACAGGTTCTGCATGAGCACAATTAAGTGTTCTGGAATTCCCATTCTTCATAATGTTATCCATAATTTGTTAAAATCCACACAGTCGAATGCCTTTGCATAGTCAATAAAACACAGGTAAACATCTTTCTGGTATTCTCTGCTTTCAGCCAGGATCCATCTGAAATCAGCAATGATATCCCTTGTTCCACATCTTCTTCTGAATCTGGCTTGAATTTCCTGCAGTTCCCTGTCGATGTACTGCTGCAACTGCTTGGAATGGTCTTCAGCAAAATTTTGCTTGTGTGTGATATTAATGATACTGTTGAATAATTTCCACATTCTGTTGGACACCTTTCTGGGAATGGGTACAAATATGGATCTCTTCTAGTTGGTTGGCCAGGCAGCTATCTTCCAAATTTCTCGGCATAGATGAGTGAGCACTTCAGTGCTGCATCAGTTTGTTGAAACATCTCAACTGATAGCCTTGTTTTTTGCCAGTGCCTTCAGTGCATCTTGGGCCTCTTCCTTTAGCACCATTGGTTCTTGATCATATGCTACCTCCTGAAACTGTTGAATGTCAACCAGTTATTTTTGGTACAGTGGCTCCGTGTATTCTTTCCATCTTCTTTTGATGCTTCCTGCCCATAGAATCTTTTGCCCACAGAATCTTTCAGTATTGCAACTCGAGGCTTGAATTTTTTCTTTAGTTCTTTCAGCTTGAGGAATGCCAAGTGTGTTCTTCCCCTTTTGGTTTTCTATCTTTACTTTGTCTTCTCGAGCCGCCCTTTGAAATCTTCTGTTCAGCTCTTAAAGGATGAACTTTAGTTTGATAATTGTCATGATTGTTAGCTGCTGTTGAGTCAGCCCCATGCACAATGGAACAAAATGCTGCCCATAGCGTTTTCAGTGGCTGATTTTCAGAAGTAGATCACCAGGCCTTTCTTCCTCATCTGTCTTAGTCTCTAAGCTCCACTGAAACTTGTTCAGCATCATAGCAACATGTAAGCCTCCACTGATGGGTGGAGGCTGAACTGAGGTGCATTGGCTGGAAATCAAACCTGGGTCTCCCACATGGAAGGTGAGAATTCTGAACCACAGTACCCTCTTTAGTGAATAATAATGTATCAATAAATGTAATCAGTGTCACTTAACTGTACATGTAGAAAATGTTGAATTGGTGTATGTTCTGCTGTGTATATTCTCAACAACAAAAAAGAAAATAAATTATTAAAAAAGAAAAATAACATGTCAATATTGGCTCATTGATTGTAACAAATGTATCATATGAAGGTAAGATGTAAACAGCAGAGGAAACTGGGAGCAGGGTAGATGGAAACTTTCTGTAGTGTCTTCTCAGTTTTTCTGTAAATCTAAAACTGCTGTAAAAATAAAGTCTATTAAAAGTCAAAAAAAAGGGAAGGAGAGCAGGGGAGAAAGAGTGTGTGTGCATGAGAGAGGAAGGGAAGACGGAAGGGAGGGAGGGAGGAAGGAAAGAAGGAAGGAAAAAGAGAAAGAAGAAAGGAAAGAAGGTAGGAAGGAAAAGAGGCTCCTCTGGGCTGCTGTGCGAAGAATACACAGTAGGGGCAAAGGGCAGAAGTGGGAGACCAGTTTGGAAGTTATTGCAACAAACCAGACAAGAGATGGTGTGGCTCAGAACAGGCGGTGGGGCTCTGACGAGGACCGAAGGACTGTGGATGGCTTCTACATGGGCTGTGAGAAAAAGAAAGGCCTGAAGGGTGACTCTAAACAGCTTTGGGCCTGTGCCAGTGGGATCTAAAGTTGCCACTTAGAAGGGGAGGAATGCCCAGGAGCAGGGTGGGAGAGGGGTCAGGAGTTGAGTTTCTGCAAGTTCAGTTTTAGGTGCCAGCCGCCTACACATCCGTGTGGAGATGTTGAGAAGGGAGGCAGTTATGTGACTAGAGTTCAAGGACAAGTCCAGCTGGTAAGCCAGAGTCAAGGGCGCAAAGTTCGCAAGTAGATGAGGTCACCAAGGGAATGAGTGTGGACAGAGAAGAAGAGGCCTTAGGAACTGAGCCTTGGGATGATGCTTCAAGCACAGTGCATGAGTCAGGGAGATAATGTTGCTGTGTGCCGTAGAGTCCATTCTGACTCATGGCGGCCCCATGTGTGCAGAGCAGAACTGCTCCATAGGGTTTTCAAAGCTGTGACCATTTTGAAGCAGATCACCAGGCCTGTGTTCCGAGGCACCTCTGGGTGGGTTTGAACTGCCAGCCTTTCAGTTAGTTGAGCACTTAGTCATTTGTGCCACCTGGGGATTCCAGGAGATAAGGAGAAACTGGGAAAGGAGACTGAGAAAGTGTGGCTAGTGGGGTCCTGGGAGGAGGGAGCGATGATGCTACAATTCAGCACTGAAGCCCAATGCTGCTGGGGGGGCAGCTCAGATGAGGACTGAGCACTGGCCTTTGGGTTCAGCAACATGGAGGTTGCTGGTGACCTTGACGAGCAGTCTCAGTGGCTGGTGGGAGCAAATGCCTGATCAGAGTGGGTTCAAGAGAGGCTGGGAAGAGAGAAACTGGACAAAGTCAACCTCCACTGTTCTTCCAAGGATTTTTGCTGTAAAATGACAGAGAAATGGGGTGGTAGCTGGAGGAGGTGGTGGCAACAAGAATTTTCTGTTGTTGTTTTAATGAAATGACAATATATCAGCCTGTGGATGGCAGTGATCCAGGTCTGATGGTGTAGGAGAACCAGAGGGAGTGTGGTCCTTGGGTAGGTGAGAAGGAATGGGGTAAGTGCACACATGGAGGACTGGCTTCAGAGGAGGGCACACACAGTTCAACCCCAGTAACGGGTGGAAGGTTCAGGAGATGGGCACGGATGCAGGGAGGTGGGTACCCAGGGCCCAAGGCTCACCATTAGAAAGGGGCAGAATTGGGGTTTGAAGTCAGGCTCGTCCATCTCCAAAGCCCACCCTCTTTCCATCACACCAGTGTCTTAGGACATCCCAGGACCTCTGCTGCTATCCTGTGAGATTTCTAACCTCTCATCATTTTTATGGAGCTTTGGAAGAAACAATATTTGACCCTGGAAGACCATTCATGGAAGAAACAATGGAAGCAAGTCATGCAGCAATTCCAGCACACAGCTGACGTCCAGTCCAGAGTCTTCCGTTCAACATCCACTGTTTGTTGAGAACCTGGTTTGTCGGCATGTGCTAAATGCTGGCTGGGGATACAGAGGTGGAAGATCGACAAGGCTGCAGCCTTCCCAGAGCTTACATCCCACTGTGCCACCCTTTCCCAGCCCCCATCTGTCCCCTGCCAGCTCCAGGACATGACTTCCCCTCACTCTGATCCTCAGGTTAAAGGAGGTGGCTGAAGATCAGTGTATCTACTTCCCTGACCGCCCTTCCCACTTCCAGCCAGGCCTGCTACTAGTCTCTGCAGCACCTTTGTGCAAATTGGAAAAGGGTACCCACTCTGGGCAGCCACAGCCCAGCAGGTACAGGGTTTAAGTAAGCTCCTGGAAACTTTGAGCGAAGAAAAAGATAACCCTTCTTTGAGCAGATGTTGTTTCCTCAACCCCAACACCATACTCACGCTTGGGAAGCACAGACAGGTGCCTTTTTGCAGCGAATAAACTGCAACTATACATGGCAACCCTGCCTCAATCTCACCCTGATGGTTGGATGTGACATCTCCAGACCCTTAGGTAGGATATTCTGGTCCCCTATGTCCAAATAAGTCATTCCTGGTTATGCTACTTGCTGGCGTTGTGACCTTGGGCAAGTCATTTCTCTTCTCTAGCCCTCAGTTTCCCCATTTCTAAAATGTGGGAGTTGGGCTGGATCAATGATTTTCAAAGTATGCTTGAAATACTGAGTTCCTGAGTTTCCGTTAAGGGTGATGGAAGAATTTGGAAACAGTGAGGATGGTTGCTGTGGTGAAACGAGTTCCTTTATGTGACCTCTTGTCTTGGTTGTTTGGAAAAACAGCTTGAGAGATTTTTCCCCTAAGCCCTGAAGAGTTACATTTGCCCTAGTTTTCTACCCTAGAAGGTTTGTTACTTTTGTCCAGGTTGATTGACATCTCCTGGCTAAGCTGTAAACAACTTGATGGTTTGATATTTTTGTCTGGCCCCCCCGTGCTGCAGCCTCCCCTGTGATTGGTCTATTTTATGCACCTTGCAGGGATTGGTCAATATACCATAGACTGTGCCAATGAAGTGACTATGGTCCACTGAGAGAGGGCTGGTCAGTTTGTGGCCCTGCTGGGAGGGCCATGCCTTGAAACTGACAAGGATTTTTCTTATATATGCAGCTAATCCCACGGAGGTTTCAAAAAGAGGAAAAGGAGAAAAGGTAAGAGAGGCAAAAAGAGAAAAGAACAGAGAGAGAGGTGAGGAACCTCCTAAAAGAGCTGTAATACAGGTCAAGGGCTGTTAACACCAAAGACAGCAAGAGGTCTAGAAGGGGCCCTGTGACAGAGTCTGTGGCAACAGGCCCAGAAGGGGCCCTGCAGCAGAGTCAGTGGTGATGGCAGAAACCTGCTGCTAGGAATGCAGCTAAGGGAGCTGAACAAAGCTGCTACGCTGGCTGTGAGCTGGGTCAGTTAGAAATGGAGAGGCTGATGGCAGGGAGGCCAAAGGCAGAGAGGCCTGCACGGCTGAGAGGGGGTGTGCATAGCTGAGAGGGAGCATGCAAGGCAGAGAGAAGGGCCTGCTTTCTTGCATGGCCAAGAGGAGTTGAGAGAGCTATCCTGTACTGAAGAAGGGAGTGATGTGCTCTCCAATTCCAGTGAGCCTTCCAGACTTTGCTATATGCTTCCTGATCCTGATCCTGAGTTGTAGCCTGTTAATCCTGATCCTGAGTTTACCTGGTTACTTCCTTAATAAACCACTTAATTGTATGTACAGTTCGTGAGTTCTGTAAGACGTTGCAGTGAACTGTCAAGCCCAAATGGGAGGGAAGAGTGGTACAGTGCAATGAATCACTTTTATATGGCCTTTGTCACCATGGTCTTGTAACTCCCACCAAATGACTGGGTGGGACTATGCTTCTGGCCCACCAAGGGGATTGGATAACTTGCTAATAATGCAGATAAGGTGCATGGCACCTTTGTGGGGGTGGGACCATGGAAATAAGGTGTATGAAACCCTAACGAGGGGATTGGTCAGTTTTGCCATCCCACTAGGCTTAAAATGAGCCATCTCAGAGGCAGACAGGGGGTCATCGTTACTACCAAGAAGAAAAGAAGGGAGCAGAGCACACCCTTTGGACCGGGGTCCTTGCACTGAGAACCTCCTCGACCCAGGAGACAGAGAGAGACAGCTGTAACACCAGAGATGGTGCAAGATGATGAGAAGTGGCAGCAGAGAAGTGGCAGCAGCAGAACCAGGACACCAGTACAAGACAGCATAGTGGACTTCCCAGCCCACAAACTGAGGTGGTTACGGTGGGTGTGAGAGCTGAATGCCTTCTGCCAAGAGGCTTCCTCGTGGAGTGGGATGCCTCTGGGCAGTTGTCAGCAGAGCCAGGCTTACCAATCCATGGAGTGACAGAGCTGAGTGCCTTTGGCAGAGTGGGGTGCCCCCAGGCAGGGAGGGATTACCCAATAAGCAAGGTATACACGAGCTTACTTGTGCTTATTTACTATCTGTAGTACACAATTCCACCTGCTACTCACCATATCAAAGATGTAGTGAAACCCATATGAAATTGGCACTATAGATTAGTAAGTAAACACAAGTAAACCCATGCATACCTTGCTTAATGCAAGCCTGTGCATACTTTGCTTACTGGTTAATTCGCTCCTGCCTCCAGGCACTTACTAGCAGAACTAAAGAGCTTTGTAACACTTGCCCAAGCAGGGCAGAGTCTGGGCAGAGGGACTGAGGGGCGAAGGGGTGGAGGGCCAGAGAGAGGTCTGCCTGCAGGCACGGCTGAGAAGAGGATGTGCTGATCAAAGAACTACATGCTGAGTTGTTCCTGATCCTGAATTGTAACCTGTTGCTTCCTTAACAAACCCCGTAACTTTGAGTATGGTCTGTGAGTTCTCTGTGACCATTGTAACAAACTACCAAACTCAGCAGAGAGGTAGAGAGTGCCATGGGAGGGATGACTGGTGTCAGAATTGGTAAAAAAAAAAAGGTTGGAGAGAGGAAGTATGTCTGACTTCTGCCTCATAGGAATCAGCCTTGGGCTGTGTCTTGGGTCTCCTTCCCCCTTGTGAAGTTAGAGGAGGTCAGATGCCCCTGCCCCACTATTTTTTACAAGTGCTAAGGAGAAGGGGAGCAGCCGGTGTCAGAGATGGAATGGTATAGCAGCTTGGAGAATTTGGAAATCTGAGATATATTTGACCTCCACCTCATAGGAATTGGCTTTGTGCTAATTCTCATATTTGAAATTATTCACATAGTAGTGCAACATGATGAACGTAATTACTGTCGCTGAATTGTATATGTAAAATCTTGAAATGGCAAATGTTTTGTTATATATATTTTTTACCACAATTTAAAAAAAAAAGAATCAGTGTGTATACCTAAAAAAAAAGGATGCCTTGAAGGTCATACTCAGAGCCCTCAGGGGGCCATCAGTCAGTCAGGGTTCAGAGCCCCGCCCCCGGTTAAGCAGAGTTATCTCTTCTTTTGATGTCTTGGGTGTCTCTGTGCAATGTCCCGTTTAGGGAAAATTTTCTACCACTAAAATAGCATTTGAAAATAGCTGGATTGGATAATCTCTAGCACTGTTCTAGCTCTGACGTTCTCTGATCCTTTACCCACTGGTCTAACTCGATTCCCTACGACCACGCTTTCACCTTATTCTCCCTGGTCTGTTGAGGAGGGCTGTGCACCTGCCTCCTGCCTCCTGACTGAGGCCCTGCCCCCTAGGAAGGGTAATAAGGGCTAGACTTCCCTCCCAGCTTCTCAGTGGGACCCAAGCCACATCTGTCACTAACCTTTGCAGCCAGCTGGTGGCTGGGAGGCTGGTCACTGCCGTCGCCACAGTTGTCCACGTCCCAGCAGTCATACACCAGGCTTGGGGGGAATGCATCTGCCATTCTGACAGCGGAAGTAGCCACCACAGAATCCTGGGGCCAAGAGGGGAAGCCTAGGGTGAGGACCCTAGGCTGGGCCAGTGACACAATGGGGTGTGTGGCGCTATAGTGCGGGCATGCGGGAGGTATGAGCAAGAGGGGGCTTGCTATTATGTACGTGCAGACAAGAGTATGGATGAGTGTTTCATGGGGAGAGAGGTGTAGGATCACAAGAATGATGATCATGGCTAACATTTATTGAATTCTATTCTGTGCCAGGCACAGTTCTAAACAGTTCACATCCCAGCTCATTTAGTCTTCACAACAACCCTATAGGGTAAGTACTATTCTTAACCCCATTTTACAGAAGAGAAAACCAAGGCACAGAAAGGTTAGGGCTGTTGACGAAGGCCACAAAGCTCATATCTAAGTAGCAGAATGGGAATTCAGTGCCAGCCAGGCTGGTTCTGTAGCCTGTGCTCATGAACACTGAGGCACACAGTGTGTGTGGGTGCGTGTTTCTGCACGTTTGTGCATGCACCCTAAGTTTCTGTAAAGGGTGATGGAAAATTTGAAAATCCCAGTAAACTTAAACACCCTCAGCAAATCCTCACTCTGGGCTTTGCTCTTGCCATCAACTCTGCCTGGAATTCTCTTCCCCAGATAACTGCATGCTCATTCCCTCAGATCTCCACTCAAATGTCAACTTATCTGGAAAGCCTTCCCCTGACTTCCCTATAAGAATAGCATCCGTTCAACGCATGCCAGTTCTCTTACCCTCCTTACCCTGACTTGGGTTCCTCTACAACACTTACCACCATCTGCAGACTACGTATTTACTTGCTTATTTGCCTAAGGTCTACCTCCCCCACGAATGTCAGCTCCAAGAGGGCAGGAACTTCTGTTTTGTTCGCTGCTATACCCCTAGAGCCCAGAGCAGTGCCTGGCACATAGCCAGTACTGAATTAACATCTGTTAAATGAATGAATGTGCACACAGGTGAAAGAATTATATGACATGGTGTGGAGGGTATGGCAGACACGTGTGCTTATCTAGCATCCCATTCTGTGGAGAAAAGGTAATTCAGCTGGGACTGACCAACACCATGGCTCAGAGGTGTGCATGTGACTAAGCCTGACCAATCAGAGTATTCCATTTCCGGCTACAGGAATGGACATATAAGCCACATGACTAATCAGATTCAACCCCAGGACTTTTGCTAGAGCCATAAGAGAAGATGCTTGCTTTCAATTTTGTTGAAGTTGGAGCTGTAAGGGTGATGTGAACTTGGAACTGCCAAGTAGAAAGAAGAGCTGCCTGAGCTGGAAGCCAAACACACCCACATAGTGCAAAGATAAAGAAAGAGAACAGAGAGTCCAGGTGACATTGTTTGAGCTCCTGGATCCAACTATACCTGAATCCACCCTTTAATATACCAGTTTAGGATCCCCCCGCCCAAGATGCCCTTTGGCTTAAGCCAATTTGAGTTGGGTTTCTTTCATTTGCAAATGAAAGCTAATACTCTAATTTATAGGAAGTGTGCAGGGGTAAGAGTGAATGTCTATGAGAGAGAAAACACAAACATTAGTGTGGGAATGTATGGGGAGTCATATGTGAGCAGGGTGTGCTTGCAGGTGTAAACAATTGCGATTATGTGTATGGTCCAAACATACAAATGAATGTTTCCTGAATCAGACCACAAAACTGACCCAAGGAAACCAGAGTCATGATAGGGCTTCACCACTGCCCCCTTCTGTCTGGAGCGCAGTTCTGCGAAAAACATGGAGCAGCTGCAACATTCTTGGCCTTCCTGGCTGACAGCTGCACCTCAAAGGAGGACAAGACCCCAGGGAGGGAAAACAGGAGGGAGGAGGACAACACCCCTGGGCCGATTTCCAGTCAGCCAGTGAGAACTGTTTGCAAAGGGACAGAAAGGAACCTTGGCCTGCTACAGCCAACAGGAGCCAGAAAGGGGAACGCAGGCACCATCGATCATGGCCGCAAGGATTTAGGGTGCACATTTCACATAGTTCATTCCAGAGCCGGAGACTCCAATGGGGAAGAGAGAGAGTCTAAAATCCAAAATTCAGACCGTGACCATATCCAGGGAAGAAGGAAGGTGAGACTTGACTGAAGAGACCAATGAGAGCACTCCTCGACCAGCTCAGGTGTTAAAGGGCCTTCCATGGCCAGGTATGTCAAGGTCTCGTTCTTGGTGAAACTGTGTTGGCTCTCAGAGACCCCCATGTTCTGTCTCAAAGTGCTTACAAGTCCATGTTGAATTGTCCAGTCTGGATATTGTGCCAGAGATCATGATAACGCTTCATGGTTTTAGAATCTGCTGGGCTTTGGCAGCTCATCTGCTTGCCATCACTGAAGACAGCCTCCACTGCGACATCAGCAAGGTGCTCCAGTCCAGGGAAACCTGTTGGGCCTAAAGCCTTGATCTCAATTTGACCAGGAGGACATACTCTAGTGTTAAAGCCTAGCTGTTTTGCGTATGAGCAAGGAGGGCCTGGGCATGTTACTTAACCTCCCTGAGCCTGTTTCCCCATCTACAAATATGAGGATATCAGCAGGGCAGAGTTGCTGTGATGAATAAATGAGCTCCAGCATGCAAAGGACCAAAGCCAATACTTGCTAAACGATTATTATTAATATCAACTCTGAGAGGTTCCTTTCATTGCTCGGGTGAGTTTCTGTTACTTACAACCTCAAGAGTTCTAATGACTTCCCTCTGCAAATATCTGAAGGACTGACTCCAGACAAAGGAGCCAGTATATGAGCATGAGTGTGTGTGTGTGAGTGTGCACGGTGTGTTGTGAGGCGTGTGATGTGAATTGTGAGTGTGCAGTGTGTGAAATGTGTGTGTGAGGTATGTGTTGTGTCTGTGAGGTGTGTGAATGTTGCAATGTGTAAGTGTGTGAGGTGTGTGTTGTGTGTGAGATGTGAATGTGCAAGGTGTGTGAATTGTGTGTGAATGTGCACAGTATATGTTAGTGAAATGTGTGTGTTTTGTGTGTGCAGTGGTTGTGAACATGTGGATGTTACTGTGGGCAGTGTATGTGTGTGAGCTGTGTATGAGTTGTGTGTGTGTATGAGTAAGAGGTGTACCTGAATGTGTGTGTGCCATGGGCTGGTAGGGCAGTCTGGCATACACATCCGCTCATGCCAGATTTATGGAGTTGATTCTTTGGGTTTGGAATGTCCCCTGCTGTGACCCTCTGACCACACCAGTCATCACGTCCTGGTATCCCTCCCCACCTCTCTGTCTGTCAGCACAGCAGCTAGTGGGGCTGGGCCCCTCTTGGTGCATCCAGGCTCCATGGCCTTCAGTTGCCCCTAGCCTTGATCCTCCATCTTGGCCTTCACCCCAACTCACCCAGCCGGAAAGAGGTGACTTCGCCCATGAAGTCCACGCAAGGCTGGCGGCCTCTGGTGAAGCGGTGCAGGCCCAAGGAGAGTCCAGAGGATGCCACGAGGGCGGGGATGGTCAGGCCGCAGAGAGGGGGCCCCAGGTGCCTGGGTGCCCCCGATGGGCCCTCATAGAACTGCAGGTAGGAGCCAGGGGCTCACGGGTCCCGCTCTGAGGAGGAGGTGTTGGGCTCCAGGGATGCCGGAGACGCTGGGGACGCAGGAGTCAGGCTGTAGACCAGGAAGAAGCAGAACTGGAAGCTGATCCTGTCGCCAGGGGCCTCTGCCCACATCCAGAGCCCGCAGTCGATATCCCGGGCCACAAAGTAGAACCTGCGCAAGCCAGAGTGGGAGCGCAACAGCAGCCCGTGCCCCTGCCACGTCTGCCCACAGAGGCCCACCAGGTCAGCTGCTAGGAAAAACAGACCCTGGAGCCAGGTGGCCTGGTTCCAAGCATGGCTGTGCCCCCTGCTAGCTGTATGACCCCAAGCCAGTCACTTACCCTCTCTGAGCCTCAGTTTTCTCATCAGTAAAATGGGATGATTATGCAATAGTGCCAGTCTCAGATTTTTGTGAGGATTAAATGATTCAAGTCCACAATCCCTTATTCAAAACCCTAGGATGTGTTTCAGAATTTTCCAGATTTTAGAATGATAATATGAAATACAGTATATTATGTTGCAGGCCCAAGTGGAGTCTGCAGCAGTCCTTTGTGTTCTAACACATTCATATTTTTAAAGCAATTGTATGAACATTCGAAGCTGCGCAAATAAAGACAATAAACAGCCTTCTCTCAGGGCAGGTCATGTATTGCCAGTCAATTACTTAAGGACAAATTTTAGTTCTCAGAGCTTTTTTGAATTTTGGAACTACAACTAAAAGACTGTGCTTACAAAAAAAAGACCAGATTTAATGGCCTGACAGACTGGAGAAACCCCGAGAGTATGGCCTCCGGACACCCTTTTAGCTCAGAGGTGTAGTCACTCCTGACGTTCACCGTTCAGCCAGGGACTGGACAGCCCCATAAAACAAAATGGGACTAATGAGGCACAGCAGTCCAGGACTAGAAGGCAGGAAGGGGACAAGAAAGCTGGTGATAGGGAACCCAAGGTTGATAAGGGACAGCGTTGACATGTCGTGGGGTTGTTAACCAATGTCATAGGGCAATAAGTGTACTAACTCTTTAATGAGAAACTATTTGTTCTGTAAATCTTCATCTAAGGTACAAAAAAAAAAAGAGAATTATCTATGTGGAATCAAAGTGACAACAGCAACTCAAAGTTTTGATAGGGAGCCTAGGGGCCAGTGAGATGAAGATAATGGTGATGGAATAATTTGGAAAAGGATAGTGAGAATAGCAGCACAACTGGAAGAATGTAATCGATGTCATTGAATTGTACATGTAGAAATTTTTGAAACGGTGTATCTTTGGCTATGTATATTTTCACCAAAAAAAAAGGTCCTCTAAGGTCGAGAAAGGAGAGTGTGGACATGTCGTGCAGTTGTTAACCAATGTCATAAAACAATATGTGTACCGACTGTTTAATGAGAAATCATTTGTTCTGTAAACCTTCACCTAAAGTACAATAAAAAAAAATTAAAAATAAATAAAAGACTGTGCATAGGCCAGTGCCTAACACTTAATGAGTATTATAGAAATGTTATTAGTATCATCTTATTCAAGGATGAGGCAGCCATAGTTGGCACCTGCCTACCCAACAGCCAGACCATTTCTCCTTGTTAAAACATCCCTGATTCCCTCAGCTATCAGGAAGCAATGAACCCAGCTCCCTTGGTGATTGGTCTAAACCAAACCTTGTAATTCTAATTATATTGGACAGATTTAGGAATTGGCATGTGACCTGGTTCTGGCAAATGAAATTTAATGAGAGATCTGCTGGGGGATTCTGGAAAAGTTTTCCTTCCTGATAAAAAAGAAAGAGAACTATGATGAGCAGCCTCTTTTTCTTTCTGCTGTTGAAGGTTGTTGACGGAGGATGTGATGCTCAGAGCTGCAGCAGACATTTTGTAAGCATGAGGTCATGAGAATTACAGAGAAGCCCTGCCATGATTGAGCCGCTGAATTAACCATCTCTGGAACAACCTAAAGCCACTCTTTTTAAGTGAAATAATAAATGTCCTTATGGTTTAAGCCCCAGTTTTGGCATCTATTACAGCTCAAAACATCTTCACTGGTACAGGATTACCAGTGAAGATTAAATGAGATAAATGCTCAAACTAGCTCTGATTTTTTAAGGACAGAAAGAGAAGAGGTGGTGGGTTTCCTGGTGCATGGCAGGGGCATCAGTGGGTGGCTTAAGACCAGCAAGGATGTGGCTCCTCAGGGAGGAAATTCTCCCTCAGGGCTCAGGATGTGAGAGCATTTTCCCATATCTGTGCAAACTCACTAAAGCCCGAGCCTGCCCAGGAGGCAGACAGGGTAGGGGTGGGGCTTAGATAATGAGCAAAATGAGTACCTTCTATGTTCCAGGCACTGTCCTAAGTGTCTTGCGTGGTTTATCTCATCTTATATACACTTAAAATAAGGAGCACTAGTGGCACAGTAGTTAAAGCACTCAGCTGCTAACCAAAATGTCAGCGGTTCGAACCCACCAGCCACTCCACAGGGGAAAGATGTGGCAGTCTGCTTCCATAAAGATTTACAGCCTTGGAAACCCTGTGAGGCAGTTCTACCCCATCCTATAGAATCACTATGACTCAGAATCAACTTGATGGCAGTGGGTTTGGTTTGAGTTACATACACAATAATAATTAGGCCCATGATGATTCCCATTTTACAACTGAAGAAACTGAGACTTAGAGAGGCGAAACAACTGTCTCAAGGGTACAAATGTTGGAAGAGGCAGAGTGAATGTGTGAACGCAGGGCTGTCTGACTCCAAAGTCCACAGTATTTCCCAGTGCCAGCCCTGAGGGCTGTCCTGCCCACCCTTAAGCCCCTGCTTCTAGGCCCTACCCCTAGACCCCTACTTCTAGGTGATTTGCTGCTCCAGCCTTCCAGAGGAGCTTAGGGTGGCCTTGGGGGCATCAAGCAAAACCAGGCCGAGGGTTTCCCAGGCTCCCCCAACTCAAGAAATTCCAGCCCATCAGAGTGAGTGATGACTGGGAAAGTGGCAGTCTCTAAGAGTGGTGGAGACCCAGGTCTCCTGCCCGCCCTGGCCAAACCCCCTCATACTCACCTGTCTCCAGAACAGACATGGTTAGGGCAGCCACCCCCAGCAGGAGCAGGCTCAGGGGCAGCCACAGGAGACAGGCCTCCATCCAGGCCCTGCTGCACCCAGCAACAAGGCACACCTGCAGAATCTTCAGCTGGGGGGGGGTCTTTGGGGGCCTGGCCAGGTCAGGGGAGAAGGCCAGCAGGGCACAAGCAGCGGGGGGAGGCAAGCCCACCAGCTCCTCTAGTCTCTTCACAATGGTCTTGTGCTCCCCGTTCCAGATCCTCCTTCAGGTCAAGATAGTGTCTGGGGTTGCCATGGAGATTTGGGGCTGGGGCTGGAGACTGGGGAGAGAAGGCGGAGAGGATGTCTGCTTGCCCCCTGCCAGATGGAAACCAAGAAACTCAGATCCTGTTCAGCCACAGGGCTTCTGGGAGGCAGACCCACAGACCCTGTTGCCTTCCTGGACAAGTTGCTACTTTAGGAACTGAACTTGAGGAAGACCAAGGACACCAAAGCATCTTCTCTGAGGGCCTACAGAGGCAGCAAGTAGTGAAGGAGCACTGGAACAGGAGTCTGCTCCATTACTAACTTAAAGTATTCCTGCCTCGGGGCCTTTGCATTCGCAGTGCCCTCTGCCTGGAGTGCTCTTCTCCCACAGTGTCCCACAGCTGGCGTCTTCCGGTCATTTAGGGACTCCCAAGGACTCAGGTCTTCCCTCAGCAGGGGGGTGGATTTACCATGAAGTTCATGAAGCTTAAGCTTTAGACCCCTCACTTGCATAGGATTATATGTCCTTATAAAATTTGCAAAAGTAAGATACTTTAACCACAATCAGTTCAAACTGCTGTCTCCTTCCTCTGATTTCTCCCTCATCTTACCGGAGTTCAGGGAGGAAGCTAGACTTGGGACATAATTGTTGGAGTGATCCACACATTGATGGTACGTAGAGCCATGAGACAGGGTGAGATTGCCACGAGAGTGAGTGCAGGGAGAGAAGAAAGGCCAAGGATGGGGCCGTGGGGCAGCATTTGAAACAGTGTCCTAAGGGCTCTCCTGCGGAATTCACCTGGTACCTGTTCTGGAGAAAAAATGTCCCCTAGGGGGCAGTCAAAGCCAATACGAGAATGAGGAACCCTGCCCAGCATCCTAGAAACAGCCACCTGGGAGGCTGTAGGCCACCTCTCAGTTTAAGGCCCGTGATAACAGCAGCCCCACCCAGTGGCGTCAGTAGGGGGGTACAAGGGGTGCAGACTGTCAGAGGAGGTGACACCAAAATGTCTGTAAAAATATCCCTGTAGCTAGTTATA